AGACTGGTTTTAGATTTGCAATGGAGTCAGTTTTAGACCGGTTGTGGACTTGGCTTTGGATTTGATTTGGATATTGTTGTAGTATATATTAGCTTTGGACCTGGATTTAGTCTGTCAATCTATCTATCTATCTATCTATCTATCTATCTATCTATCTATCTATCTATCTATCTATCTACTGCTGCAGGACTACTTGTGTCCTTGTGACTGAAGATGGTTCTGTATGACTCTTAACTTTTGCACAATGCTTTCACTTGACACAAAATCCTCTCAGCGTGCCAGCATCGTCAGTTACTGCCATCAGCCAAGTAAAACAAACAGGTTTCAGTGTATTTATAACGCTCCTGAAATGCACAGCGCGGTGCTTTATAACAAAACTGGAGCAGCCCAAGTGACAGCCAACAAATCAGCCTGTTGTCTGATTAAACGGGTGCAAACACGACAATGACTCTGTTTTTGAGGTTATGCAACAATTTCAAAGGGTTAAACAAAGCTTGATCCAAATTGCCAAGGGCGCAGTGTTGACATATGACATTGACGTTCAGTTACAAGCTAAGGGTGGGGTTGACAAATAGAAAGAGACACAAAGACTTCACAGCAGCCACTGAGAGCTTAGCTGCAGCTACACCTCTTGGACTGGAATTCAACTCCTTCCTGCATCCTAAAGGCTCGAAAAAGCTCCAATGCCACTGAGCTCCTGACACAAAACTGACATCAACAAAACAGGTTTCAAATAGCACTTCACTTCATGATAAAAAAAAAAAAAAAAAGGCATGTTGAGCTTGAGTTTCCAAACTGTGAGAGCCAAAATGGGTCATTTACTTTTAGATAATTCACCAAGCCTCAGGTCCCCACTGAGAGATTAATAAACTCTAGATTTATCTGCAGCATCAAGCCTTGCAGGAAAAACAGACGCACGAATAACAAACAAATCGCATAAACCTAAGCACACTAATCTAAAGTATTTTTACATTTACATACTATCTGATGCACCCTTGTGCAGTCGGGATTTACTGAGGATTAATCACTTCAACATTCAACAGCCGTGACGTGTCACTGTCTTTCAACGGTACAGTACGTGATGCACTAAATGGAACTTGAACTTGAACTTTGAGGATTAAAAAAAGCTTTTCTGAAGCTGGACATCGAAACAGAACAAGTCATTTGGACTAAAGGGAACTGATCCACAGATTTCTCAATGATCAGGTACAGAGCTGGAGGAGGGGGTAAAAGATTATGAGGCGTAAGTATAAGACCAGTAAGGCAAAGACATTTGAACTGCAAGGTATCATTTAGACCAAAAAGATTTAAACGTTGCACCAAGAAAGAGGACAACTTCCAAACCAACACAGAGATTTAAAAATGGTGCTCTGGCTTTTCACAATCTGAACCTCTGTGACAAAAATACATCAATCAGTCACTACAGAAGTCTATTATTGTTGTGCAGGCAGAGAAAGGAACACTAATTTATGCATGTGTCATGGTAGGAGAAACATATAGAACCTTTTCCACCATACTAAATTAATTGAGGGACCCATTGTTATCGAACCTTCAATAATTTCTTGAAATTCCCCAAGGCTCGATCCTTGTCCCCTTGTATTCAACACTGATGTGCTGTATTAGGTCAAATTATACAAAAATATTTTTTTAAAACAGCTGTAATACTTAAGCTCTGTCACCCAAATTAATCTATGGTTTGTTTATTGTTTTTGTGGAAATCCTCTTTGTGTCTGGGGTGTCCAATAAATTCACACATTGCAGTTACAGACATTTAGCGACAAGAGCTCCTCAAAAACACCCCCGACCAAGAAAAAAACACTTGGAGCTGCTTAACAGAGCTATACTAGAGGATATGAAAACTGTAGGCAGAGGAGGGACCCTGTACCTTTGCACTAATGGCAACAAGCCGTTTTCACCATAGAGAGGCTGTAATACATCACCAAGGACGCACACCCTTTCCTCACCACTCACAACGTACAAAGCAGTGTCAAACTGTGCTGTTGTGGACCCACAATCTTGATAAGCGCATTAACAATCTTATCGAGTTTCCTCTTATTCATGACAGACAGTGAAAAATGCAAAGCAATAAAGCCGAAAGTTGGAATTCTCTGCACGAACAAAGAATAAAACATGTTCCTCCTTATCCTTCTGTTTAATACAAACAAAACTGAACCAACATGAAATCTTTATCAGTTATTGTCCCAGTTTCTGACTCGACACTAATCTGATCATCTTATCTAATCTTTGACAACCAGACACGAAGCAAGAAATGTTGGTGGCATCATTGACCCAAAGTTAAATTTTAATAGCAGCACCGATTCATGGACAAAGTATAAATACGACCAACTTAAAGGATTTTTGGGAAGTGCGGATGTTCAGCTTGTTCCCAAGCGTAAGATCAAAAGATTAATAGCACTGATATGTCAGTTTGAGGGAAAAGCCAGGAGACAGCTTAGCTTAGCATAAAAATTGGAAACAGTCTTGCCTTTAAGTGCCTCTAAACCTCTAAATTAATCACATTCTAGGTCTATTGAATTTGTTGTAATCTGTTTTTGTTTCTGCTGTTAGCTTTGGACAGAGCAGGGCCACAGTTTTCCCTCATGTGTTCAGTCTTTATGCTAAGCTAAGCTAACTGTTTTCTAGCTCTAGATTCAGATTTTAGGTACAAACATTAGAACAGTATCAATATTTTTATCTCAGGAAATCTGACATTCATGTCAAGGCAAGAAAAAATTACTGATTTATGCAACTGTAACACTATTTTCAGGTGTTTTTTTTTGCTTTGGAATAACTGGGATATCATACATAGCCACATTTTCACCAATCGTTCCTGGAAATCTAAGCTCAGAGGACTAATCTATATGAACCTTTCTAAGGAACTAAAGGCTCCTGCAGCCCTTTGTTATCTGTGTTTGCACTGCCTGGACATGATTAAGCAAATAAGTCAGCTGACCTATCATAAAGCAACAGCTGTTTTACTGCATCACTGATGGGTGAGACTATGCAAAATGATGCAACTTTACTGAAATGTAAAGGCCGTGTTATGCTGGCTTCATACACATGATTTCACTGCCTGATAGGATCAAATATATCACAGTGTCTTTTGCAACTTAAGCCTGTTAATTGTCATGTGAGACATCATGATTTATGTAACTGTGCAGAGAATTGCGGGTCAGAATGTGCAGAAAAGCGTGCTGGCTTGGAATCTTCAAAATCTGACTTGATTTAGTGGGACATCCGGGTATTTTTGGCATACTTTATTGTACTGTATACGGAATTGGGATGTACTAAATCTTTTTCTGGCACATTATATAGTACAGTAGTATGGATATGGGAACGCACCCAAGCTTAAGCCGCCGAAAGCACACAGGCTGCATTCCAATACTACTACACTATGTAGTACGTCAGAAAACGATTTAGTGCGTCCCAATTCATAGTATGTCAAATGCAGTACGACAAAAATACCTGGATGTTCAACTGCATCTGTTCGGATGTTGCAGTTTGTGAGCCAGCATGCTTTTCTGGATATCCTGAACCACAATCCTCAGCACAGTGACGTCACATATGTCAAGCATGAACATTAACAAGCAGACAGAAGACGGCTCGGTTTGCATGAAAGGCTGCAACGAACAAAGTTTTAAGGAACATCATTATGCATGGAGTAGTGTATATTTTAAAGGGCATGTAAACACAGATAACAAAGGGCTGCAAGAGCATGTAATTACTTGAAAAGTTTGTGGAAATTAGTCCCCTAGAGCCAAATGTTCAGGGATATTTGGGGAAAACGTGGCAGTTGTATAAATCTGTAAATATGAGCATGTGGAGCAGCTCTTCTGAAGTCATGCCTGGATATGAAGCTCTCGATTTTTGCTGTTTTGATCATCTTCTTATAAGCATTCAAAACTAAAGTGATAAAAAAAATACTGATGCTGCTCTCACATCTGTACACTAATCTGAATCTAGAGTCAGAAAAGAAATAGTTTAGTTTTAGCACACACTTAAAGTATAAGGATAAAGTATGCAATTTTAAAAAAAACAGTAAATGTAAAATGTAAAGCAGAGCTGCAAACCGCATCCTAAAACTTGCTCTAAAAAGCAGCATCCGCTGAGCAGGAAATTTTAGGGCCTGGTTCCTCAAAGTGTTGCTGCAGTGTCAAGGTAGTCTTTGAATGTGTCTTATCCCTAGTGCATCACCATTTCTACCAACGTCAGTACTGTCAGAAAGTAGCACCCACTGAGCAGGGACTTTCAGAGGCTTACTTTGGAGCCTGGTTCCTCGAAAGGTTCCTGCAGTGTAAGGGTGGTCTTTGAATGCCTGACATCCATAATTTAATCACCAGTTATACCAACATGTCTCACACTTTTAGAGACTGATCACCTCTCAATTTTGTGATTAAAGACATTTTCAGCATCAAATAACAGCTTAGCTTCAGCATGCACTAAAAGTAAAAAGACAAAGTATGTGATTTGAATTTCAACATCACTGAAAACTGCAAACCCCACCCTAAAACTTTCTGTACTTGGAGAAAGCAGCACCCACCAAGCAGGAACTTTTAGGGCCTGGTACCTCAAAGGGTTCGTGCAGTGTCAAGGTGGTCTTTGAATGCCTCACATCCATAATTTATCACCATTTATACCAACAACCAGCATCAGAACTGATCACCTATCAATTCTGTGATTAAGAAGACATCCCCAGCATCCTCCCAGCCTGCCTCCCCCAGCAGCAGGGCGCTCAGAGGCCGCCCTCTGCCTCCCTGTGATTGGTCAGCGGCTCCCTGGGTACCACGTCGGCTCCCTCCTCATCCGTGTGCGCTCCTCCCTGCTGGGCTCAATCAATCACACTGCGTCCACCACCGCAACTGTGACCTACACTGACAGTTAATGCTCCAGCTGAGCCGCAACAACCCCACTGCTCACACTGGAAACCGTACACTCACATTCACGCACACGGGCGACAGATTCCGGAGCCAAATTACGCAGGACGCACGGCGCGCTCTTACCTGCCCACTGTTTGGTTGGCGAGCTGTCTCATTCGGTTGAACTGCTTCTTCATCTTGCGTGTTTTCTGCGTTACCACCGAGCGCTAGAGCCACTCCACATATCTCATTGGTAGAATAAAAGTCGGATCTCCGCGCCGAGCAGCTTCGGGTTCCTTTAAACATCCACTCGGCGGTGAAACGCGGACGCGCGGCGGCTTAATTCCTCCTCATTTTGCTGATGAGGACTTTGTGTCTCTGTCATCCGCTTCGCTCCGCCGCTCCGGAGATGCTGGACCAGTTTCTCTCCCCCTCTCTCGCTCTCTCTCTTTCTCTCCCCTCTGCGCTGACAGCTCGACGTGCCCTGCCGGTGCATCATGGGAAATGGAGTTCACTCAGAGACCTGCGCCACAGAGCAACACAACCAAACTAAACCTCCATATTTAGTCCATAATTTTAATTCTACAAATGTTCATTGACTTTGGAAATATACAAGAGCCGACATGAATGTATACACGAATGACAAATTCAAGAACACAGTGTCTCCATCGGGTGTGGGGGCAAAAATGTGGTGTCCTGAATTTAGCCAGTACAATAGAGCTGAAATAATAATTCATTCATTAGTCAATTGACAAAAAAACTAATTGGTGACAATTTGGTGACTGATTATCCATTTAAGTTATTTGTAAGGCAAAACGATGCCCAAAAGCTACTCTTAAATGTGGATATTATGGGAATTTTCTATGACAATAAACTGATAATCTCCTCAAACGTTAAATGAATCATGTTTTACCAAAAGACATTACTTGTACCAGCTTCTTTCCTGACAATATCTGAAGGGTTCCAAAGTTCTATAATGGTAAGCTTAATATTTGTGCATTTTGTCATTGGTGAGACAGATAATGTGTCCATTAGTCTCATTTAGGTCATTTTCAATCCAAAAATGCTTAAAATCCACTTGTAAATGTGCACGTTATGGTAGTTCTTCACATTTTCTATGACAATAAACTGATAGTCTCCTTGGAGGGCCTGCAATAATAGGATTCTCTGATGAATCAAGTGATTCAAATAAAAAATGATTCCCTGAAGCCATGCTTATGAAATCATGTTTTTGAAGCAACAAAGCCCAAATTAATTCCTACCATCTTCCTAACTGCAAATATTTGGAAGTTTTCCAAATTTTCTATCATACTAAGCTCAAGATTTGTGCATTTTGGAGGTTGTGGCAGACAAATAAGTCAATGTGGCCATTAGTCAACTGACAGCAAAAACAAATTTTATTGGCAACAATTTGGTGGCTGATGATTTATGTAGTTTATTGTAAGTCATTTGTGAAGCAAACTGACTGGAAAACGCCCACAATTTACACCTACCAGCTTCCTAGACATAAATATTTAGTAATTTTCTAAGTTTTTTATCACAATAGTTTTAACATTTGTGCATTTTAGAATGTTGGTCAGACAAATAAAGCAATTAGAATATATTAATGTGCTGTTATTCGCCATTTTCTTACAGTTTATACACTGAAAACTGAGATAATATCAAATAAAATTTTTGTCCGATATTGATCATGAAAGTGGTTCTATGGAGGAATACTGCAGTATTGCAAGTTTTTAACAAATTTGCAGTTAAATAAACTACATAGGCTCAACTATTATGGAGTAAATCTGACTTTTGGGATCCCTGAGGAGTTGCCCTCTTCACCTGCTGAGTAGCCTCATCCTGTCTCACTGAGAGGGGCTTGCATGCTGTTTATGAAGATACAAAACTTTTAATAAATTCAAATTTAACAAATGTCCTCCAATTATGTCACTTGAGAGGCTATGATGGCTACAAAATTGGACATTTTCAAAGTTTTGTGAGTGTAAATTCAAAAAGAAGGTATCTTACCAGGCCCCTGGAGCTGCTCCTCATCTCTGCTCAGGGATGCATTAGCTGCTGCTGGTAGCATCACACACCTGGAACAATCGGCCTGTGCTCGAGTTGCATTGTGGGTAATGTAGGCACCGGTTTGACAAGCGATTTATGAAAACAAAAAAAGCAATATTTCTGGTTCTCCTGCATCGGTTTTGTTTTTATTTGTGCATTAGGAGTCTGATAATGGTAAAGAAGTGCAATGCTAAATGCTAAAATCGCTGTTACATCTATTTTTAAGAGTTAAAACCGGATTATTTATTTATTTAGGTATTTATGGGAGGTTGTTGTTGTTTGGTTTGTTTTATTTGCAGTGGTGGCTTAAAGTTTAGAGAAGCGAGCTTGTGATGAATGTTCCACACTTGTATTCTCAAACCATCAGGATAAAAAATCTGAATGGAAAAACAAAAAAGCACAACTTGTTCCTTCCTTAGCACTTAAAATGGAGCATTTCACTGCTAAAGGTCCCTTCAACAAAGTCCCTAACCCCCGACTGCTGCAGTTCAGCTCCACAGTCATCAGCAGATCAGTCCAGGCAAGTAACAGGTGTGACTGTGAGAAAGTGTCAGAGTGTTCCTGAAAAAGAAAAGTTAGCTCTCTGTGAAACTACCCTGAAAAACAGAAATTTGAAGGAAGGAAATAACAGAAAAAAAGGCTGCTTGAAATACATTCTGCATGTATTCCAGCAATATTCAAAAGAGTTCATATTAAACCAAAAACTATTTTAATATACATTTTACCCTTTTGCTTTATCATTTTGTCTCATAGAAAATATTATGTGAGATTTACATATCAGGTTTATATATATGTATGTTGGAGAAGAAAAAAAACATACAGGTTTATAGCAGTTGGACTTTTTAGAATTAATTAATCTAATGGGGGAAAACAGCAAAATTTTCAAAATCTTTACTCGATTATCCCAACAGATTATACTTTACCTTAAGCCTCCAGACTTAGTCGTTGAAGCAGGAAATAAACATTAAATAAAAGCTTTATACCAGTCTATAATGCCACTGTGTTTCCAGCTACAAGGACATTTTAAGTACATAATCAAAATACAGAATTTGTCAACAACATCAGCTGCTTTCAAAGGCAGCCTCAGGCCTGATAGTCACATCTGGACTATTTACTGTTTCGAAATGTCAGACGTATTAAAAATAATCAGCCCACAATAGGCCTGTTTATAGCCCACAAAACCGGAAATGTCAGCATCCTTGAATATTTATAAGGACGTCGGTACATTATCCACGCAGGCTTAATCGTCCGTCCAGGTGAAGCTGACATCAGTCTGATGGGACGAGGTGACAGCTTGGGAAGGCAAACAGCACCATCTTGTGGCTGAAAGCGTCAAGTGTAGAAAAACACTGTTGATCTGCAGGTGGAACCTCATTCAGCACAAGACAGGACAACATGACAAATATAATCTATAAGACAATAACATGTTTATTACATTTTTTCTCCTGAACATGTAAAAGAAATAGTGGGAGGATGAGAAACAAAAAGTCACTGCTTGTAATAAATAAATAGTAGTAAGGTTCAATAATCCAGTAAAAATCATATGAATTGAAGCACCTCAAAGTGGCCAAGAAAAGAGATAAGACTGCACACACTTTAAAATATGAATGAAATAAACATAAAAGAGTTGAATGAGCACATGATTGATCACACAGAGAAGGAACTAGAAACACAGACTGATCCCACATCTGCCGTACTGTACATTAAATGTTTTAAAAGTTAACTTCTCTGTACATGAAATCTTTAAATCTCTGGGAATAATTAATATGGGAAATGAACAACAAGTGAATGCATTTGCAATGTATATAAAAAATAATAGGAAATTGGCTGCAATCGAAGCTGAATTCTTCTGAAAGACATTTTTCTGCTGGTAGACGAGGTACATCAGACACATACAACAACAATTTAGAGGTAAAATCAGATTCCGAGAGGACAGATAAATGTCAAAAAGGAAAAAGAAAAACATCTTATCAAATGTTTAAATACAAAAACTAGAATAAAATGCATATATATTATTATAATCAGACAGAAAACAAAGATGTGTTCTAAAATGTGCGGCTGTATGACGTGCCTACCTCTTTCTACACCCACCCCTCTACTATCCACAAGCTCATCAGCAAGTTAGAAGCAATTTAGACATGTGTTTGAGCTGGAAACCGATTCTGAAGAAGAAAATGACACATAAGTCAACCTTTCAAGTTGATAATTAATTTCATAGGTTTGTTGTGTATGAAACACCTGAAGTTGGAATCTGTTTTTTGAGACGGTCATCAGTTCCAAGGTGAAAATTCTCAGCCATGCCATATGTACATGTTAACAAGGTTAAAAAACGAATATAAATATTTTCTATGCAAGGAATATTTAATTGGGAGTTTTCTGGAAACTTCGTTTTTTACCATCATGTAGGAAAACTTTAGGATGTACAAGCTTCTGGACAGGCAGCAGAGCTCCGTCTCAAACAGACTGATTCAGCTCCGCTGTCACAAGGACCGGTACAGGAAATCTTTCCTGCCCAGAGCAATAACCCTTTACAACACCTCACCTCTGTCTGGCAGAGAGCATTCTCAGCTCTCTACTCTGTAAAATCCTTTGTTTTTTGCACTTTTTTTTTTTTTTTTTCAATTTGCACATTTTGTACATTTTATTTTATTTTATTTTTATTTCATTTTATTTTTATTTTTCATTTTTTAAACAGTATTTAACTTTGGCCCTTTTCTGTTGTGATTGGTGTTTTTCTTTTTTGCTGCTGTATCAAAATAATTTCCCAGGCCTGGGATAAATAAAGCATATTCTATTCTATTCTATTCTATTCTATTCTATTCTATTCTATTCTATACACATATTATCCTGTAGAGGGTTGCAGGAGGCTGGAATGTAACCCAGTGGGCACTGAGTGAGAAAAAAAACAATGTTTGCTTACTCTTATGCTTACAAAATCACAAATGGTCTTTGGAGAGGGAAGGAAGCCAGAGCATCTAGAAGAAACCCACTCAGGTACAGGAAGGACATGCAAACTCCCCACTGGAAGGCCTCACCTGACCAGTATATTTGAACACGGAACCTGCTGGCTTTGAGGTTAACCACTGTGCCGCCCTGAGCAGTAATTATGATGAAGCTATTGATGTGACGCCAAGATTTCTTGCCTGACACAACTGTAAAAGAGAGGGATCCAAGACAGGAGCTGATTCTGTCTTTCTTTGGCTCAAAGATAAATATGTCAGTCTTATCTGTATTTCACTGGAAAAAACAAAAACAAACAAAACAGCTTTTACTGCATCCAGTCATTGATTCTCTCAGGTAATACAGAGTTTCAACAGGTCCATAATCACCTGGTAAAAGTGATGTTTATGTCTGTGTGTCATCTGGATAATTATGATGGGCCACTCTATTATTTTGAATAAACACATGTAAACTACTGAAAACAAAAAAGGATATTATACATAAATAATACTATTTTAATAAACAAAAAAATAACTGCTGATAAATGTATACATTGTATATAATTGTAAGAATGTGACATTACCCAGCTGGCCTGTAGTTACACATGCCACCACAGGGGGCGCATGTCAGTCGAGGTTGACTGTTTCAGCCGCAGAAGAAGAAGCAGAAGCAGAAGAAGAAGCAGAAGCAAAAGAAGAAGAAGAAGCAGAAACAGCAGAAAGAGAAGAGTTGTTGCTGCTGGAGTTTACTTGTTGAATGACAGGAGACTAAAGTTGTTTTGGGGTTTTTTTGTGGTTTCACAGTTTGGCAAAGACTCAGCACGTTTCTGCGCCGAGTCGCAGAGTTTCTGACACCTGACTGTGAACTTCGCTCCGGAAAATGCGGGACCGAACTAAAGAATTAGGAAACGTGAGTTTCAAAGTAAACGGCTAACGTTAGCGGGAACAAGCTAACCCGCTAACTTAGCCAAGTTCATTAGTTGGCTTCCCAGTCGGCGCTGACAACTTTGACTACTAGAATGAATTCAAATAAGCGATTAAAATAACGATGTTTAGCTGTTTTCTGTGCCTGAATGCTTACTTTAGCGACGTTTTATTCCCAGCTTCCGTTTCTCCTCACAGGATAGGGCAGGCCGGGGTAGGGCAGGGCTGCACATCTGAGCTCACATCTTCTTACAGCACTAAAGCACTCACTGTTGTTGTTTGTTTTCGTCTCTATTCTTGTCGCTCTGGCTGCAGAACGCCGAAGCTTCAGACGAGGATGAGGAGGGCAAAGCTTTGATGATCAGACCTGGAACATCTTCAGCCAAAGATGATAAGGAAAATGATGCTTTCTTCAAAAAGGTGATCCTCTCAAAGTGTTCGTCTCTGCGGCTCTTTCAGAATATTAGCAGATGACTTGCATCGCTGTTTAGGAAGACTCCTCCTATAATGATGAGGTTGAATTTGTAGGGAAGTGCATCTGCATAGAAAATACAAAAAATATTCAATAAGGCTGTTTGGACCATTTCTCATATGGTGTCATACAGGCAAAGAGATCTTAAATGGTATTTTGCTTTAGATAACATTCACAGCCGGTTGCACAGAGCTTTGTGGTGCAGATTAAAATGGTCAAACAAACTGTTTCCTTGTGTAGCGACAGTGCTGACAGAATACCTGTTTCTGGTTAACCTTCTGAAGTTAAACATTTCCTTTTTAATGACATTGCATTTTTACGTGATTTTTGCAATCAAATCTTCCTGTTCCTGTTCCTGGTCTGGCTGTGCACATGTGGAGCCTGAGTGTTAACAAACTCTGTGTCTTTTTAAAATGAAGTTGAAAAGATGTCATCAGAAAGGCTTGTCTTGTAGATCAGTTGTGTAAAATTACAACTGTGGGAATTTTGTGTTATAGTTCCAGTTAATTTGCTTTACATTGCACTGTCACTACTGAACATGCAGACATTGCGGTATTGGTGATCAAAAGATGTTTTGTGCAACCCTAGTTGGCAAAGTATTTCTGTAACCTGCTTATTTTAGGAATAAAATAGTTTGAAAACAATGCAGAACATCACATTTGTGGAAAAGGGGGTAAAAGGCAGTGCTGAGGTTTAAATATGACACAGACTGCTGCTGCTGTTTCTACGTTTGTTTTGTCAACATTTCCGTCTCTGCTAATCCCACTCCCCTTGTAACTGAGCAGCCATGAACAAGGACCCAGTGTTATTTCCTAACTGTTGAATATTGTCAAAAAATTCATTGGATCAGACTAAAGGCAGAACCTAATTTCGGGGAAATATGTAATTGCAATTCGATTTGCAATACAGTTTTTCAAAACTCTTTCAATTCATTACACAGTGGACACTGATTTGAGAAAATGTGATGGAATATTATTACATGAGATAACGTCAAAAGTGAGACTGTCACACAAAGAGGACGACATGAATTTGTAAAACCGCTGACCCTGGGTCAGACATGCTGCATAATGTACAATGTGTGGCTATTAAATAATACAATGAGCTCACGTTAGTCGAATCACCTCAACCACACAGTATACTGCAATTAATGTGCTCATTTAAAAAAAAAAAAAAAAAAAAAAGAGCCCAGACCGTTTCAATCTGCTCAAATTAAATAAAACTGAAATGCAAAATTAGTTTCATTATCTAATAGCCACACCTCATACATCCTAATTTGTATCCCTGATGATTTGCTCTTGACATTTGACCTCTAGTCAAGGATTTTTTTTGTTTGTAAAATGTCAAAACATATGAAGATAACAATTTGCAAAGATATGAAACCAAGATAACCAGCAAATTCTCCCGTTTGAAAACCTGGAACCAACCGTTTCCTTTTAGATAGAGATAGATAGATACTTTATTATTATTACCTGACAAACAAAACTGTTCTGTTGATCATCTAGTTGAATAATTGCCTACAAATGTATTAATGTTGTTGCCTACAAATCCTGAAACTGCTTCATGCTTCTCAGGTGCAAGAAATCCAGGAGGGCCTGCACAACCTCAAACGAATGGTTGCTGACCTTGAGACCAAACAGAAGACGGTGCTGGGTGTTCCGCTGCCGGAGGAGAGTACGTATAGACATGTAGGCTATCAGTCGGTCAGAGTTTAGATACTGAGCAATAATAAACTTAGGTAGATGATTGCTTATGGTAGTTTACAAAGAGTGCAGGCAGGAGCTTGTCAGGAAGCAGTTTTTCTGACCACGTGGCCTTCACCTTCATCTTAATCAACTCAGAGGTGGCTCACATTGTCACACACAGAGCCTCTGTTTCCTGAATATGCTGTTTTATTCTTATGTTAGGCACGAAGAAGGAGCTACAAACACTCAGAGAGGAGATCAAAACATTGGCGAGCCAGATCCAGAGAAAGCTGAAGAGTGAGTATTTTATAAAGTTTTTGTTTGTTTGTTTGCTTACTTGAGTTCTAATCAACAATCTTTCTGCAGGTATTGAATCCAAGAAGGGAGAGGAGGATGGAAAATATATACCCATTAATGTTCGGATGCAGCGCACACAGGTAGAGCCTCACCTCTGCTTTGTCCTCGCTAGTAATACCTTTTAAGAAGAAAACCCCTACATTTATTGTATACTTCTGTAGATATATTCTCTCTCGCTATCCTAAAATATCAGAAAGTATCTGGTAAATATCAACACGCTGACATTTGTAGCAGCATGAAACCACTTTATTTCAGACGAAACTGGCTCATTGGCTTGAAATGAGAAACCGATTCCTGCCTGGCAGGTTGATCATCTCAGTCACATGCTCCACTTTTAAGCATCATGCCGGATTGTGGAGATGACTTGCTGTGTGAGAAACATAACCATGTTAAACAGAAGCTAGTGTTTACACAGAAACATCGAAGAAACCCTGTGGAAGTAATCATGTGAAGATAAAAGAGGAAATGGGAAAAAATATCCTGCAACCACAGTCAGAAACGATAGTTGAATGTTAGATAGCATAATCTGAAAGATAAAAAAGAAAGATGATTGTACCGTTTATACTAAGATTAGTATCTTTTTCATACATGTCTGTTATATTGTATGAGGCCAGTGTGGACAAATAAATGAGAAACTTAGTATAAGTATTTGATTTACAGGAAAGTCTCTTCATTTGTCCAAAAACAGACATTTTAATCTTGTTATTTTGCCTAAAAATTCACAGAAAACCGTTTCTACAGTTTTGTCCACCTCATTAATATTAGAAACAGCACAAGCTGTAGCCTCCTGACATGCTGAACATTATAAACAGCACAAAGGGAGGACTGAATGCACAACTGCTATGTTAGATAGTATGTTGGTAGCCCAACAAAATACATCCACAGTTATCCAAATCTCCCATTAAGTTTGATTTTTGGGGACTTTTATTACCGAGTTTATCTCTAAATCCAGGTTCAAGCAGCAAATCTAAATGTACAAAGACCAAAATGTTCTCATTTGTCCTTCCAGCACGGCGTCTTGTCCAAGGAGTTTGTGGAGCTGATGGGTTACTGTAACACCATCCAGGCCGAGTACAGAGATCGCAATGTGCAGCGAATACAGAGGCAGCTGAAAATCAGTGAGTACATGGAGCTGATTTGTGCCCTTTGTGGTTTGTAGGCTTTCTCAGGGAGATCACGCTTTGACCGATCATTTCCCCACTACAGCATAGATCGAGGTTTCAGTCACACGTCATGTCCTTGCTCTGACACTTTCTGTTTAAAATGATAACTTCCATGCTGTTTATTAATTGTCAACGCGAAGTAGAGTAAATGTTCCCAGCATATTCACACTTAGTCATAGTCTGATGATAAAAAGTATCTTTCTTAGTCAGCGCATTAATTTGGTCCAGTATTCAGCGTGTAAAGGTGCAGCAATATTTCTGTCATTTCTGTGCACTCAACCCCCAAAAAAAGGGATGTGATGTTTTTGATTTATGTAAAACAGATTTAAAGCAAAGCTGCTGGCTCTGAAGGTTTTTTTTTGAGGTTTGAGGTTCATAACCTCAAAGGTGACCAACATTCCAACACTCATGGATGACGCAACAGTCGTGCAGATTTCAGTTTCGGTTTTAGTTATTGCCACTTTGCTTGCGAGAAATCATGTTTCGTTGGCGTCATTTGGCTCTGAATCCTTTGACACCCATGAGCCTTGCCTACCTTTTGCAATGGAAAAAAAAACAAAAGGCCAAGGACAGCCCATGAATTAATCTACAATTAACTCCAAATTTAAAACTTATGAGGGTTATGCTTCAGTTTTTGTTTTCAGCTTCTTCCTTGCTTTAACTGCAAGCTTTGGATGTTTCTTAGCATCTCTGAGGGAGTCACAGTTGATTTACACCTCAATATGTAACTTTTTATTAAAGCACTAGATGTTGTTGTTTGGACAAATAATCAAAGCCATAAAAACGCTCTGACTGTGAGTCTTCTAACACATCTGTGGGGAAAAATAAAAAGCGCTTTTACTCACAGAACCTGAGCAACCTGAAATGACGCCTCCCACATCTTCTACTCCCACAAACAAGTCAGGATCATGAGGCGCCGACTAAAGCAGCGTTTCTATTGGCTGAGCGATCAACAACGATCAGCCAGAGTTGAACAAAGACGAACCACCGACAGTGAAACCTGAAACAAAACTTGAATTTTGTCAAACTTGACAGGACGTTGTGAGATATTAAAGACATAAACCTGATCTGATTTTGTTCACGTTGGGCAGTCTTGGCTGGGGAGCTGCAAGGATTTCTGAGGAAAACGTGTTTGATGATTGATCATTTAAGTAATTTATAAAGCAAAAATGGCAAAACAGCTGATTGTTCGACATCTTAAAGGGGAGAATTTGCTGTTTCTCTCAGTCTTGTGTGATAGTAGTTGAATATTTGAGGTGTGCTGAGCCTTTAACGCTGCTTCCTGGTGTTTGACAGCGTAAATAATGAACAGCCTCAGGGAAATCATTAGCTGCTGTCTTAAGACACCAAGGAGGATGCCAGGGGGGAAAAAAATCTCTTTTTGTTTAGTGTTTTTGTTTAAATATCTGCATCAAATACATCAAAGCATAAGAAATGAGCGATACATCTCAGAGTCAGCACTTTAAAAACCTTTTTTTTTTAATGTACATTGGTTCCCCCCATGACAGTTGAGTTATATAAACACATTTTCCCTCTGATTTCTGCAAATCCAGCTAAAAAAAAATCACTATTTGGTCTCAGATGCTCAAAACCTGAGCCGACAGACAGAGCTGAAGTTTATCAACCGACTTAATCGAGTTTTATTCAGCTCGACTCCAGAGAAAGTCAGAGGGCAAACACACTTAGATAGAGGAAGTATATTTTCTATTTTTATTCTCTCTCCTGCAGCATTTCTCTGATCTAGTTTCCTTTTGACCTCAGCTGGCGCCAACGTGACGGATGAGGAGCTGGATTCGATGCTCGAAAGCGGGCAGACGGATGTTTTCACCCAAAATGTGAGTATGAAGGCTGTCTGAAGCCGCGACACGTAACACACGTGTATCTGTTTCCCATCAACCGTCATCATGTTACGCTTTAGCAACTTAAACCAGTTGGAAATGATTTGCTCTGTTGCCACCTCTCTGACTGCTCAAACTGGACAACAGATGTGGTAAGACAATCAAGTGCAGCCCTTAGATGCGTCTTGATGCCCACGTAGTTGGTAGTGTGAGGAGTCCTGCTGGTCTTGTGCAGCCTTTCATAGACGTTAGCCTGAAGACAGACGCTTCTGTTGTCTATGTGCCTCCTGACAAATATGTGCTGCGCAGATCCTGATCGACGCTAAAGCTACGAAGCAGGCGCTGAATGAGATCGAGTCCCGACACGACGAGATCCTGAAGCTGGAGAGGAGCATCAAAGACCTTCACGATATGTTCCAGTATCTCGCCATGGAGGTGGAGGCTCAGGTACAGCCATCACCAGCGATCACCTCCCTCAGGCCGCTTCAGATCACAAACAGCGTTTGATCCTGATGTTTTTGTCTTCTGCAGGGCGAGATGGTAGACAGGATCGAAAACAACATCAAGGAATCGTCTAACTACGTGGAGAAAGCAAAGGAAGACACCAAGCAGGCGGTTAAAAATCAGCAGAAAGCGCGCAAGGTACAGTGTGCTTTTCCACACATTAAATGGACAGTTTAACGAACTGCAAAGTCTTTTCTGGGCCCAGTTCCAGCGTACATCCTGGTGCCACGTTAACTTTACATCACTCAGATTTTAATTACAGGACACTGACACGGTTAACATCCTAATCCTGGAAAATTCCAACCACAGACATGAAAAAGTCAGATTTCAGACTGGACTATCAGGCCAGCTTCAATTTGTGTTGTATTAGAATGCTCTAAAATACGGCAGACGTTAGCAGGACTGTTTGGAAAGGTGTAGAAGCTGCCTTTGTTTTTGTTTTTTTAAAGGGCATTCATCATGAACATCTCTGAACACAATGTCTTACTGACTTTGCTCACCTGTTTGTCATTTTCAGCCAGAAGAGCCCTACTGATCACATAATAATTCACTATAAATCTAAATCTGGCATGTCTATCAATAGGTTAACTGTAGGTTATATGAGTCAATGACAGCAGCTACCTGAAACATGAATGTCACTTGTTTGACTGTTTTGTGTCATTTTCTGTTTTAACGTTAAATATTTCATCATGTCATGTGTTCTCCAGGTAACCTTGGCTTAAGTTGTAAATCTGCAGTCTACCGCGTTAATTTTACATTTGGTGTATTTGACCAGCAGCTATGTTTAGGAGTCTATGACTCCGTTTATTAGGTACTTATAATGCAGCCCTGAGGCGCCTCTCCATTCACACCTAAAAACATGTGAGAGTCGCGTCTTTGACGGGCCGTGACAAATGTGATTTTGAGGTGATGATAAATAACCCAGAACTCCACACCAGTCAGTAAAAACTGAGACAACTCCTTGAATGAAGGTCTTTTTTAAAAACAGAAGTCCACTTGCCTTTTTACTGAAGCACTTATGTTCACCGTGACCTGAATGACTGAGAATCTACACAGACGCTTTGGTTTTCTGGTTACGTCCAGCTGACAAGAGATCTGAGAACATGCAGATTATACGAAGTGAAGGCCGAAATCTTTCAGACCTATACCAAATTTTGATTTATAGTGGATTTTTATTTAACCAATGTGTTTCTTCAGGCTGTAAATGACATGAGCAAGTGACAAAACACACAAAGATAGTGAATTAAAGATGTTCATGCTAAATTTGAACTATTTCTACTTAAATTTATTCCTGGGCTTTAAAGCCTGGGAGCCTCTCAGGAGGAGCTGGAAAACAGTCCACAACTTCTCCATTTTTTTTATTTTTTATAATTTATAATTTTGGCTCTATTCTCTGCAGCAAACCTGCAGAATTCTGTACATAGAGCTTTTAAACGCTGCCTGATCTCGCAGCAGGACAGGATCCGTGGACTGTGAACGGCAGGGTGCTTCAAAGTCTGAAAGTGTGTAAATGTTAGTATTGGAAATGGGCCATGCAGAACCTGCTCTGCACTAGTGGAGGCCAACAACAACAAATAAAGCCACAATTATTTAAGTAAACCTGTTGTACAGCAACTGAAGTTTCCAATGTTGCTGTCATGTTTTTTCCTCTCCCGTGCTCACAGCTTTGTAGATACTAAAGGAAAAGATCAATTAGGACAAAATAGGAAAGCTGTTGCGATTTATTTTTTAATCTGTCTGTTTCTCTTTCTCTGCAGAAAAAAGTTTGGATCGCAATCTGCTTGGCCATCCTCATCCTCATCCTCGTCATCGCATTGGCCACCACCTTCACCTAGTTACGCTAGACAGCCGCTGTAAGTCGGCTACAGGCAGAAGCACATTACGGATTCAGAAACTTTCCTTTCATGTAAATACATCAGCCCACAGGATGTACGGGTGAACATAGTCAATGGAATTCGTCTGTCTTTGCCCGTTTCACATTGTCTCTCTAACCCTTCTGTCCACCTAACAGGCTTGTTTGTGTCCTAGACGCGATGTGCTCTCTGTCCCTTAAACTCACACACGACTTCAGTCTTTCCTGCAGCTCCAGTCGAGGCAGTGCTGCAGGTTCATGTCAGTTTCTCTTCTGCAAAACAAAGAGCAGGAAAAAATTATGAACTGTTACGTCCTTCCCCTCCCTCCTGCATGAAAGAGGAAATAACCTCGAGCAAGGCATAATGCAGTATTGAAACCCAACACTGGCGCTGATCATGCTGTACTCAGGAAAACTGCCGTCGACTCTTGTTGCTTCTGGACGAATTGGAGACGTAAAGAACAATTTTATAGAGTAAGGCTTTCTTTTATAGGCATATATAGACTAATATAATTGTACATAACCTATATTGCTGGGGATTAAGATACTGTATACTATATGCAGATTATTTTTAAAACTTGAAACTTGTTTCAAACTGACTACGTGAAACAAATGTAAATACAGATTTTTTTTGGTGTGAAATAACTGCCCCTGTTTTGCTTTTTTTTTCTCTTTAATTTTACAAAGGTGTCTCAGCCCTGCAATAACAGGCCCAAGGTCCTGTTTATTTGTCCTACCAGTATGTATTTATGATCTGAACACTGTGTAAACTATGAGAAAAGTTCTGCAACACCACAAACCTTTCTCCAAAACTGTGCCTTCTCCTTTATATCAAACTGAGAATGTGTTGTTGTGCACTAACATTGTCAAGAAGGGATGGACTGAGTTTTTAAATCTGTTTATATGAGTCTAAATTCACACAGTAACGTTGCAGCTGTGAGATACCTGTTGTTTTTTTTTTTTCCTTCACCAGTCTGTCACATTGTCCAAGATCTTCGTCCGGTTTAGGTTATTCTGCAGGTAAATCCTGTCGCGGCGATGTGTTTGCTAACCAGGAAACACATTTCTGGACACAAACAGAACCTGTTCAGGCCACAATGTGACGAATCTGTCGACAAAAACGACCCAAAACTGTTCGAGGAAGTTCAGCTCTCGCGGAAGTCTCTTTGGGAAAAGACTGAACGAGGAGAGAGCGGCGACTTTGCTACTGTGTAAAATTATGGCTGTTGAATTTTGCATCACATTTATTTTAATATAGGTTTGTTTTTAAAATAAAATACTGCCATGTTCTATCATTCTGTGTTTGTGTTTTATCATTAACCCTCCAAACCTGTGGGTGGACAAGTGTGTTGTCTTTATCAGAGCAACAAGCTGGAAAAACACTAATTTTTTTGGATTTTAACTTTCTGATGGTCTTGGAACTACTCGTGATGTCATGAAAACGTACCAAATGCAAGATTACATTTGTGATATTTCATGAAAATCATTTAACTCTGCATTTAAAATCTTACCAAAAATAACTTGTTTCCCACAGATTCTGTTAAAGAAAAATTCTTCACCCGTCAACACAATGGAGACTATTCAGGGGCTATTAGAGAAAGTAAAACATACTTAAAGGATAAAATACATGCAGCCTGGCTGAAAAATGATGTAAAGAGGAGCACATTATTGGAATAGACATTCAGCATGGTGAAATATCTGGAGTTGATGAATAGAGGAGCATGAAAAACAGTTTGCAGAGAAGGTAAAACTGTTGGTAGCTAAGTATCTAGAATCATTTGTTTACAGACTTGGTAACACCTATGGACACTTGGAAAATTGCATATTTTCTATTAGGATTGATGGCATTGTGTTATACTGCAATAAAACATTTCTGAGCTCTCTACTTCTAGCCATGGTTCTGCTGTTTTCACAGAGCTGCAGGACTTCATATTGCAGTTTTGTTTAGCTGAAAACACGCATTTTCTCTCCCCGTCGAAGCAGCTTCCTCATAGAGTAACACAAAGCTTCAAACACAAATGAAAAATGGCAACTAATTTTTGGTCTTTTTATTCAACTGTAATTGTCTTAATTTTCAAGTAAAACAATGTGGAATTACAAGGGATCAAAGGAATGCAACAAATAAAGAGACAAATCAAAAAGTAAGACCATCACCATAAACTATCGACCATCCCCTGCCAAATATCACCTTTGCTCAACAAGTCCGAAAGTAAATCGACAATTTACAGTCATCTGGAACTGTACCAGTAATTTTATTCACATATTTCGTCCAAGTATTTTTTTTTTTTAATTACATGAACCAAGAGCAATGAAGTGATGGTGACAAAATTCCAGGTGAAAAATAAACATTAATTTGGTAGCACTGATGCACGGGGTGCTTTTCTTAATGTTTCACAGGGGGGGTTGTATGTTTTTTTTTTTGTTGTTTTTTTTTTTTTGTAAGTTTGGCTTTTTTTTAAATAAGAGAAGCTCAACACCCCTGCTTCAGGTGCTTCACAAGGCAATCTGAGGTTCAAAACCATTTGGCCAAAGAGGCACTCTTTATTTCACTAACATTTACTTGCCCTTTCGGTATAAATACATGACAACTGTAACTGCCTTTGGGAAGATTGGGGCGACAAAGATGGATTTGTGGTGTAAAGCAAAATGCCTTCGCGACAATTTGCAACTTCAATTAATACATTTCCGTAGAGATACATCGCAAGGTACCAATTAACTGACTTAAGTTGATGTACAAAACGTATCACCACACCACAATGTACTCGAGAGCCAAGGGCCACATCAGATGTGCAAATGAGATATGCAAGGCTGGATTTTAAATGAATCCAATGAACAGAAATCGACATGGAAAAAGGGGCCCAAGCAAAGACAAGCTCCAGCATAGTGCAGCAAAGATCACATTGACAGATCTGTTCTCTTCCTAATACCCTGGAAGAAATAATAAAATATGCATAACTTATCAACTGACTACAAAGAAACAATAGTCAGGACAGCTGACAAAATTCTCAAAACCCAAGCTTTCTAAAACCTCCAACTTACAATACAACTGGTCACTCAAAAGATTTAAATGTCACACAAATGACTTTTCATGTATAACCCTAATAGAGGGTGCTGTATAATCCCATCTTAACACAGAGGATCTGAGTGTTCCAGTCTTTAATGATTACAGTACATAATGTGAACTAACAACTTGCCTGTTTTTTTTTTTTTACCTTTTGCTCCTTCAAGTCCCAGTAGCGGGTTTCTCCACCGCACCACCTCTCTGTCTGTTTACGGACGCACGATAATGGCGCCACTTTTTTTACTGTCAGTCCAGCATCCCTGAGCCTTCCCCCAGCGTCAATATCTGAGCTGGCGAGGGGACCAGCTCCAGTTAGAAAGGGAGAGGGCCCGAGAGGCAGGGAGGTCCCTGGCTTGTGCAGCACTCAGTTCCCTTGCTTTCATTAGAGTGCAGACAAAGCAGCAACCTTGGAGGTCATGACATGCTCTCGTATCGTGCTCGGCAACACTCTCGCTTTTCCCTTTGGCACTCCGATCATGTCTTGTTGTGACGCTGCTGACTGGCCGAGGAGCGGGTGCTCGCGGCCGGTGACCGGGCCTGAACCGCCGCGAGTGCTGCGACGCTCCTCAGCACCCTGTCCGGCGTCCCCTCGGTCCCCGAGCTGCTCGTCACCTCCTGCGAGAGCTTGTGAGACCTCCTGCTGTCCTTCCGGCCCTCCCTTTGTTCCTTCTCCTTTTTGTCTCGTCTCTTGGCCCGTTCTGAGCTGCGGTCCCTCTCACGCTCGCTGCCAGAGGAGGCGGCGCGGGACCGGGACCCTCGGCGCTCTGTGTTCTGAGAGCTGATGCTGTGGGTGCGTTGGCTGCTGTTGCTGCTGCTGCGGCTCCTGCTGCTGCGTCCCACGCAGTCGCCCTCGCCGTCGCTGCTCATGCTGCTGCAGGCGCTGTGGCCCCGCGAAGAAGACTGAGCCTCACCCTCGCCTTCCTTCCCCCTCGACGGCTTCCGGCTGCCCCTCTCTTTATCCTCCGATCTAGACCTCTTGTACTCGTCTTCTAGAGGTGGAACCAGAGAGCCAGGGCACTGTCTGGTGGAACGGGATGCAGAGCGGCTCATCTGATTGGGCGTTACAGGTTTGCTGCCACCGCTTTTATTATTTGTAAGAGATACGGAGTTGCTCTGAGGAGAAGCTGGTACACTTTTACTTTTAGGCTTTTGGTTCTTGTCAGAAGGGGAGGCGGTGGAAGTAGTGGCAGCCTTAGCTCCTGAGTCTCTCCGAGTGGTGTGACCGGGCGTGTCCACCCGGCCTTTCATTGCTAGAAGCTTGGCGGCTGCATTAAGTGCAGAGCATCTTTTCCCCAGAACTTCTGGTTCGGGAGGCAATGAGGGTGCGCTGTTAGTCTGAGCTTTGCTGTCCTGTGGAGGGTGAGGTCCTGCAGACTTTCTGGTGAGCCTAACAGAAGACGTATCACTGCCCGACTCTCCTCCTGTGGACGTGTTGGTGTTGTTTGAGGCATTTCTGTCCGAGCTGTGTGACGGGTTCGTTCCTTTCCTTTCCTTGCTGCCCTTTACTGTCTCCTGATCTTGCAGCCTGCGCTTGCCTGAGCGAGTCAGCCGGTGCTCCTTCCTGCTGTCGCTGCTGTCAGAGTCGGAGGAGGAAGAGGGAGACCTGGAGCGCCTCCTTCTCGAGATAGCAGCAGTGACCTCCGTCTCGCCGCTTTCCTCTTTCTTCTCCCCACCCTCTTCCTTCATCTCCTCCGTCCCTGCCTCTGAGGTGACATCCATCCGCCTCCTTTTGGCAGGATGCCTGTTCTCATAAGTCCTCTTGTGGTGAGCGTGGCGAGTGAGAGTCGATGTAGAGCAGCCAGATGATGGCGAGGAGGAGCGCGTAGACTCCTGGCTACTCTGGCGACTGAGGGACTTTTTCTGATTGTGAGGGCTCTGGTCTTCTGTATTTTCCTCCTCTGTCTGTTGCTTAGCTTCTTCTTTCTGAGGGTTCGTTGGACTCTTTGTTTCTCCTCCTGCTCCTCCTCCGTCCCTTCCAGACTCACCATCTTTGGTCTCAGAGGAACTCTCCACTTTTCTTCTTTTAGGCTGAGACTTTGAGATGTCCTGCTTTTTGTCTTCCTTCTCCTTGCAAGTCTTTGCTTCGGCATCCACAGCATCTACTTCCATTTCTGTCACCTTGTCCGAGTCACTTTTACAGGCAGACTCTTTCTGCGCTGGCTCAAAAGACTGCTTCTCAGGTAAAGCACCAGATGTGGGAGCAGATGTGGCTGCCTTTGTGGAAACATCTGTTGAATCAGAGTTTTGGACTTGTGGGGGAATGACTGCAGCGGTTTGTGTGATAAACACAGGAGCAGCTGTGGATGCTGCAACTGTTGCTACAGTAATAGTGGATATGTGGGTAGTAGCGTCGTTTGTGGTGGCAACAGAGTTTTCTGAGGACGATGTAGTTGTGGTGACTGTTGGTGGAGCTGGTGTAGGTTCTGTGGAAGTTGTTACTGGGGTCTTAACAGTCTTTTCTGCAGTCGTTGTAGGGGTAAAGGAAGTGTGGACTTTGGAAGGTGTCGCAGCTAGAGGTGGCGTTACTTTAACTTCCTCTATGTGGGGTGGTGAAGTTGCTGCAGCTGACTTTGCCTCAGCAGATGTAGCTGGAGACTGAGAGGAGATTGCTGATGCAGCTGAAGACTTGACAGACTCAGTAGCTGCCTGAACCTGTGTAGCCATGTGAACATCTGTCGTTGGTGAGGTTGTGACCGGGATTTTGGTAGATGTGACATTAGTCCTTGCTTTGGGTGAAGAAGGTGGAGGTGTATTTACAGTAGACAGTGCAACATTTGTTACTGGCGGTGTTAGAGGAGGCTTGTTAGATGTGGTTGGGCTTGTGTTTAATATATCTGTGTGCATTGTTTTTACTGGAGTTTCTGAGTTCGTTGAGCTAGCTTGGACTGTTTGTAGTGGAGGTGGTGTAGCTGTAGAGGTTGGTTTTGGTGAAGCTGTAGCCGGGCTTAATGGTGTTGCAGGAGGCTTTTGGGTGGCAGGTGAGGTGGAGGTTAACGCAGGTGCAGTAGATGGTGCAGAGGTTGGCGGCGAGGCCTTTGCAGCAGTAGTTGTTGTGAGTGATTTCACTGTAGTGGTGACTGCTGGTGTATCACTTGATGATTTTGATACAAGAGTTGTGGCAGCTGTGGTTGTTATTGTTGGGTGTGTTGATGGTGGAACTGCATGCGACAGTGTGGGGGGAGCGGAAACAACTGGTGTGGCAACTGTGGTGGTTTTGGCAGAGTCTGGTCCTGTTGTTCTCACAGCTGCAGAAAGTGAAGAGTTTGGCTCTGCAGCAGCCTCAGAAGCTGCGGAAACCACAAGTGTCGGTTTCACACCTGCAGGAGTTGATGAGACGGTGCTGGCAGGTGGTGACGAAGCTGTGGCAGTGACTAGAGCAGTGGCACATGTGGACAGACTGACGGAGGACGCTGTGTCTCTAGCAGGAGCTGAACTAACAACCTCGGTGGAGACAGCCACAGGTAAAGGTGCAGTTGGTGTCTGGTCTGTAGCCAAGACTGGTGTGGAGTCTTGGTTTGTCTTTGCTGCAGGGGCTGAAACTTCAGTTTTAGTGTCTGTTTCCTCAGCTTTGGCTGACTCCGAGTCCTGACTTGTGTTGAAAACAGCAACGGGAGTCTCTAGCGTGTCCGCTGCCTCTGTGCTCGTATCAGTTTTTGATGTAGCGGATACATCAGAGTTCTGCTCTTCGCTAACAGCATCTGCCATGGTCACGTCTTTAGGAGGACGACCTCTCTTACGTTTAGGGGACAGAGCAGGGTTCACTTCCTCACTTGGCGAGGTGGGCTGTGGGGAAGGGGTTGTTGTGATGTCAGTCTCAGATATTCTAGGGGGAGTCTTAGGGGGCCGGCCCCTTTTTCTTTTCAAAGGAGCCACAAGTGAATTCACGCTGGACTCTGCTGACGCTGAACTTGCGTCTTTGCCTGGTGCCGTGTCAGTTTTCTTGGACTGGTTCCCTCCTCTTCCTCTGCCCAGAAGTTGCTCTCCTAGCTGAGCAGCCATGCGAGATTCAGTTTCCAGCCTGCGTCGCACAGGAAGGTTTCTCAGCACAGGCATATCAGGGGAAAGATGGGGTGGGGAATATGGAGGATAACCTCTGACAGGCTGCGGGTGCACAGCTAGAGTTGGTGTAGATTCCTGGTCCTGAGGGGATTTGGTAACAGTCGCTTTAGTTTTTCCATCAGGGCTTGGCGATGTGCTGTCTTTGTTTGATTCGTCAACAAATCCAGCTGCATTCTCCTCCACTGCTGCCTCCTCTGAAGAACCTCCACCTCCAGTGCCGCTTCCTCGCCGTCTCCTCCTTCTCGGCTCCTTCTCCTCCACCACTGTGACCAGCCTCCCTGGAAGCTTTCGCAGGACTTTGGCTGAAGGGGAATCTTCGACCAGGCCCCGCAGGACTTCATTGTCTGCTGACTGACGCTTGCGAGGCGACCGGGAGCTAGTGGAGGGAGGAGACATGGCGCTGTGGTCCTTACTGTCATCATCTTTTGTCTGATGGTCCGCTGGGCAGCTGGATTCAAGTGATGACTCAGAAACTCTCCTCTCATTCTCCCCCTCCTTTTCCTCTTTGCCTGCTTTGGAGTTCTTGCCATCAGCCTCCCCAGCACACGGCTGTTTCCCTCCAGGGGGGGAGCTGGTAGGAGGGGAAGGCACTGGACTGGGATGGGAGCGGTTGGGTTGAGTCCTGGTTTTGACCGTCTGGTGATCTCTGGCGGGAGAAGAAGCTTTTGAAGATTTGGAGGAATCCTGAACCTTGCTTGATGAGGAGGTTCTGGGATGGTCTGAGCGGGACGGGGTGGTCGACACAGTAGCAGCGTCTTTGGCAGCTCCTCGTCCTCTCAGACCAAAGCGGAGTCTTTCAGGCACTTCTCTAGGGGTCGTGGGCTCCGCCTCCGTTTCAGGAGAGGCTCCACGAAGTCGGCCGCTGGTCCTCGTGGAGGTGACAGTCTTGTCCTTGGGTTTACGACCACGACGGGCTGGAGCTGGCTGGGCGGGCTCTGCAGAAGCTGGTGCTGTCAAAAAGTCGTCCTCGTCGTCATCAGATGAAGCGTGGAGCTTCAGGCCTTCCTCCTTGGCCTGGTCCAGACCCTTCCTGGCAGCTTCCACTTGCTCCTGAACACACACAAGCAGAGAGGACTTTTACATTTATGCAACTATAGAGGTTTAGTATTATAAAACCAACAATTTATTCATATTTTCTTCATTTGGACATAGTTCCTCAACATCTTCAATGTATCATAGTATTAGTAGTCGTCACTTTAAAATACCTTAAGGTTGGCGTAATGATGGTTAACAGTATTTATGAACATTTCTACACACTTTCCATTTTAAAAAACTAGATGTCTCCAGACTTCTATGTAGATTTTTACCATATTTTAATGTACAATTAACTTTATGTTTATTATATATGATATTTTGTTGCTAAATAATTCACAGAAGAGTGTATCTCTGTGGGCTGCAGCTTATACAAATCAATCAACACCAAAATACAGGCAAGTTCAACGCAGCTGCAACATCTCAGCCCAAACAGGGCCTGAGCTACTGATACTTGTATTATTTTCCCTTAACACATTGAATTAATAGTATATTATTATTGGCTCCTCCACATTTTTTATTCTCTTATAAAGACAAGAATGACAATGAGTTGACTCCATTTTCAGTGTCTTGATTATTCAACATTTACAGTGATGCTGCCATAACGTTTCCACAGTTTTCAATACTGCACAAGAACCCTAATTAAATGACTGTATCCGTGAAAATCAAGTTGAACACCTCAGTCCAAGCCTAAATATATGAACAGTATTTAGAAGTGTTACAAGCCAATAATATGGTGGTTTAGGAGATTTGTAGGTAATTTAACAGGTAATTTTTTTTTCTGGTTCCTGCTTCTCTAGTGTCAGGATTTGCTGCTTTTCTCTTTTTTTAATGGGGCTGAAAACTGAATCTCTTTATCTAGGTTTTGGATTGTTGATCAGACAGTACTTGAAGAACTCAGAACTGTGTAACTATTTTCTGACATTTTATGAAGTAAATCACTGCTGATTACTTGTTAAAAAAAAAAAATAAAATCAGGTAAACACTAGTTGCAGTCCTGTATTCCTTTTTATTCACTGCTATTTAAGCAAGGTGAGCTGATAACACAAATAAAACTGAGCAAAGATGAAAAGTGTGGCCTTACCTCAGCCTGCTTCAACTCTTCTTTGCATACATCTTCTAAGGAGGCTTCCAGGAAGTTCATGGCGTAGCGTTCAATGGGAGTGAGCTGAAGAGAAGCAGAGAATACGGTGAGTCGACTGTAACTGTGTAATTCAGACACACAGCTGATCCTAACTGCAATGCCAACTGGCAGCAAAACAGCAATGTTTCTGTTCATTGTACAATACAGATAAACCAACCAACATGTCACCCTGGACTTCAGTGAATCACTTAATTACAGAGCTGCAGTATTACCCACCTGCTCCACCAGAGCGGCGATTTCCTGCTCGGCCTTGGAGAGCTCCTCCACCTCCTCCTGCTCCCCTCCGTCGTCCAGCGGTATGTTCTCGTTGAACTCCGCCAGTTCGGCCACCTGCTCTGCTTTGGCCTGAGAGGCTGCAACTATGTCCTCCTCGTCCTCGGCACGACACAACGCCTGCAGAATGCCGAAAAATACAGAAGTTGTGCACAATCTTTAAGCGGTAGCATGCATTTCAGATCATCTCTGTATAACAAGGACATCATTCACGTTATATCTGACGATGTGCAGCAAAAGGGATGTTTGATTTTTGTTAATTACCAACAGGTAGGTGGTAAATGTACATGTATCTAACCTGCTCCAGAATAGTGGTGCTCTGTTTGTTTCCACCTTCCTCCTCCTCAGCTTGGGGCACCGACAGCTCCACTGCCACCTCTCTCTTCTCCCCTTCGTTCACATCAAACAGCTCTCGGATGGTTTGCTGAGGAACAAAGTGACAGTCAGACACATTTAGCATGAGCAAAACGATTTTATGATGGAAAGAAAGAAAACAAGAGGTACTTGAACTGCTACGGTCATTATCGCCAAAATAAACTCAAAAAGACTAATAAGAAAATGTCACCATGTCAACATCTTTCAAAAAGCACAAGTGTCATCAATATAAAAGATAAATTTGATCGTATTCATTTAAAGGGAAACACGGGTTGGCTTCTGTCTCTGCAATGAAATAACATTTCTTTATGTGGTGCAGTCAGTTAAGCAGCTCAGTCATCAAGGACTCTCCCACATGTTTGTGTCTGGATAAACCCAATGATTCATCAGCACATGATTAATAAGCCAGTTATGAGAAGCCGCCAAAACGAAATGTTTCAACAGGCCATTTAGAGGGAACGGAGAAGCTAATACAGTCTGTTAAAGTACATTTATTCCACAAAAAAAAAAAAAAAAAAAAAAAAAAATAAAAATACCTGTTTGAAGAAGGCGGTGGTAAAGTTTCCTCCTTCTATTGCCATATCTCCCAGCATCCTCTTCTGGTTGGCTTTCTTTAAAATGTTCTCCTCCACCGTGCGCTCACTGATCAGCCTGAAGAGCAACATAACAACATGTAGGTTGTTGAAATCACATTTCCAGTGACTATTTTGAGCATTTTCAAGCAAAAACACAAAACAAAATGTGACGATTTGTCATTTTTTGTTTGTTTTATATGGAAACAAATAGAACATATTTAGGTTTAAGCTTGTTGGTTGGATTAAAGAAAACAAACCAAAGACCTTCAAGTGGCCTGTGAGAAACCGTGAATACAATTTGTTTGCATTACATTCAACTGATTATTTAAAATTAATCAGGTATGGTGAAAGCTGCAGTCTTCCTCCCACACTTCTTTTTCTCATCTATCTGGCATTTTTATGGTTTTCCTAGATTGGTTTTAAAATCTTCATGAATCCTGCCATGATTAGTTGACATAATTAACTAGTGTTTTTTTCTTCTTTTTTTTTCATGTCAATCATTTTTGGCTCCAGTCACTGAATGGATGCTCAGTAAAAGTTTCCAAAGGCTTCGAACATGCGGTCTCCCTTACATTTTTAAAACAGATGCAGTTTCATTCCTGATTTGTTTGTGAAGAGGCTGGGTTTACAGTTGCAAATGCAAGTTTAGGCATCTGTGATATAGAGTTATGAAGAAAGTGTCACCTGTAGATGTGAACATCTCGGGTCTGGCCGATACGGTGGCAGCGGTCCTGAGCCTGGGCATCCATGGTGGGGTTCCAGTCACTGTCGTAGAACACTACAGTGTCGGCCCCGGTCAGATTCACGCCAACACCTCCGCTGCGAGTCGACAAAATGAAGCAGAAGATACGACGGTCTGCGTTGAAGCGCTCCATGAGGGCCTGAGGGAGAATGAAAGAAGGTGCACAGAGAGTGAGTTTTACAGACAGCAGAACAGAGCTTTCTGTTGCTGTAGGTGCAGGAGGCAGCTAAGGAACAGAAATACTGTCAACACTGACCTGTCTCTGCTCCACGCGGGTGCTGCCGTCCAGACGGAGGTAGATGTGTCCGTGGTAGTTGAGGAACTGCTCCAGCACATCCAACATGCGCGTCATCTGAGTGAAGATCAGCACCCTGTGGCCTCCGGTCTTCAGCTTTCGCAGCAAAGTGTGGAGAGTCTGAAGCTTACCTGCACACAGCACATAAGATAAAAACTTAATGAGAACAGTCTGAAAGTGATGAAAAGGTAAAGGATTAAGATTTCTATGTGTGAAGTCTTTTCTAAATCATGCATCATGTTACATCAGGAGTCTCCAATCCTGGTCCTCGAAGGCCACAATCCTGCATGTTTTAGATGTTTCTCTCTTCCAACACACCTGATTCAAATAATCAGGATCGTTATCAGGCTTCTGCAGATCTTGATGATGAGCTGATCATTTGAATCAGGTGTGCTGGAAGAGGGAAACATCTAAAACATGCAGGACTGTGGCCCTCGAGGACCAGGATTGCCCACCCCTGTATTACATTACACTGGCTCACTCAAGGCCAGTAGACATTCTACAGATTTACAAATAATTATTTAACTTAAAATAAACTAAACTCAAGGACCAATCACCAAAACAAAACAAGGTTGGAGTTGTTTTTAAGTGATAACCTGCTGAGCACAGTCAGCAGCTCTGACTCCCTTATGTTGGATTGCTAAACTGTTCATTGAGGCTTGGTGCTCTGAGTTTTTCTGCCCAACATGCAGCAAAGAGGTCTCCAGACAACTCACCACAGTCATACTGTATGAGCCTCAGGTCGGGGAACTGAGTCCTCATGTAACACTGGATGCGGTGGAGGCTGCCAGTGAGCGGAATGACCTGGGTCGATAACATGGAGGAGAAAACTGCCTGCTTGTGGCTCAGAGATGGAGGAGGGTGGCAGCAGTGCATGGAGATGGGAGGAGCCTCCACTGGGGGAATCGCAAATGTAAACCTAGAAGAAATTAAAAAAAAAAAAAAAAAGAGTTAGCTCATGAGTCTTTCCCCTCTTTAAAAGCTCTTGTATCATCAGTACTGTATCATGTAAGAAAACTGCCCAGTTATCCACCTGTCTATAATGTCAGTGAACAGCTCCAGCCGCTCCTCTATGCTGTGGATGGCCTCTCTGACAGCGTGGCTCTGAAACCAGTAGTCGAACTTGTTTTGCTGCTGTGCGTACAGACAGCTGCTGTGACCCGAGCGGCTCCAGTCCGACTGAGAGGTCAGGGCAGCTGGTGATGGCCGAGGACCAGGGAGAAAAGTCAGGAAGTCCAACACCTCCTGACCGTACATGGGTTTTGCTCCACAGTGGCGCTCGTTGACTCGAATGATGAAGTCCAGTCGGCTGTCACGCTGCTGTTTGTGGCTATCTGCCAGCCATGACTGTTGAGGTAGAGGGATACAAAAAGTCAAGTAAAGAGGTGGAATACAAGCGTCTAAAATAGCAGTGATCATGTTGTTTAAATGCATAATTAAAAGAAAAAACAAAAAAAAACATCTGTAACCCTGCAACAACAGATTATTTTGGCCATCTGGGGGCAGTGGGAGGAAGCTGTGAACACAACTTTAAAGCCAGACTTATACAGAGCAACATTCATTTGTGTTTGTGGCCACCTGCTGAATGCAGGCCAATTATATTTTATCCCTTAACTTTATTTGAGCTCAACCAGCTTCTGATAAAAGCTCCACTATGTTGTTCACCAGCTGGTGACTAACTGTGTCTGTCTGCTGTTTGATGCTTTTTCTTTCTTTTTCTTTTTTTAAAAACTAAAAAATAGCCAAGAAAATAGACTGTCAGAGCAAAACAAGTGTATGAAAACAGTGAAACTGTAACTGGACAGCTGAAAAATGAGCTAAAATTCACTGTTCGACTCCATAAATCTGAGGCTGCAGATTTAGTTAAACAGCCTCTGGTCCCTCATCACTTCAAGCAGCTTCTTTCACAGAATCACAAATATTGATTAGAGACACTTTAAAAATAGAAAATATGTTTTTGCAAGTTTTTGGTGAGGTCTGTTCGTGACAGTAAAGACAAAAGGTACAAACTGCGTTCTGGAGCTGTAACCAACATTAGCTTTCATTGCCGATTACTCAATTAGGTGTTTGGTCTAAAAGGTCAGAAAATGGTAAAAATAGGTGAAACAGTGTTTCCCAAAGCCCAAGATGACGCCATGAAATATTTTGTTTTGTCCACAAGCGAAAGATATTCAGTTTACTGTCATAGGAGGAGGAAAAGAAACCAAAAAATATTAAAACTTAAAGAGCTGGAATCAGATTTTGACTGATTAATCAGTTATGAAAACAGTTAGTGATTAATATAATAGTTGACAGCTGACTGAATAGCTGATGCAGCTCTACTGTTTACCAGTGGCGGCTGGTCCATACGGGGCGCAGGGGTGCCGCCCCACTACTAATGACCAGATAAAAAGTAGTTCTCAAACACAATATTACATTTGAATTAATTATTACAAAGTAATAAAAAAAATTAATAATAACGTTCATATTATTTTGCCATATTAACAATATTTGTATTATTAACAGATTTAAAGTTAGTCTTTGCTGGGTGTTTACTAATTCTACACTTCCTGGATGCGGGGCGCCGGTGACATGAGTGTGTATGTAGCTCAAAAAACTTTTCATGATCATGTGATCTTGGCCCGGGCTCTGATTGGCAGCTGCAGATTTTCTCACGGGGCGCAGCTCGGTGTGTCCCGTACCCGTCCACTTTTGCTGTAAGCCAATTAATTTAGTCTTTATTTGCTTTTGTCTTCTTTGTTTGGATATCAAAACAGTCAGATCCTATAAATATTGATGAAAGTTTGATGAATAGTTTTGAAATTTACTTCTCGTAAGTCTTGATCATGTTAAATTAGATTATGATTAAAATACCCTCCAAAGGTAGAAAATTTGCATTCTTGTAAATAGTTGTGCCTGATGTTACTCATATTCTAATTTCTGATTTAAAACAAAAGGTCATTTGCAGACTGCACCCCCCCTAAAAAAAAAAAATGTCACCAGCCGCCACCGCTGCTTACCATGTAGAAAGGAGAGCGGGGAGGCGGGCGAGGCACCCTCCTGGGTGGAGGGCAGGCTTTAGCACCCAGACTGGGCTTTGCCTTTGTGGTAGCTGGTGTTTGACTGGTACTGCTGCTGCTGCTGCTGTCCCGCGGCGTTGCTGAAGTCTTGGACACAGAGGACGAGGAGGGCACCTGAGCTGAAGCTAAAGAAGCAAGACGAGAAAGCACACAACATGCCTGCCGTAAATAACATGAATTAGTTTGAAATACTTTCTTCCTAACATACAAAGTTCTGGCTCAGTAATTTAACTTTTTTGTCAAAAATCTGCACCTGACATCTAAAGTCTTTGAATAAGGTAAACTGGCTTTGATGTGCGACTCATCCCATATGACAAAGCACACATCTAAACAGAGTTCTAAAAATGAAGTGGGGTGGTAGGGAGATAAAAAAAAAATTTAAAAAATTCTACAGATTAGTTGCAAAGCTGATCTGACCCAGCTGTGCGCGTCATGCATGCATGCTTACAGCATCACGAACTAAAGCTCGAGCTTGTTCTCACCTGGCTGCTCTGTGCTCGATGCAGGAGGCTGCACTACTTTGAGGACAGGACGAAGGGGCTGGGGCTGGTTCGGGGTGGAGCTAGGGTTTCTAGGAGGAGCTATGGTGTAGTGGGCAGTAGCAGGGCCGGGGGTGCGCTGGGCAATTTGCAGTGGAGCAGTGTTCCTGACAGGGGTTGTGTTGGCGTGGGGGTGCAGGGAAGGGGATGCCTGAGGAGCAACACGAGGGGAAGGGGCCACTGCCAAAGTGGGCACAGGCCCGCCTTCCTTGCCTGTTGACTGACGCACAACGATCTTCACGACGCCAGGGCTGCTCACCATGGACGAGGGCACTGAAGATAAAACACAGGAGGATCATCTCCAGTTAGCAGTCAGTACTCCTGTGTGTGTGTAAAGAGGCTGAACACGAAAGAGAAAGAAAAAGGAGGAGGGTTTCATACCTTGAGAGGAGGCATTGTTCGGCAGCCGGTTAGCAGGAGCAGCAGTGGAGGGTGCGTTTGCAGGGTGTGCGTTGGCCGTGCTCTGGACAGACACCTGAGCAGGCTGGCTGATGAGGTGATGCTGCACCCCGCTGGACACCAGGTGCATCACATTACCTGCAGAGGGAGAGTTAGAGAAACACATAAATCAGACAGATTCTTCAGTAACCACATCATCATTTGCACAAACTGCAATTATTTCCTCATTAGGAGATTAGATTTGAGCAATTCTGATCAATCGAACCAAAGATGACATAATTATGGGAAAGAAATAATCCAGATTTGTTTGCGTCATAATTATTTTGTGTTCTCATTTAAAGATTAAAATTATCTTACAGCGCTTTTTTTTTTAAGCAACAGCGTCATTGTTTTCATTGTAAATTATAATAATATGATTTCCAGTTTGTTGTCATGCGGTCAGGTTACTTTAGCGTTCGTAGGTTCTGCAAAAATATAATAAAATATAATATCCATCATTAGCATTCTTCAAACTAATAAATACAAATGAGGTTAAAGAATTCTGACAAATACAGATCCAGTTTAAACCGTGTTAGGTTGATATGTATGTTTGGTACCTGCTCTGCCTAAATCAATCACACTGGACTGAGTTTAACTTACCTGCTGTTTTAGCCTAAATGAATTCTAAATCATCATAAAAAGCTGGTATTTTGCAGCACATTGAATCATTTAAGCCTTGTTATTTTACACTAAAATCTTATGATTTCCAAAAACAGATCTATATCAACTGGTATCCCCAGTTCAAGAACTATTGAGGAAAACAACATGGACAAGATAGCTGCTGCTTTTAGACAATCTGTCACTTTTATTTCTGAGCTGTGATAAGAAAACGGTTGTGTACACCCAGCTAATGATTTCTTTGACATGGAGTGAGTTAGTTTAGAGTTGACTCCAACTAAATGCTCAGTACACATTAGATTAGAATGAGACCATATCAGCCAACCAACAGACCAGTCAGCTTTTATTTTGACCACAGATGTTCATCAAGCACAAAAGACACTACAAAATTAAACGTATTAAAAAGATTCAATATGTTTACACAGTTACTATTATTCTAAGGAAAACTACAACTTTAGTATACTATTGCATTATCATAAAACCTCACAGGTGCATAACTAATTGTAATGGCAGAAATCAGCCCACAGTAAATGTGTAACACCAACCTTGAACTGGGCGTGCGGGAGCTGCTGGGACTTGGTGGATCTGAGCTCCAGACAGAGTCAGTTTGTTGCCCTGAAGCTGGAAGGTGACGGGTTTACTGCCCTGACATGACGATACAGGTCGCCCTGCCAAGGAGGCGAGCTGGGCTATGCTCACTACCTCACCAGCTATGAAAGGAGAACAAGGAAGACGTGGGTTAGAAACAATATGAGATTCACTTTACTTCAAACTGAGTCACTACTTAAATATAAGCTGAAGACCACAGAGTTACAAACAACTGCCTATGTATGATGTCTTTTGATATTTGTGGTTAAGTTGTCAGCATTTGTGAGAGGCTGTTGTTTCCAGGAGTGTTTTTCATTTTCATTTTCACTGAACATAAACTCCTCTGTATGTTGCAACAACCCTACAGGTATGCATTACAGCTGCCAGTTTTAATTATTTCAGCTTCGGAGAAATCATGTTTTGTCTGTAATTTTGAAGTGGAAGGCAGTTTTGAATACTACAGTACCCGTGAGCTTTGTTCTGCTGTTGCCATAGATACAAAGACAGTCAAAGGTGTTAATCCGAGCAAATTCAAAACACCAAAGTCGCTGAATTCACCCACAGCTGATCCACAGCTTTTCAGATTTCGTAAACTTTAGCTTTCACCTGCTGTTCGCGGCTCATGAAACTGAGAATTTGAAACTTTGTGAGTGGATGTTCGTAGCCTGAATACTTCATGTCCACAAGCCTGTATTTTCGGCTTATTTATTAAACCGCCAGATACTTTGTGATGCATCTGTTACTCATTTGAACTCGGAGAGAATTTAAGACGCAGAAATGCTTGAAATACGGGTCAACCAACATTGTCTGTAGGAAATATGAACGGATTCCACAGCAGCACTTGAAACTGCTTGTCACACTCCAAAACACTGTACAACACTTCTGCGAACACTCCACAGAATGAAAGAAAGAACAGTGTACTTACAAGGCAACCTAGCTTGCATATCTGGACTGAGCAGAACCCTCTGGGGCATGACAGTGCTGGGGTTTGGACTGGGATGAGCTGGAATGCTGGCTGTGCAGGGAGCAGAGGGAGGCCGTACGGTCAGCACTGGTTTGGGAGCGCTGGATCGCACTGCTGTTTGAGCCGTGGGATGCATAGACGGGCGAGGAGGTGTGGGCGCCACTGAACACACCACTAAAAGAAGAGAAGCAGCAGCAGGAGACGTGTGCTATGTTACTTATCTGCAACTACACATAATTGACTGGGATACATGTTTAAGTATGAAATCATGTTTGTTTAAAAGCTGTTTTATTCGCGTTCACTTGCCTTGCTGAACTACAGGAGCAGGTGCAGGAGTTGAGGCGACTTCAGCGACAGGAGGAGGTTTGGGGATCTGAGCTGCAGGCGGAACGGAGCACGTAGGTTTGTTCATCAGCAGCACTGGTCGATTATCGCTTTTAGGAGGCGGCTGGAACATCCTAAAACAGGCATATGAAGGATTAAACAGTGCATGTATAGTATCTGTGTCATAAAAAAAAAACTTTTAGACCAATTCGTGGTCTCTGCATCCCTGTACACCGATCAATGCGAAACTTGGAAAGCAAGCAATAAATACAGTCGTCCTCAAATGTATTCATACCCGTCGATTAAAGAAAAGGCAAAATTCACAATCGTGACTCAAATAACTAGAAACTGAAAAAAGTAATAATAAATAATAAAAAAAATCACCAAATTACAATTTAGTTAAAAAAAAAAAGACATTACTTTGAATTGTGGTTAAAAAGAATAATTTAGAAAAATAAATAAATAAAAATGTCCCAGACAAATTACAGCACTTTGCTGATGAGCAGTGGGCCAAAATCAAACTACCTGTCAACAGGTGCAGAAGTCTGATGGGGAGGTACAGAAAACACCTGATTGCAGCGATTGCCTCAAAGCGTTGTTTAGCAAAATGTTAGTTTACAGGTCCCATCGTGCTTGTTTTTTTTTTTTTTTTTATATTTCTGTCGAACCACAATTCAAAAGCAATGTCATGATTTTCATTAATTTTTTTTTTTATTATTACTTTGTCAATTTCAACTTATTTTAGTGACAGCTGTTTTTTTTTCTCTCTCTCTTTAATGGAAGGGTGTGAATATATTTGAGGACGACTGTACGCAATCGGTTCTATTATACATACAAGGCTCCTGTGGATCTTTCTGAGAAGCTAGGCTATAACTTCACATTCTGTACAGGATATAGCAGCTGGGCTCTAGCACCATGTCAGTGATTATTCCTGAAGTGCGTTGAGCGCAGTCAGCAGACGTAGCACAGCATATCTGGAGATTTTAAAACCGCCAGCTGTGTTTGGGTACCGCTGATTAAAAGCCTTGAGCTGCAAATCAAAACACCTACGGAGCAACTATTCAATTAGAACTCTTAATGATAAATTAGAAAGGTCTGGATAACAGAGAATCTCCTCACAGCCTCTTCTTATAATAAGTATTTGTTTTGAGCACCATTCGTTTTCCTGACACTTGCACCGTCGGGGAGCGTGCAGTGCAGACGGGCCACATGATTGCAAATTGTGGGCTGAATGTAGATATAAGCAGAGGGGTTCGTGTAGCAGTTTATGAACTTGTGAAGAAATGCTGACGAAGAATGTAGGAAATGGCCATTTTGTTCATCAACGATGTGGACTCATTGTCCACTGAGTGAAGTCTACCTATTTTAGCTCTTCCAAAATCCTCAAATTTGCTGTTTAATAAATGAAATGGAGGCTTTACTCTCCCACTGAAAAGAGGGCTAGTACACAACCACCACTAGCTGTTTGTTTGTTCACACTGCCATCAAATTGGTTGGCAGATTGTCCAGTTTTAAGTACTGGAGTTGGACAACACGTGAACATTTACAAAGATAGAAAGCTCACATTTCAGTATTAAACTTTTTAATGTCCATTTATGAAAGTAAAATATTCAGTCGGGAAACTGACAGTATGAAAAAAAGAATCAAAAAAATAAAGAATCTTAACTGTTGATCAGCTTTACTTGGCTGATGCATCAAGTTGTTAATCACACTGATGGCAGGAGCCGAGGTGTGTAACTGATCTAACTGGAAGGAAACTGGTTTATTTTCCCTGCAAAGACTGTGCTTATATAAATCTTTGAAGTGTCCACAGGTGTAGTTTGTACCTGTTGACCTTCATGCGGACCGGTTTGGGTCTCGGAGGGGGTTCAGGGGACTCCATGATCTCCTGGATTAGCAGGCGGCTGACCTTGTGGCGTGGCAGGAAGACATCTGCCTGGTAACGGGACACGCGGCTCTCCAAGCCAACAAGGTCGAACATAGAAAGGTCGCAGCGCTGAGAACACAAACACACATTTGTCAGAATCAAGTACATGGATATTTCTTAGTTAATGAAAATGAAATTGCTCTTTCAGGTTGGATTTTTCAGTTTTTTAAGTTAATGCTAACCTTTAAAGGCAATACGTCCAGCGCGTCCTGCACCAGGGAGGCTGTATGGAAAACAATGGGCTGCGTGATAAAGGGTGACTGGATGGGTCGAGGGTCAAACAGGTTGGGGTGGTTGCACACTTTGCGGAGCTGCATGAGGATGTTAATCACAGACATGAAGTGACCGCTGGCCAGCGTTTCTCTGGTCCTGTGAATCAGAGAGAAACCAAGCTGATAATCTGAACAATACACACCTTAATAAAAATAAAATTTGCGCCAAAAATCAAAGGATTACGGTAAAAAATACCAAAGAATTCACGCACACAGCATCATGCTTCAAGTGTAAAGAAAACTTGTAACTTCTATGTATGAATGCTTGTTCTCACTTTTGTTTGCAACAAAAAGCAAAAATAATTCTTCCGTCTATTAACTTACGAGGCCTGTGCCATGAAGTCGTCGTAGAGGAATCGCTGTCTCTTGGAGAGGCGGCAGCGCACCACATGCTCGTATTTCTTGGGCATCTGCTTCTCCACGTCGGCCTTGATCCTCCTGAGCAGGAACGGCCTCAGCACCTTGTGGAGCCTCTTAACCAGGCCTTCGTTGTACTCCTGGCTGCCCTCGATCATTCCTGTCAGCGGGTTGGAGAACCACTCCTTGAACTCGCGGTGGGACTGGAAGACGTGGGGCATGAGGAAGTGCATGAGAGACCAAAGCTCCATCAGGCTGTTCTGCAGAGGAGTTCCTGTCAGCAGCAGTCGCCGGTGGCTGTCATTGGTAAAAGTTAGAGGAGAGGTTTAGATAAATATGCCAAGATTTATATCATCAAGATTGCAGACGGCTAAGGAGAACAAATGGAGCTCACATAAATAATCTTTTTCTTTTTAAGCTGCTGCTAAAAAGTGCTTTAATTGATTTTTGGCTACACCGAGCTGTAAACACAACATTGATATATTGTCACCTTATTATGTTTATGTGGCTATTTACACATCTAGAAAACATGAAGAGACAAACATTTATTTGCAATCGTGTTGCTGTCGACCAATCTAAATCACATAATCGCTCTCCTTCTAGTTTTAGTCTGCAGCAAATCCTGAGGGAAATATCTCAAATGTTAGCCGCTAAATTACTCCAGTACTATAACCGCTGTTTGGTGCTGAGCAGGTAACACACAGTGGAATTTAAATGAGAGTTTTTTCTGCTGAAAACAAGGCTGATTGGAGTAGTATGACTCAATCAATACCATAATGTGCAGGATATTTGATGTGGGAAGCAATCGGCACAAATTAACCCTTTGAACCTTAAGTGGTTTTTGGCTCCTTTCACATTTTTATTCACTGTGGGCTCATTTTTCACTGCAACACAAAGTCATGCACCTCTATGGAAACAGCACAAGCATGGCTAGAAGTGGAGAGAACTCAAAAATGTTTTTTTGAGCAGCATGACACTACATCTTCCACCACTTCTCCAAACTCTGTTTTCCACACCACTCTGCACATCAACACTAGAAAGATATTTCATGCTAAATTATATCTTCCAACAACTTGCTGACACTTTGCTCCTTTGTAAACTGTTTCTGAGCCATGCTGGATGTATTTTAGTGCTTCATTTGCTCTCAGTCTTTCTCGTCTGTTACTTACAAGCTGAATATTCACAGCATTCTTGTCACATGACGGTTGGTCGCAGCTACTACTACTACGACTACTACTACTACTACGACTACTACTACTACTACTACACTCATGGCTTCCTAGTTGTGACCATTTTTTGGTGTTTTTGACAACATCTGGTGCAAATGTTTTGGCATGCAGAGACACGTAGAGTGAAAGGATTTTGATGAAAACATAATTTTTCGCTTAGATTCAGTTCATTTTCCAAATAGAACCACGCTTCACACATGATTCATTCAAGACCCATCGTAAAGTTAAAAATCCAATGATTTGTTTTGCTTTTACAGTGTCTGGCTCTGGTAAATGGTGTATTTTTTATTCCATTTTTTGCTAAACATGCCTTTTAAATCTACTGGCAAATTATTAGGGTTCAGAGGGTTAATCTACCATTATGTATGATTCACAACACACAAAATAACTGATGGCTCAATACCTGTCCACAACACCACTTGTAATCCATCTCCGTAGACTACAATATCTGTATCTGTACAAAGCAATATCTGTAGACTGCATCTCTGTAGACTACAATGGTCGTACATTTGAGATAATCACTGTGGTGCCTTTTTATACATACACTTAAGTGCCCCCCGCCTCCTCTCTCTTTTATTCTCCATTTGTATACCTTAATAGAAGATCTATGGCTTAATGACTGTACATAATAAAACAGTGAGTATCTCCTCATGTGCACAAGCTAAAGTACTCTTTTGGAGCTTCACACAACAGTGAGAAATTACCACCAGCTGGACCAGGCAGGCCACCAGCCAAATGATGACAAGTTAGTGTAATTACAGCCATTTTGTTAAGAACAAACCTTTTCAAATGTGAAGATTAGCTGCTCAAACTTTATGTTTACACACCACTGTGGGCTGTGGATAAACAGTTTAACGCTCCGGTGTATTTTGGGGATGCAGTCAAGGTCGAACATGACTAATACTGAATGACAGCATGTCTTCTACGGCTGGATGCACACTGAATTTTCGTGACCAGCAGTAGCTTACAGTGGGTATGTTTGAGTGTCTATTTGGAAGCGCTACAGAGACAAGAGAGATTGTATTCAATAAGCACTACTAGTGTGAATAAAACTGAACCCCCCCCCCCATGAGCCTGATTTCCCAAAGACTCATGATCTTTTTGCTCCAGCATCACACAGCCAACAAGACATTATTAGTGTGCTTCGGGGGAAAATAGACATATAATACAAGTGGAAAAATCGTTGCAAATTACACAAACTATACACACCAAACCTGTGCATTTCGTATAATAAAAAACAAAAACTGTGACTTGTGCTGCTTCTGCACTGCATGAATTACCAACATCTGTTCTAGATCTCCACACAGTGTCACCTCTTTGAAGCCACCAGAGAGCAGCACTGGGCATGTTTGTTTAATCTGAATTGCACACATCAGGAGCAATTTTGGGTCAGTGAGTTGCTGAACAATTTCAACTGCCAACCACACAAATATCACTTTGAACGAAGAAATCTCGCTTAGCCTGTTTTTACATATGCTGGTTGTGCATTAAAACTGGCCTTATTTAGTATATTTAGACTAAAGTACAGACTAATAGAACTGTTAAAACATCGTGTTAGGCGACACCAGAGTGGTTAGGGTGAATACTACATGGACGCAAATGCCCTGAGCAGTGGTTCAATTCCCAGCCATTTGTGACATGTCATTCCACTGTTTTCTTACAACACACTCCTTGTTTCTCTCCACTGTGTCCATCACATAAAGTCATAAAACTAAAGGGCAAGAAGGTTATCTTTATTAGCATGACTGTCCTTTCACTTCATTAATGTATGAATGCTACAGAGAGGAGGTGCGTGTCTCATATTTAAGCTTGAAATTGAAACCTTTGGACACAAGATTTGGTCAGATCACTGTTGGTTGATCCAACTGGGTATATAACAACACAACAACAAACAACAAAGCTACAAATGGTGCTAAACTGGTGGTGCTGCTTCATCCTGGCAGTTTGAGGCATCAACAACACAGAATCACTTCCTTATTCAAAGGCCTGCCAATACTGGCCTATTACAGATATACTGGTACAGGTGCATATATGTAGACTTATTTCTTTTAGCGGAAAATACAGCAGTAAAAGATAATTGAGGCAATTTAGAAATGGTGCCAAACAGCAGAGCAACTCTAATTCCATTGTTCACAATGCTCTCAGTCGTGTCTGCAGCACATGTGGCAGAGTACACGTCACAGCTGAGCAGATGCTGTGAATTAATGGTAAATTGCTGATGAGTTTTTTTTAAAATATACTGCTGAATTATTATTATTATTTTTTTTTTTAAAGACATCCTTATTTTTCCTTTCAAATATAACTTGTCCATGAATATAAATCAAAATCGGGCTCAACATTATAGTTTGCACAGGCTCTGCTGACCTGTTGAAGTTCAGGAGGCTCTGCCAGCGCTGTGACTTGAAGTTCTTGATGTTTTGTGCCTCATCGAGGATCAGATACCGCCACGATTTCCGTCTGAAGGCCTGGTGATCCTGCAGCACCAGCTTGTATGAAGTGATGCACACATGGAAAGCATTGGGCTTTGTCCAGCCCTAAGAAAAAAAAAAACAAAAACAGAAGAACAGTGTATTTCTAATATTTCCAGTGGAGATTTTTTCTATTTCTTGTCTATTTTTGGGAGCCAACTGTTACAATATTTGTCAGATATGTTTAATTAAAAATCCACAGTTTCTCTCTGTTTGTTTATTTTATCAGGAACAATGCAAATTAATCAACATCACTGTAAATGAGGACATCTTAGCCAAGCGGTTAATTTTCAACTGTTGTCTTTTGGCCAGATGTTAAATTATCCATTAAAACAATAATTAAACAACAGCTTGTTAGGAGAAAAGAAAAAAAAAACAAGGATTAAAAAAAAGCTTAAAAGAGTGAGACAAGCAGCATACAATGCAAACAACTGATCAAGACGCAACTGAACTGACGCAGGCAGTTTAAACGTGACAGCGTAAAATCTCATTACATCACAAATGATGGAGGTAAAGCCAGAAGGGACACAATGTGAAAAACACAACCTAAAATTAATGAGAATTAACAAGGGAAGCGTGCTGCAACTGATTAGGAATGCAGGTCTGGTTGCTTTTTAACCAAGTTTTGTAAGAACGAACAAACTCATTACCTGTCTTTTTAGCTTTCTCTCCTTTTGGCTGCCAAAGTATGTGAGGATTTTAAACCCTGGACACCAGCGCTTCAGCTCCATCTCCCAGTTTAACATCACACTGGTGGGAACGATGATGAGGTGAGGGCCCCAGTTACCTGAACACAACAGACCAATTGACAAACTGTCAACACATGAAGATAAAAAGGATGTTTAATTGGTGTATAAAATATGAAAAACACTCTAAAACACATTACTACAAAGCATACGGGTGTAGAGTATATTTTAACATTGGGCGACATATTCAATTCAAAGATTTCCACAGAGCAGAGACCCCCACAGTCTGTGTTTCTCCCAAAGGAAATTTGGAGTTAATTTAGGTGATTTTTATTTATTTCTTTTGCACCAATGTGTGCCTTTTCAGCATCCCTTTGTGGTGGAAATGTCTTTCTTTTTAAGGCACCAGGTAAGAACATATAATGAAATATAATTCAGCAAGGCTCTTGGCCCTTCTGTATCGCTTTTAAATATTTATACTCCTGTAGATCAACCTTTTTCATTTTCATTCTCTTCACTTTTTATTAGAGGGGGCAAACGCACAGGCTCTAGATATGTCCCCCACCTGAAATCTACACCTATGCTATGAACTAAAATGAGCTACACCACTAAAGTACTGTATGTACACGAAGCACTAATGGGATATTGAGCGAGTGCGTTACCTTTTTCACAGGCGAGGTGAGCAAGCAGAGCGATGGTCTGGATGGTTTTACCCAGACCCATTTCATCAGCCAGAATGCCATTTAGCTTTTTCTCATACATGGTGACCAACCAGTCGAGTCCGATGTGCTGGTATTCTCGTAATGTGCCATGAAGCAGGAATGGGATGGGGGTCTTGACCTTTAGTTGGGAAAAAAAGAGAGAAAATTAAAGTCCAGAACTGCACAGGTTTAAAAAGCGATACTTCTGATTTTAATAAAGTAGCTTAACCCTCTAAAACCAAAAACCTGGCTGTGGGTTTTAAAGGCACGTTGCAAAATCTGCAAAACTGCACCACCTATCAGAGCCAGAAGCTTTAAAAACTGAGAGAATCGTCTGACTTTCCAACGGTCCTTGAAATGCTGCATCTATGATCTGCCGTTTGGTCCAAAAATTTTTGCCAAACCTCAGCTTAAAATTTGTGATATTTTCATTTCAAAAAATATCACTTTATTCTACATGTCTCATTCAAAGATTCACCAAACATAGACCACTTGCTCTAACCAGATTCAGCTGTGATCAACAGTCACCAGACAAATATTCAGGGACTTTCTGGCTTAACTGTGTACTGAGAGCAGATAGGAGAAAAGTATGAAAGCAAAATCTAAGTATTAAAATATCCATAGCATGCAGAGCCACCTTTTTTTTTTAGTGGTGGTAAGACCTGTGGGCATGTTAAAAAAAAAATGGTATACCTGTTGATTGCAGGGTTTTTTTTTTTAGTTTTTCTAAAATAGGTAATCAAAGAAATTTAAATGTAGCTTTTCTTTTGGTATATTTTTTGACATTCTAACTGCGTCATACTACACAAAAGACATTTTTGAGTTCTCACTGCTTCTAGCCACAGCTGTGTTGTTTCCATAGAGGTGCAGGACTTTATGCTGCAGTGACAAATGAGCCCACAGTGTATAAAAATGTGACAGGAAATAATGCTTTAATATTCCAGACTGACCTTTGTCGTGGCCAGAGTGTAGCCTTTAGGCTGCAGGCTCTCTGCAGTCGCAGCAATATGGCTGATCTCTTTCTTTGGCCGTGAAGTGGAGGACGGTGGGCTGTTATCTCCCTCCTTTAGCAAGACCTCCATGCCTTCATCTCCACAGTCATCGTCCTCCTCCTCACTCTCCTCGTCCTCCTTCTCACTCTCATCCTCTTCTGCACTGTCTCCTGCTGAATCTGAGAGATTATAGAGACGCAGTGATTTCATTATAAATTGAAGTAGCAAAACATGAAGAAAGAAACGTTGCCAAAAGTTTCCACACCTTTTGAGCAGGGGCAGATAAACAATTCAACAACTGGTTGCCTATGAGCGGGTTAATACCTGAGGAAGAAGAGTTGCTTTCCACATCACTCTCATCTTCCTCAGTCTCCACCTCCTCATCCCCAGACTCCTCCAAATCAGAGCTCGCTTTAGAGCCAGAAGCAGATGGGGCCTCAAAGTCTGAGGCGTACGCTCCTTTGTACTTCTCCAGCAGTTCCTCAATGCTCATATCACCTGGAAGGGGAGCAGAGACATGTGGGGGCTCAGATTTACTGCTTCTGTTCTTACAGAAATTAATAAAAAACATAATTCATATGTGCACGATACATGGCTGTAAGTAGGCAATCCAATTCAATGCAAAAAAAGAGCAGAAATAGCATCTCAATGTTATGTCATGACATTTTTGGGCATAAGCTAAATCCTCTTCACACATATTTAATAATAAAAGAAGCTCTTAATTCTTCAAACCAACACAAACATTAAAAATCAAACGTCTTTTGATAATATGCAAGAAAACAGAGGGAAAAAAGCACTAACCCTCTTTGGTTAAGTCATCGATTTCCTCTGCGTGATCGACATTTCCCTCCACCTTCTCTTGGGCAGCTATGGTGTCCTCCTCATCCTCAGCTGAAAACGGGAAGAAAAAATATAAATTACTTACAAATAAATGCAGATTTGGATTTCAAAATGTGAGCGGAAAGGGATTTAATTTCAGGGCATTTCAAGAAAATACTGGTGGGATGTTTTACTTTAATATTTAAAAGTAAGACTGAATAGTGTAAGAAAAAAAAAAAAAAAGTTCTTGCTTTTTACTTACCATCCTCTTCATTGGCAGTGAATTCCCCATCTTCCTCTTCCTCCTCCGCCGATGAAGAGGTTGCTTCAGAGCATTCTTCGTCTGAGCCCAAGTCCTGCGTAATCCAATGATTCAGTGATTACAAACATCTGTGTCCGTAGCAAACACACTCATCCAAACCTAGCGGCATCTTACAATGTTCTGATAAGTTTCTTGAGCTTTAAACATGTCTTTAACCTCTAAATAGGAGGCAATATTTAGTATTTTGATTACAGCTACAATCTCTGCATTCAGTAAAGTATAATCCTCCTGTATTTTGAGTTGTAAACGCAAAAATAAAGTTTAACAAGCATCTAGTCAAATCACATAATTTAAACAAGCTACTTTGAAGGGAAAAGGTGAAGGCGAAAGCTCTTAAGGTTGTGCATGTCCAGCTACCGTGTTATATCAAGTGCACAGCTACAGTCAGTAACATAATGGAAAGACCTGCAACTTAAAAGAATGCTGAATAAAAATCTAAGATAATTTTGTAATGCCCCAGTTGGCAGCCAATCGTCTGCTTGGTAAGAGCTGAACTGGGAAACATCCAGCCAATCAAAGTGTTGTTTCACCATTGACAAGTGTGTTGTCGCTGCAGATTTTATGTCCTGGTGCTCAAAAAAATCTGCATTTATGACTCTCTCCGTATTCACTTAGACAGGGGTCTGGTCTTGTTAACCTGAAATAACCACTCTGGAGATGTTACCAAGAGACTCAACTAGAAGAACTTTGCTATGGTTCAGTACAGCAGACAGAAAATCTACTAGAAATTTACAATGAACATTTAATGTGGTTGCTAATTTAATGTTCACTTTTTTTTTCTACGATTAATTTGTTTCCATCAGAGGTTTTTCAAACTGTCAGTTGTAGCTCCACGGGGGGCTCCAGAGGCAGAAGGAAAATATACTGCTTGAGATGAAAGGGACAGGTGTATGCAGGTGTTCAGGAAGTTAGTTTTCATAATTTGGCCCACTGCTACGTCTCCCGCATCAACACAGTCAACAGATACAGCTGCAGCAGTGGCTGAGATGCACAGCTTGCTGCAACGTGTGCCAAACTTCATACTTTAGGAGTCATAAGTCTGCAATAGCTGAAGGAAACATCATACATGTATTTAGTAAATTTAGTGTGGCTTCCATAAATAGAGGATATAATTATTGGTGTACATTCTGACATTACTCCAATATTCAAAACATGCTTTTTTGCATTCTTTTATTTGCTTTTAAAGTTTTAAATAACCTTGCTCCTCCCTACATCTAATATGTTTTTAATTTATGTTTCAGTCAGATCGCTAACATCTTCCTCATGTTCCATAGGTGTCTATAAAAGCAACAGTGAGGCATTATATCGTTTTTATGTCTTATATCTTAAACTGCAAAACACAGATTTGAGAATGGCAACCTGTCTCAATAAGTTTTAAAAGAAAAAGCAATAACCTTAGCTTTTAAATTCTAGTATTGTTTTTTAAAATATTTCCCATCCCTGGCATTTATATTTCATTGTCAGTGTATTATTGTTGTAAGCACTTTGGAGTGCATGTTTGTATGAGAGGCACAATATAAATGAAGTAGAAACTGTTCACAAGTTTGCTTAGAAGTCATAGGGAAAAAAAAGACCTTCCTCATAACTCCAGGACTTGCCTGACAATCACCACATTTTTCACATTTTGTTTGACAGTATCAAATTCATCTAAAAAGACTAGTTTCTATTTGCAACTGGAACTGCCAACAGCTAATTCTGCACACATTTTAATGGTGCAAATGTCCCCAAATTTAAAAAAAAAAAAAAAATTTTTAAAAAAGGTGTATAAAACAAACAAACAAAAAAATGTAACTTGTAGTTAGTTCACTGCAACCCAGAAGGTGATGTGTTGTCTCCATTTTGTCTAAAGGCGATCCAATGTGATATTGTCGGTTTAGTTATTAATTTAGAAAACAGGACTAAACTGGAAACATACTGTACGCAACCAGTAGGATTTTTGGATGAATGCAACACGATGTAAAAGTTTTTATCAGAGCTTACACAACAGTGCAACGTGACACTGTTTTGACTTTTGTTCTGCTTTTTGGAAAACAAACGCACAGTCAGTCTTGTTTGTGGAGCTACCTGTGGCAGTTTGAGGGTGCTGAGCAGTTGGTCCAGCGGCAGCATGCCCTCCTCCTTCAGCAGTTCAATCTCCCTCCGATGGCTCTCAGCATCATTGCCCTCCTGCTGCTCCTCCACCTCTATGGTCTCCTCATCGTCCTCCTCTTCACACGGAGGCTCGAAGTCTCTGTCTGCATCAAGATGAGAGAATTTTGCACTGAAAAAGATTTGTTTTCTGACTACACTGACCAAAAAGAAACTAAACGCCTCTTGAATCTCAAAACAACAGATGTATTTTGTGTCTCACTTTTTTAATTGATTGGATTCATTATTTACACACACACACAAACAAAAAAACTCAACTGCAAGGTTTCAGCTGCATGTTTTTAAAGCCAAGAAGCTGCTTTAAGAAGCCATCTGGTTGGACCATTTTTAGTGAAAAATTTAAGTTCTGCTTTCAGTGGCATGGGATTCCTGATGGCTGAGCAGACTGCGTTTGCACTTTAGCACCACAAAAGCGTGTCGGGTCATAAAATGAAGGTGGGACAAGGCTACTGACGCAAAGAACAGAGTCAATGCCAAGTCTGTTCCTCCTCTGACTGAGCGAGCGCTGTTCACCTCCATATTTTAGGAATCACCTGCCTCTACTAACATGGACAGCAGACTTGTCTGACAGGTTTGACAAGTCTCAAATCTGGCAGTTGCCAAGCAGCACTCGGTACAGAACCCTGGACCTGTTGCACCAAAAACTGATTTACTGGTCTGAGAAATATGAGACTCATCATCTTTGTGAGTCAAAGTGCATTTGAGGTAGTCAGGTAGTCAGGGGGAATGTTCACAGAAAGAAGAGAACACGGTGGATTCACTCAAAGATTCAGTGACCTTGACAGTTCAGAACAGCCTTTTGTCTCTACGAAACATTTTACCTCTGTGGGCGCTTAAGACGATTCAGTCATCAGTATGTAGCTATGACAACGTCCGTGTCTGAACCAATGAATCAGCTCTGAAAGCAGTTCTGTAGCAGGGCGACAGAGCTGCTTTCACAGTTATCTGGAAGAAGCAGGTTTTATTTAGGTAAAAACTTCTCACCATCCTCATCCACTGGAGGCGGTGCAGATTTTTGTGGAGTCAAGACAGTTTCAGCAGGTCTGCTGGGTGCGAGCGACTTGCTGAGCAGGTCCGAGTATTTCTCTGTCTGACCAACAATGAAGTCCAGCTGAAGGTCTAAAGCCTTCTTCCGCTTTTCCTCCAGCCTGGACTGCTGCTTGTACTGCACCACCTTCACAGACAAAAACAAGACACTCTTATTATGGTGAATTTTACTTTGCAATTTCAATGAGGTGTCAATAAAAATGTTGACTTCACATTTACGTTGTAGCACCTGTTGATTCGATATATATGTATTTCACTGTCTGAGAAGGGGATTTTATTTTTGTCACAAATCCAACCAAACACAGACGATGATCTTTTCAGATTCCACAGCTGAACACTGAAGCAGAATGTGTTGTTTGTTCAGTTTTTGGGAATCATCTGTACCTTCTCAACACTGCTCCAGAAAGCCCGGACTTCCTTTGCAATAGAGGAGGCGACTCTTCTGATCTTAGCGTGCTCATCTCTCTTGGCTTTTTCTTCCTTTTGCCTCAGCTCCTCGTGGTGTCGCATCACCATTCGCACCACCTAGTAACGTATGAACAGAACACATCCAGAACATCTGCAGTATACATCATCAGAAATATTGCACGGCTAATCTTTTGGCACATTTATATGTTTACATATTTGTATGTACGAAACACATATTTTCATCTGTTTAAACAGGACGTATGTGTTAAACTTCAGAGCATTTAAGCAAATCGTAAACCTATGATAGTTAACGTGTCCTACCTTTCTAGCCACCCCTCTCTTCCACCGCCTCTCTTGAGCAAAGTCAGCAGAGAGCCACTGCATCTCCTCACAAAGGTAATCCCAGTGAACTTTGGGTCGCGGAGGCTCCGTCAGACGGGTGAGACGCTTCATTGACCAGAATCCCTCTCGCTTCAGCGCCTGGGTTCGATGCTCAATGTCTGCTTCCTACAGGACACAGTGGACAATCCAGTCAGTAAATCTCTTCTCTGATTGTGAGCAACGGGTGTGTGAAAAAAAAAAAATACAAAACTCAGAATCCATTCACAAACGGCCAACATTGATTTCTGGAATAATGTAACACCATGCTGGTCATGCTTGTCATTCATTGCCAAGAAAGGTTGAGCACATTTTGGATATAATTACTTGATCTTTGCAGGATGAAGGTGAAGTATTTTGTGATTACTTCATACATCATTGCCCAAAGAGCAAACTTCATCATTAACAAACAAACAGCTGCAGCACTTCAAACAACTCTGATCAGCTGAGAAAAAGAACAGTGTAATTTCTGAGGGCCTGTGCTCATACAACACTTTGTTAACAATAGCTGCCCTCAGTGCTCATGTCCTGCAAAGAGGCCGTTCTTCACGGCAGAGGACTGTCACATGCTTCCAAATAAATGCAGTTGTTCTGTTTTGTTTTTTTAAAAAATCAAAAAGTCATATACTCTTGCTTTTCTCTGTTCTGTTTTTCAGGGACCTTTGATAACACCACTTAGCTAAACTGTCATTCGTGTTTTATAACTATATGTCACCCCTTTCATGAGATTCCCCTGGATTCCCACCCTGTAGTGCAGGTAAATAGTGAGAGCGGAGTGTTGAGTGTCTTCACCACTTGAATGCGACAATTTTGATTCAGAGCAGAGCTCTACACAGCTCTTCAGTATAATCCAGCAATCAAGCGAAGTGAAACATAACAGTCAAAAAGACTTCAGGGGAGTCTGTGAAACTGCAGGTTGGGAGTAGAGGGTCTTCGCATCAACTCTATCATCATCTTCGCTTGCTGTCACACACTGACTGTCTTGAATTACTTCAAACAGACATAAAATAATTAGTAACTTATTATTGACCAACATTTGAATAAGAAACTTGGTCCAAAGTTACATCTAATCAAGTAACAGGCACACAAAGCTTTAATGTGTTTTTAAGGAGAAATCTGCCCTCTTTCAAGGACTCGGGATGCTTACATTCACTGTGTTATATTTACACCATTCAAAGTGATTTGTTTTGTAGGGCTGTAGAAAACCAGAGAAAGTCTTGGTGGACTGAAATCTCACCTACTCTTCAACCAATCGATTGGTCACAGAGAAAAGAAATCTGCATGTTATCTCTGCATTAACTAAATGGGCCACAGTGTACTGAGTGCACTCTACCTGCAAGCCTTATTTGCCTAAATGAATTATAAATGAATATAAAAAGCTACAATTTGCAGCATGTTAAATCATGTGAACCTGGTTATTTTATACTGTAATGATCAGAACAGATTCAGAGCAGAGCAGCTGCACATATTCATATGATTTCTAAAAAAAACAAAACTACATCAACTGGTGATCCAGCACAAGAGCGACTGAGGAATATAACACAAACAAGTTGGCTGCTGTTTTTAGATGATCTGCCATGTTGGTTGTTGAGCCGTGATGTGAAACTGCTAGTTGCTTTTTGGCGATCAGTTTAAACAAAATGCAGCGACACCAACAACTTCTTTGTCACACAGTCAGTTTCTTCAAGTAAACGTTCAACAAACATGAAATAGGTCAAACTTAACAGTCTCCTTTTGGTTGGGCCAGTTCAAAGTTGTGAAAACGTGGGGGTGTTCACAGGTAGTTTGCTCTTTCCACTACCAAAAATGATGTATGAATTCTGCAGACTGTTGATGTAGCACTTTTCTTCCAATGAAAGTAACACGCAATTGCACGAGCAATGAGAATTTGTTTGTATGGGAACATATCGACCAACCAACCAACCATACGACCAGCAGACCTTGACACTACAGCCAGTTTATATTAACAACCTTTCATACTCCTAGAGCAGCCTATTGAAATCATCAGACATGAGGCAAATGACCTCTGAATGTGCAGTTGCTTTTAGTAGTTTGAGGATGCAGTGAAATACTTCATTAAATCTTACACATTTTCTAAATCTACGCAGTCACACTGAAAGTCTTTCGTGGCACATAAAACAACCTGTAGGAGTACTAAATGTGTCTAAACATCGGTAGTGATTCTAAGATCAAGCACCTACACTACTATCAAATTGAAAGAAGAATGTTTATTTTACGTTAAGGCTCACTCACATGCTTTGCCAGCTCTGCCATGTCAGTGTGACGCTCCCCACGTGACCGCTGGGTGGTGGTCTGGTCTGGTGGCGAAGAGGAGGAACTGTAGCCTCCAACAGAGGAGGGAGAAACAAACTTTCCATGAGGACCCCGGAGAGGCGAGGACCTCTCCCGCCGCTGTGTGGACCAGTCAGCGGTGGCCGAGGGACTGGGGTAGCAGGAGGACGTGGAGGGTGACACGGGAGATGAATTCACGGTGACTCTGTCTGCTATCCACTGGCGTACCTAATAGCCAAGGGAGAAAGACGAGTAGGTAATTTATAAAAAGAAATAAAATAAACTGATGAAGGTGAAAGCTTCAATAAGATAAAAGCCACATGCATGAATTGGGTTAGAGCGAGTGTTTAAGAAGAAAAAGCAGGTATGCTCCTGAATTACAAACTGGCCATGAGTGACTTTGTGTCAGCCTTTAACTCATGCACTCATAAAACAGCTGAAGTCAAAGGAATGGCTGCTTGAGTTAAAATTCTCCACCTAATTAACAGTGACAGTGTCTGGCTAGGATGTGCTCATGAATGTCCTGTTACAGTAAGCCTATCTGGGTGTCTGACAACCACCACTTACCTTCAGGAACAGTGCCTTTCTGTCTGTCCTGCTCTGTCCATGCTGGAAAACACACATGGCTTAGCATGCGGCCAACTTAAATGAAATAAATCACTACATAACAAAAGACACTATTCACACCAGGTACATTAAGATGGACTTCATGCAGAGTGATGACAGTCGAAACATGCTGGCATACCTGATCATTATGGTGTGTTAATTAATACTGCTTTTGTTTTTAGCCAGGATAAATATTAAAATTCCCTCCAGGTTCAATGTCGATTTAATCAACAGGACAACTACACAGAGTTGCACATAAATGTCGTTTTAAGAAAAAGAAAATAACCTGTGAACTGAGAAATTCTTACTGCACATACATTTCAGTGTGCCATCCAATATATCATTCAGATAAGAAAGCAACAACAGTAAGAGGCACCTATGAATACCTAAAAAACTCAATTTATCATCACCTTAATCACAATGTAAGTGTCCACAAACATTTTCACTTCAGCTATGCCCTGTTTTAGTGGAGTCTGACATGATTCCTTTACCTTCAAGGACAAACTCTTCAGTGTTATGTGGCTCACAGTAAAACTGCCTCAATCCCACAACCCAGCCAAAACTCTTTTTCATCTAGTTACCCCACTCTGTAGCTTGCTTAGTCTTTGATGAGAGAATTTATTAAAGCGATTTTCAATAAAAAAAATACCTTGTGCGGCGAGCTGGGGGTGGTCATGTCGCTTTTATCTGGTTCTTCGTCACTGCCTTCCTCTGGACTGCTAACCTGTCCTGAAGTGGCCTCCTGGGCTTCGGCTTCTCCAGTCGGTTCGTCCTGCTCCATGTCCTCACTTTCCTCCTCCACATAGAGGGGGTCGGGCCGGCTGACAGGGTCCTCGGGACTGGTGGAAGTCGTGGCTGTATGCTCCCTTTCCACTGATGCCATGTCAAGGGTGTGAGGCGTAGCGAGTGGGGGTGCATCAGTAGGTGCGAACACATCTCGAGATGCAGGGTCTGTTTTGGTAACAGTTAAGGCCTCAGATTTGCTTGCTGGAGTTGTGGAGGTGACAGACGCAGCTTGGTCACGTTGGAGAGAAATGTTACAGCTCACAGTGGGCTGCTGCACTTTGACAGGAGCTGCTGCCACTGGAGTTTTATTGACAGAGCACTGCGTCTGATCCGTCTGGCTGCTGAGAGCCACAGGCGCACATAAAGAGTCTGCTGCTGAGATAGTTTGGGGAAGGCACTCCTCAGACACGGTGCCAGACCAAGAGCTGTGGGCATTGGCCAACTTGCCGGCCGCATTCTGCTGCTTGGACACCTGTGCCAAAAGGGAGGGTGGGTGTTTCAGGAGAGGAGTTTCTCCCGGTTTAAGAAGGAGCAGCTTTGGATTTATACCAGAGTGAGCGGTGCTGAAAGCCTCTGGTTTGGTTTCTGTGGGCACAACAACATTCTGAATAATCTGTGATGGAGTCTCTGTCGCAGCAGGGGTTTCTTTGGTCCCTTCATGAGAAGAAACACAGACCTCAGGTTTTGTGGCACTTACAACAGTGACTCCTGGGGTCTGATTTAGGGAAGGCCGGTTTTCTACATGAGAAACGTGCACTGCAACAGCAACGGGCGATTGCATCCCCATGTCCTGACCAGTAACAGTAACCACTGGGGATAAGAGAGATATCGAACCAGCTGTTGCTTCTGTTTCCGGTTTTGGGAGAACTGTTTGAATTATGGCAGAGTCACTCACCTCTGTTTGGTCTGAGACTGCTGCACTGACCTGTGAACAATGTGTCCCAATTTGTGTACTGGTGTCTGTCTGTTCAACAGTGAATGAGTCAGATGTAACAGCAGCTACTTCAACTAAACAAACCTCACTTGAGTGTGCCACTTCAACAGCTTGGTTAGCATCTAACACCAAATGCTGTTCGACTGCAGCTACTCTTGTGTTTTGTATGGACAAATTATGGGAATTATTGTTGGAGCAAGCCTGTATTTGATTTAGATCATTTGATGAAGGCAATGGCTGCTGGGAAATTATGATGGTGCCACTTTCACCTACTGTGTGAATAGTTGTTTCGAGGTCCTCTTTGACAGTGTACTCCTCAGAGTTTTCTAGTAATGCGTTAAATAGGTTCACCTCGTATCCTGGAGAGTGAGGCATCTGTGCACTACTAGTGGCACAGACCGTTTCCTCTGCAACCTCCTCCACCAGGCCACAAAACTCATACACTTCCACAGGTTGCGAGACCATCTCCATCTCTGCCTGAACACTTTCTTCATACAGCTTTGGTTCCCCAGCAGAGAGTTCAGAGCTCAGTTCATTAACAATGGCAGCTTCACAGACGCTGCCATCTTCTCGTTGTAGGAGGTAACTCTGATTCAGGTGCATGTTAGACCAGTCCCCAGTGATATGAGCCTCCTCTCTGACAACCACAATTTCTTGAGCATTGGCAGTATGCACAAACTCATCAATCAGGGATGTCTGTGTTGTGGGGACTTGATCAGAGGTATGAGATGATCCTGCTTTAAAAACCTCCCCTGCCTGCAGCGAGACAACTAGACCTGTGTCAAACAGGGGGGATGCAGAGGAGGGTTTTGAGGAGCTCCCCTGTAAGGAGGAGCACTCTGGCAGCATTGTGGAGTCAGATGAGGAGGTGGTCATGTCAGTTTGTTCTTCCTGCGTGCTACTCTCAATCTGCATTTCTTCAAGGGGATTGCAGCTCCCCTCATTACTGCTGGACATTGAGCTTCCTTTTCCAGGAAGTGATTCTCTTGCCTTTGGGGTCTCAAGTATTTCAGCTGAATGAGGTTGTGTTTCTTTGTGAGAAGTGTCACTAAGCGCTTTAACATGCTCAAAGGTCTCAACTGATTGCAAAGAACTTTCTTTCTGTATTTCTCTGGCATCATTTGAGATCTCCTTGATGATTTTAGGCTGTGTTTTTGACAGGTCAGTTTGTTTAATCTCTCTATTTTCAGCTGGGGATAGAGGGAGCACAGACAATTCTGAGTCCTGGTGACTGCCTGCCTGCTCCGCAGCACCTGACGGAGGAATATGGCTGCCTTGATTTGCGTGGACAAGTGCATCCCTGTCAGACTGTTCCATAGCCCCATGTGCTGTGGTGACTGTAAAACCAACACTTGATTGTGGGGCCGAGGAAGATGTGACTGTGAAATAGATTTGAGACTGGGGTTGTATGAGAATATTCCCGCCTGTGTGCTCTTTTCCACCAAGTTCCATGTTTGTTCCAGTCTCTGGTTTATATTCCAAGGTGACGGCCTGTGTCTCCTTTGTCCCCGTAATAACCACAAGTCCAGCGCCTTCTCTAGATGGCTGAATCTGGTTTGTCTGACTATTTGAGTGACTTTTCTCTTTACCAGTTTGTGACCCGTATTGCAACTCTTGCACTGTGCTGTCAATCTGTGAGGCGAGAGGAGGACAAAGGGGAGCTGGAAGTCTTTGCATCTCAGCAGAGGAACTACAGTCCTCAGCAAGGGATGTTGGCAAGGATCTCGCAACTCCGACAACTTCGGCAACACTCTCCTCCGTGAGGACTTCTTCTGAGATGATGTCCTGAGAGTCGCTGCTGACTGTGAGAGTCTCAGGCAAGCTGGTTGGAGGGGCGTTCTCCATGCCGGGGAATGCCGAGCTGCTGCTCTCCGGCAATGGCACAGCGGACGGATGGGTGAACGGAGGGACTGGGCGGGGGGCAGCTGCGACCGGCTGCGGGGCATGCCGAGGTGACTCCCCAGCCACATTCTGTGCAGCCTGGGGGTTGCCACCCAGCACATCCACAGCCGGAGAGGCGTGCTGCCGCACCGCCTCCTCCCCAGAGCTTCCTTCCTCTGTGCTGCCCCGGCTACACACTGCACCTGTGGGGGATAGAGGTTATTAAGAAAATGTCTGGATGAAGTGGGATATATGCTGACAGGTGCAGGAAAAAATAACTTTTGCCGGTAAAGAGGTAAGGTGGGCAGTCAATGTGCGTTTTTTTTTAAAATTCAAAAACAGGACATTGTATTCTCCTCATCACCAACTTGCTGTTCGACTCACTAGCTTACAAAGGATGCAAAAATAATGAGATTTTCTTTTTTTCCCCCGAAAACAGTCAACCAAATGCCAAGAGACACAAGACACTGTATGAGCAAGTCACAATCAAATGGTGGACAAAATATTACAGCCAGATCTACTCGGATGTGTGTGGAAAGCAACAACTTCTCACCTGTCTGTGGTGTGAGACACAGATCTTCTGTGCTTTCTACTTCCAGGATGCTGAAATTACGGTCCCCTCCACATATTCTGAGGAAGCAAAACACAGAAACGGATGTTAACTTTATTACTGAGCAATTACATCTCACAATTAAAAACACCAATGAAGCGAGCTATTGTTCTTGCCACACTGCACAAAGACCACAAGGACAATAATTTATGCTGTGGGGTTTGTAAAAAGTTAGCAAAAGCCAAAAGCATTTTCAGTGGCATTGTTAGGCTTGGGCGCCTGGGGCTATAGCACGTGAAGGTTTATGCATAGCCCAGGATCACATTGTTTTTCTTTATATAAATACAACCACATCATGTGATAATTTATTAAATTCTATCCATTGTTTTTAACATATGGGAACAAGTACTTGTTCCAACACACGGCATCTCGTCAACAGAATAGACTTCATGAAACAACCAAGTACACACTAGATTGGAAATGATAATGGGCAGAACGAGAGTGGGGTCATAGATCAGAAATCACAAGTCAGTAATGAGTCACACATTTGCGATGCACGGAGTTATTGAGGTTGTTAATGCTGCTGCTGCTGTGGAATATCGTCCTACTTTTTATGAAAGGCTTGGCGATGCTACTGGACATTTTGGTGGGACGGAGTCATGTTTTTGAACTCATCCATCCAGAGATGTCTGAACTAATTTTTAGTCAACAAATGTTGGAGTTGTGGACGTTGAAGCGACTGGCTACAGCCCTCACATGCAGCCTCCAGTATGTCAACAGCCCTTTTTCGCTTTTCTCTTGTCATCTGTGGCATCATGTCAGTCGAATAAAGCTGCATTTTAAGGTGGTCTTTTGTAGTCTCTGGTCAAAGGAGAGCTGCTCACGCTATTTGATCATTGTCATCAAAGCCACACCTGAGTACAGCAAGGATTAATTCTGTGGTTCAGAGTTTGCCACCATTTGAAAAGCTCAAAAACTTTTTATGAACAATTGACTAAAGTTAACTCTTTTCCAACAAAAACAGCAGAATTGTATGTGTGCGTTATGGGACTTTATAATTGAACTTTTTTCCTTCACCACCACTTGCACCTCTTTCGCTGAACTATTCAAAGGGTCAGTCACCTAAATTACTATTAAATGAAATTTGCAGTCGGTTAGTGATGCCTGGAGTGCAGACCTGACAAGGTGAAATGGTGTTTGGTCAATAAGTTGCCCTCTGCTGGAAACAGCTCCCCTTAGAACTTAGATCTGCCCTAACTGTGTCCATTTTTAAAATTAAGCGAAAGACAGTGTTTTTCACTGCTAGTAAATAATCAGGTGGATCTTACAATGTCTGGTTCTAGACTGGCAGTAATTTCATTCTGCACAGTTCCATTGTCTTTCTTTTTTTTTTTGCTGTTCTTGACAATCAGTTTTATTCTATAAAATCTGTGTGCACTTTATTCTACTTTTCCGTACCTTTTAAAAAATAATAATTTTACTCTGCTGTATTTTGTATTTTAACTTTTAGAAGCTTTAATTTTAACCTTTGCTTGCAAAGCACTGTGAATAACCCCTGTGTATGGTGAGGTGCCTTTCGAATAAACTTGCAGTTGCTTATGAAAACAAGCATTTCCAAAGCACACCTTTACATCTACAGCTATGTAAATCCCACTGTGTACTCTTTGTGATATTAATGTGGAACATGTTCTGAGCATAGAAACAAAGTGGGATGACCTTACTTTGCCTGCAGCACAGTGTCTCACATTTTATACTCATTTTACTCTGAAATAACTTGCAAGTGGTGCAGTTAGCATGTTAGAATGTAAAGATTCCAGGGCTGGTCTGGGACCCTAACGTGCAAAAGCCCCCGACAGCTAATGCATGTGATTAATCTTTATTAGATGCTCAATTAGTAAACAAAAATATCACAATGTGTGGGGACGATGAGTAACATGTCACGTCACGAGAGAAGCAGCAGCAAACACTGGAATAGCAACGCTAGCCAACTGCTGCTAGGACTGTAGCTGCTGTCTGTGGCTGTGTTTCAGTGGGGTTGCATGTTGCAGCAGTAATAAAAAAAATAATATAACAACAAAAAATAAAAATAAAAAAATAGTCCGTGTAGCAGCAGCAAGAAAGTGAGTAGCTCCGTTAGCTAAAGCTCCAAGTTGCATTTGCTGCAGTCGCCCACTGGAAGATGTTAGGAATCCTGCAGCACGCGCTCTCAAAGCTAAAAGCCGGTGACCAAGCGCGCGGGCCTCCGGTCATTCAATGTAGTGAACGTTAACGTTTTTTTCATTGTGTCTTGTTGTCGCCGCACGGAGCCCAAGACGAACCTCTACCTTTGGGGAGGGGGCGATCGTGTCTTTTAATCGGTGGATGTGTGAGCTCAGGCTGGCTGCGTAGCTAAAAAGCTGAAATCTCATTTCTGAGTGGCAATGAAGCCACAACCTCGGGAGCCGCACACACACAAAAAAAGCCACACAATTAACAACAAAAAAAAGAGGTTAACGCCTTAACGCTTTTTTTTTGCCGGTTTGGCTAGTTCGTGTGCTCAGCTAGCTAACGTTAGCTCCTACAATAACACTGGTGCTTGGGTGGCACTATAAACGAGGAGAGTGGGGGGGAAAGCCTGCTGCTAACTAGCGAGCTACAAGAGTTAGTATAGGGTGCGTTCATTTGATGCGCAGGCGCCCCATCCCACCCGCAGTTATGTAATGCTCCCAGCTTCAAAAGGAGCCCCGTTTGTGCCGACACATTTGATTAAGTTGCTTCGCAGCGAGACTCACAAAAAAGACATCGGAAAGTCGCATTAAAACCCGCTTCTGCATGCACTACAGAGGGGGACAATCACTCGTGACGTCACTGCGTGGGGTCAAATCTCTTTTAGAAAAAATTAATTAGTTAAAATTATTCACTTTTGAGCGCTGGTGGCTATTAGTTTCTACTTAAATATACAAAAGAGCAAAAAACAATGTTAGAAAGTTCCATATAAATTTTGCAATGATTATACGGGGGATTTAGGGGGTCTAACAAGGTCCCACTGCTGGCTCTTTACAAGCGACGGTACGGAAATTAAGGTTTAATAGGAATTTATTTACTTAAATGCAGTTCACGTTGGCCTTCTTTCCGCCGTAAAGCTTTGGAATTCGTTGCGCTTTCAGTTCGTTGTAGTGTCTGAAATATTTCAACGCAGTCCGCTTGAAAAACAGCACCAACTGAAATGCAGTCTAATTGTGTCCCTTCGTCAGTCTGAGCCCCCCTCAAGTCCCCCATTACTTCCTCCTTGCCCCCCTCCCTCTCAAGGCCGCCATCTTAAGTTCCCACCTACCTGAAATTTCCGACCAATTTTCTTTTACTAAATTCTCGTTGAAGGAGTCGTCATCCGCGCAAAATCGCACTCAATCCGTGATGCCAGTAATCCAAACTGCCTCCCGGTACCCAACGAGGTACCACTAGGTCTGTGGGAAGAAGTTAAAATACGGACCGGGAGAGACTGGGTTTCGGCGCAGAATGTAGCGGTCGCGGGGAGGAGACTTTACGCAGCGAAATGGTGGAGGACCGCTGCTGCTGACAAAGTACAGAACGCGCGGAAATCTCGCGAGATGTGGTCAAGCGCGCCACTTGAAATTTTGACATTTCTGATAGTTTGCACGTTATTTACCGGTGTTGGTGAGCGACTGCTACAAATCAGAAATAGTTTACTGCTTTACCAGGGGCCTACGTAACAAAATGTTGATATTATATCAGGTTATATCGTATACATTATATTAAAATGAATGTGATAGTTCATAGTATTAAAAATGTATTCTTCTACTCAGCCCAAGTCCATAAAAACACTAGGAGTTCCTTTTAAACCTTAAGAGAAAAATGTATATATATATATGACAGAACAAAAATAACTTATTATAAACTGAAGTGTTTATGTCAGTATAATTTGTGTGTGTGATTTGTAAAATACATATATTTATATATATATTTTTAATATCCTTTCGATCAAAGACACTAACACTTATGGCATGCTGATATGCAACACTGTTAAAAATGCAGAATATGGGAAGTAAGCAGAACAGCTTATTCCTTTTAAATATAAGATTAGTAATATCCCTAGTATGGCTTTCCTTTAATGCCTCCAAAGGATATTCAAGTTTCAGTGATTGTTAGATTGTGTAGAAGCTGCAACAATTGATTGTCAACCATTAAGTTAAACACTAAATATGATGGTAATCTATTTTAAAAATTCATTTTTAAAAAAACAAAAACATTTTAAATCCTCAAATGTAAATATTTTTACGTTTCTTTACTCTATAATGTTTTTTGAACATTTTATGATGTTTAGACCAAGCAAATAATCAATTAACTAAGAAAATAACTGACAGAATTATCAACAATGAGTCAGTTGCAACCTTAACTGTGTGTGAAGACAGAGCTCAGCGTGCATATCATGTATAAAATGTTAGATTTGCTAGAGCTAAAACAATTAAATCTTATAAGCAAAAATCCCCTCCAAAAAATCACTGGTTACATCTTCTAAAATGTAAATATGCTGCAGTTTTCTGGAAGAAAACTTAATACTGGCCTGTGACTGTGCGACATGTGTGAAATGGTGCTCTGAGAGGTGGTCACTGTCTGACATGTTTCACTATTTTCAAGTGATTTACAAACAGTAATTTATGGATTAACTCAAACAAAAGTGGTCATATTAGCCTACAATAACAATAATCGTTACTTTCACTCCCAACATTTAAGGATTCGGAACAAAAGACCCACACAACAGAGTAAACAACAATTCATTTAATAATTAATCTTTGTGGTCTCTAGGGGAGGGGTTTGAAAGGTATAAAATGGTCATATTAAAATAATCGACCCAGTCTTTTCCCTCTCAGGATACCCACTGTCTAGTTGTCTTTGACACAAGTCCTTAAATTTTTTTTTTCAGTTCTTCAGCAGATGTCCCACTTATCCATGTATATAACTTATTTTTGTTGATGAAACAACGACAGTTCAATGTACAAGGCTCCCATAGTCCCAAATGGATATAACACACAACCAATGACACACAGGCAAACCTCCCTCTCAGCATAATAGTCATAGATGAGATCCTTAAAGAGGCCAGAGGTTGCAATGGATACGGCTTAATGTTCACAAGCATTAAAAAGTTTTCTGTGAAGCAAGCCTTTTGCTTTGTCTTTTGCATGTTTTGAAACATTACTACCTGGGGAGAGAGTACTGGTTGATACCCGAAACAATGACAAATAACATAACAGTGAATATATTTATTATTATAGAAGATAATTAATGTTAAGAATAATAATTACAAAGGCAATTTCTCTAGACTACTATAATCTGGTCCTGCTCATATAGTCAAGAGGAGATTGGGAAACAGTTACAGGAAGCTCTAAAATACTGTGTTCACTCACACAGTATAGCACAGTTCATTTCGCCATTCATCCTTTGAAAACAAAAACAAGCCAAAAAAAGGTTGAATCTCATTCTCAGTGAAGCTGAGGGTTTGGAGTTAGATTTTTGGGTAAAGCAGGAAACTGAGGTACGATGCTTACTGATCTTAATTAAATGGTCTCATCAAAATCTGTCTTCACAATGACAAAAAGACACAAAAACAGAACAGAGAGCACCACTTTACCACTGTATTTCTAAAAACCCTCATCCACAATACCTAAGCAGGGTTGATTTATGCAGAGGAGGGCTTCAAAATATCCCATAAGTTAACCAAGCTGAGGATGAACCCTGGACACGTCTTCAAGGTGTACATCCCCGTCTGGAAGTCATTTCCAATCCACCCAGAAAAGGCTTGCTTAAAAGCATGGATCATAATTCACCTGACAAATGAAAAAGCTGTCCTCTGCCTCTTCTTACAGTTTTCAAAACTGAGAACTGTAACAACCGACAGCCAGTATAAAATAAAAATACACCAAGGATGCACAATTACCATGTACCTTTAAATTGCACTGATAGAACCGTTGGGCATATCCGAGTCTTGCATTTCCCTCCCTACCATCACCACCAGCCAGTCACGGTTACCCTATTCTGGGGGGAGAGTGGGTGGACTGGAGCTGGTTTGGTTGTGTAACTGGGAGGGCAGGGTTTAGTAGTCTGCAAGAGGAAAAGGGGGCAGGTTGAGAGCAGCACAGTGATCCTGACATTTCCCTTAATCTCCTCCAGTGTTGTCCCTGTACTATCTGGACTCTCCATCTTTGTGGGCGCTGTACAGTGCCAGCTCACCCGGCCCTCCAAGTCTAGAGCCGCGGGGGGGCGTGGACGACCGGCTGGTGACGGACGGAATGAGTGGAGGCGGTGCCCCCACCGACAGAGCTCCCACCAAGCCTGCAGCGGTCTTTGCCAGGATGCCGTTGGGCACGTGGTGCGCGTTGAGCGGGCCCAGACGGGAGTAGAGGCCTGCGTGGTGCTGGGAAGCAGCGGAGGCTCCTGGAGGGAGAGGATGGGCGAGAAGGCCGGGGTGGAGCTGCTCCAGGTGAGCGGCAGTAGCAGCATGAGAGGGGCTTGAGAGGTGAGAGCCATGAGGGAGGTGCGGGTGCATCCCAAAGTAGCGAGCCCGCTCAAAGTCTTCCCTCAGGATCTGGGCGCGCTGCTCCTCATCCATCAGCCCACCTCCCGGGGGTCCAAGCTGAGGAGGCCGGTCGAAGTGATGAGCCATCAGGCCAAACTCTGGGCGAACAGCAGAGGAGGAGGCAGCAGAGGTAGAAGTCGGAGGGTGGTGAGGGGCAGCGGCTGCTGCTGCTGCAGCTACAGCCGCAACCCGTTCTGCCTCTATAAGGCGCTGATGCTGGAGCAGCCGAGCCAGGTGTGGATCGGATCGCAGGGCCAGGTGAGGGTCTGACCGAAGTGCCAAAGCTTCCCTACGATGCTGATGTTGCTGAGCTGCCAGGTCCCTCCAGGGGTCCCAGGTGTAGCTATGTGGACCCTGTGGTGGTCCTTGATGTGGACCATGGGAGAAACGTTCTCCTCCCGGGCCCACCACCAACCCAGCACCTGCTGTGCTCCCCAGGTACGCCTCAATCCTTGAGCGGTCCAGAAGGGAAAGGTGCTGGTGGGGAGGAGGGTTTGGAGTGGGTGGCGGGAGGGGAACACCAGGAGTGGGAGTCAGTGATAAAGAGGAGGAGGAGGGGGTACCAGAGCTGGGGTGGTGTGGATGGCTGTTAGGGCGGTCAAAGCCGTGGCTGTGTACTGGGGGAGGAAGGGTGATGGGGATGTGCTCCGGCTCCTCTTTCCGCTCCTCCTTGACTTTAACCGGCGGGAGAAGCAGCGGAGCTTTGGAGACGGGAGTTGTGGTCCGGTCAGACTTCTTGGCCTGAGACAAAGAAGTAACAGAGGCAGAAGCTGCACAGGAAGCAGGGAGGTTACTGTCTCTTTGGGAGTGCGAGGGCTCGCTGTGGAGGCTGTGTGCTGTCTGGGCCAGTGGGCGGGGGTAAAGGTCCAAAGGAGAGGCTGCTGAGCGGTTGGAGGGTGGGGGAGTAGTGAGCACAGAGGAGGAGGAAGACCGGGGTCTGTCCCTGTCTGCTACTAAAGATGAAGGGCCAAGAGGAGGCCCCCTTGAAGACACTGTTGGCACTGGCCTCTTGTCCCCATCCCTGTCTCGCTCGCGGTCTCTGTTTAAGCTGCGTGTCAGGTCCTCAATAGGCCCACTGCTTCCCCCCAGGCCACTGCTGTGGCCATTAATGTGGGAGACTGGGGTGCTACTGCGGGGCTTGAAGGAGGGGGCAACTGGAGACATTCTCACAGGTTGTCGGCCATACATTATATTGTCTCTGCAAAACACAACAAACGCACACAGTTTAGGCATTAATACCAATATTTAACCAACACAATCACATACATTATAACTAATCTAATCTTTTTTTAGTTCTCTTAAACAGGAGCCTAAAATAATATGCAAAACCAGTCACACCAGTTTTTCCATGTATCTCATTACATGTAGAGTATGTAGAGTGATACATGTATTATTCATCAATCAGTGGACTATTTAAATCAATGTTGTGTTAATAGCTTTGTGATTTGGATAAAAATGTAGGAAATATTTTTGTGTTTGGTTTAAATTTCTTTTAGATAAGATGTAATGAAACTTTATTAATTCTGAAGGGAAATTTTGTGCCAGATGTTGCTCAGAAAAGAGAAAATAACAAGAAATTCAGTGTCTAGAAAGTAGAAAAGCAGTTAAATATGTATATACAAAACTGACATAAAATAAGTAAGCTAACATAAGGCTAGAATAGAACAGTAAAAAGTAATACTGGCAGTTATCCTGAGGTAATACTATCACACATGACAATGAAGTGCAATCATTTTATCAGTCAAATGTCATACCTGTCTTTTTCATCCTTGATGTGGGGGATGTCTCTCCTCTCTCCGTCCTTCCCTCGGTCCCTCTCGTCCCTCTTGTCTGCCCCTTTAGCCCAGCTGGGACCAGCAGGGAACCCAGATGGGCCACCATGTAGGCGGTTCCACGGGTCATGATGGTTGGGGGTGGACAAGCCTCCGACCACACTGGGTGGTGGGTCTTTAGGGCCAAACACAGAGCTTGCTGCAGAAGGGGGGAAAAAAAAGAAAAATATTGTAATATGGATTACATGTTTCACCTTAAACTTTCAAATGGAATATTTTACTAAGCTGCTAGTGCCATCTTGTGGAGGTAAAAAACACATGCCTCATACCAGGTTTTGTTGGTAGCATCTAATACCCAAGCGAGAATTATTATGAAGGAACAGCTCAGTAAAAACATACCTGAATAACAATACACATTTTAACTCTAAACTTGTTTGTGTTGCATGAACAACCTCTTCTACAGCATGTACAAACATCATAATCAAAATAAGTTGTTCCTTGCTAAATGATCAAACCTCTTGTGAGGCTTTAATTGGTATGTTTTAACACTGGGAACTTGTATTAACTCCCCCAGCTTTGTTAAGTTGATAAAACACAACTAAACAACGGGGCATGCTCCCAAAAAGCAAGTTGTTTTCCCCCAGTTTTGCAGAAATGCTTTCATTGTATTTAAATTGCATCCAATCTTGATGGCGACTCAAATTAATGCTTCAAACCTTGTACTTGTATATCAATGACAAAGCCCAGCACAGCCATTCACAGCATGTCTCAGTAACAGCTGAGCTGTAGCTCAGCTCTGAGACAGGAGAAAAAAGTATTAAGAGGGGAGAAAAGCATTGAGAGGGAACAAGCAAACGCCTTCGCCAAAGTTAAAACAAGCATGTGCTGCTGAGAAGTGGAAGCAGAGCTAATAAAAGTTACTAGACTGAGTGATTACTCAGAGCCTTAGTTGAGTTTACGTGATAATTATTCTGATTATTCCTGATATATGGGTGTAAAAGTACATGTATTCCAGAAGAGTTTGGTACAGGAAGGTTCAGTACTGTATATTCCATTCGTGTCTACATACTCGGACACCTCGAACAGAATTTCCAGAGTGCAAGTTAGCACCTTGAACGTTTTGGCAGTGCACCAGCAGCCTTTAAAGCTTGGAAAACAGTTTAACAATCTAGCGCGACGTGTTAAATCACGCCACACATTTTAATCGGTCTTCCTGCAACCAGAACCTGCGACTTCTCTGCTCACACTGTACAGGTCAATCATCTGGCCGCCATGTGGGACTCACACAAAATGTAGGCACGCTAGCCCACGTCAGTTTTAGAATTCAATAAAGTTTCTTCAGAAAAGACGGCCGTGTCCTCAGTGTTTAGAAAAAAAAAAAGATTAAAAGCCAGGGTTACTTTGTGTACTTTTAAAAATGAAATTGCACTAGTGGCTTAATGGTAATTCAATTATGAGTATGTTACACATGTTTTAATGCATTTCTTCACATCAACATCACTGTATTCAACTGCCTTAGCTGTCACAATAAGAACTACAGCCCATGAGACATGCTGACATCATGTTTATAATTTTCCAAATAAATGACAAAAATGTTGCTCCTTGTTTTCTCTGCTGTACTGAAAACAATTCAGGCTTCCTTCGGTCTCAGGATGCGCCTTTGGGTGGTGACTATGCAGTAAGCATGACTGATCCAAGTACAGTAAAGGCAGTCAGCCTGTTTTACATGTTTGACAGAAATCTCTGCTTTCTTCCTGGTAATTCTGATTATTTAATAAACAAAAAAGTCCATTATGCTTGTGTAACTGAAACTCTAAATAACAAATCCAGTTAACATAATTACGTTTTATCCTTAGTTCTTATCATTTTGACGCTAGTGTGTTTTCCTGTGGTACTGTGGCCTCAAGCATATACCTAGACACCCCCATTAAAATATATATATAAAATTCAACAAAACCCAGGGCTGAATCAAAGCTGCACTTGTTGGAGCAAACATTAGAGACTATGTCAATGTCTCTTAGCATGACAAGATCTCAGTTCCTTGAGAAATATTCACTGGCTTAAGGGTAAGATATCAACTACAACCATAAGTGTGGCAGGCTGTGGTGAATGATTATCAGAAGCACTGTGGAAGCACCCACCTCCCCAGTTCCTGTTTTTAATTCAGCTAACAGTTACCTTTACAACCATCACCACATGAGCAAATTAGCTGCTGAATGTGAGGATACAGTAGCTTCCGTCTGTCTTTATCTCTGCACTGGTGCACAAAAACAACCTGCAAAATCACCTGTGATTTCACTTCTATACAAAATCTAAATGTGTCATAATATTAAGACTTGATGATATTTGACAAAGAGTTAATGTAGCTGCAAAAGCTAAATAAAGCCCTTATGTCTACAGAGGTCACTGCAACAGCTTACATGCACAAAAACACATTTATGGTGTTCAATAAAAGGCAGTCTCTAGTGCTCTTGTTCTGTTTTCATTGCCAGCGTCAACCAGCAAAGGTGTGACTCGACAAGCCACAACATGCGCACCATCATTTCTCATTAGCAGCATAGATGTGCCAATCTGTGTGCTTAACGGTCCTCCGCCACTCAGATGGATGTGTTAAATATTTATAAATTAGAAAACATTATGTTCTGCACTACCTGAACTAGGTTTCTGCTCTATCCTTGGACGGAAATCGCCAACTATAATCATTACCAACCTCAAATACTCTTGAACATCTTTAAATATGCTCCATACAGCTTTAACCTGAAGGACTGAGCGCTTTCATTGCAGCAAGACTGAGAGGATCAGTCTGGATTTTGAAAAACCTGTCTTGATGCAATGCTCACATGCCATATGTAATATTGATTTATAGGTTGCTGTAATTGTTTGCATGTCCATGCTTGGCTGGCCATCCAGTGATCTCTTCCTACTGTCGCTTTACTATAAAAGATGATGCACACATTTCTAAGTCAAGCGGAAGAAAATATGTGACTTCAGCACTCTGTGTTAGGCCACAAGAGCACATTTTCATCTTAAAATGTTCAATGATTACTACAATAGAAATAATTTAATCATTTCTGTGCATAGTAACCCATGAAAACACAACTATTTACATACACCGAGCGTGTGTCTGTCAGTGTAAGTAGAGCAATTCTTCGGACAACGTAAGACCAGAGCTTTGTTTGCTTGGATTGACAACATGGTGGAGGTGTTGCTCAAAGGAAATAACGCAGGTTGAGGTTTTCTTTTCTACAGAGAAGCAGCCACATGACATAGGTGTGATGAATCAGGAAAGGACACGGAGTGACTGATAAAACCGCATCAGAAGACGTCTGTGTGCATCATTGTTTCCAAAAGTCTCTGAGTGTGCTCCAATATCTAAATAGTATCGTATTATGTAGTACACAAGAAAAATATTTAGTACGTCAAATGCAGTACACCAAAAGTATCAGGATATCTCGTCAGCTGCAGTACATACTTCAAGTATTAAAAGAAAGTATGCAATCGAGAACACAGTCTTGATCTCTGCCTGTCGGGACAAAAACACAATCCTGGAGTTTCCAAACACAAATGATGTCAGCAGTGTTTCCAAAAGTCTTCCTTTCAGGGCTCCTAAAACGCAGCAGTAGTGTTGATGCTATATGTACACATAGCAGAAGTTATTTAGAAGTTAGAGGTTGTGTAAAACTAAAAATAATCAAAGTTTAGCCTTAGTTAAACAGAGCAAGCATCGTCTAAAGTTTCAGCAAATTTCCCTTTATGTGCTATCACATCAGTTTCCTTGTTGAGTCAGAGAGAAGAGATACTTCCCGATAGTTTCATTTAGGTTTGTTATCGATACACAACACCAGTAAGACAACAACCAGGGCAAAGCCTCTGACTGTTGTAACCTTATATTAGCTTTGGCTGAACTTAGGAAATGTATTTTTGCACTGACTGTAGATTTCTAACCCTATTTCTTAAGTAGAATCATGTTAGGAGGGGATCATGTCGTGGACAGTGTGGAGGAAGAATGATTACAGTGACAAGTAAGGCCGACTTAAGCTACATTAGAAAAAAAGAAAAGCAGCACCTCGTTGTTTGAAATGAGGGTAGTATAGTCGGGGCCCCAACGCAGAGAACTCCGGCTTCGTCTTATCTGCAAAGATACTGCATCGGTCAGTCATCGGTCCTGTGCCATTACAGGTTTGTAAAATCCCATCTCATAGTGCTGTGTAGTGTTTTGGTGTTTGATAAGCCTAAATCTATTACCCAACTACACGATCCCACCAGCGCAGCCTTGTGTTGTGTTAATATTAAGTTGTTTTCAGCCTGAGCGCTCACGTATGCTCAACACACATATGGCATGTGAGGACTGTAATAGGACAGATTTGAAAAAAAATTGAATCTATCCTTTAAGCTTTATGTTTCAAGAGTAGATATACTGTAAAACTTACCCAATGTTGGGCTGCCAAGTCCTCCAAAGGCACCAGACCCCAGAGCTCCCAGCGGGGTGAAGGGTGGGGATCGGCCATACGGATCTAAAACACACATCAGGACAACTTGAGGAATGTTGCGTAGATACAAACCTTTCAAGGACTTCTATTTCTACTCATTTCTAAGAACATGGACATAGAATACAAGTGTTCTTGAGGGGTCGCCTGATACATTTTTTTAAATACCAATTATTAGTAATCATGGAGAACAATAACCACTATTCAGAACATTACGTACATTTTCAGTGAAGATTAAAATCTTTGTGGCAAAATTTACACAACTTCTAATTGAAATGCCTCTTTTTAAATGTTTAATTAAAAGAGAACTTTCTAGCATTTATCCGTTCGTGTTTAGAGGCTATTCCTCATGATAAATAAGCTATCAGATAGTGCCGTGGGCAGGACCTTGCTCGAAACCACAGAATGACTACAGATAGAGAAAGGCAGCTGCATCAGAACTGACACATTTTTAAATTAATGTTTTATCAGAATTGGCTAAAACTAATCCTGATAATCAGAAAAATGCTGAATACTGCAACATATAATTAGCCAGGCTGTTAATCAGGCAACCACTTGTTCCATGAGTTTTCCCAACTGAAACTGCTACGCTACACTGGAAACAAATTTGATTTTCAGAAATTCTTAAAAGGTTAAGGTCAAATTAAAATATGTAAATATTGCACTTTAAACTACTCTTACCCAAGTGTGCAGTCGGTGCGAGGAAAGAGGAGTGCGGCGCTGATGGAGAGATGAAAGGAGCTGAGGACGGATTGACTGCACCTAAGGGGAACGAAATAATAACACAAGAAGTCATAAGTAGTTCAAATCAAGCGTGTCAAGGTATTCACACACTATTTTGCTGTGCTATGCTGTAAGAGCTGTCGAGCCCCAGGGATGTGAGGACAGAATAACTGAAAAAACTGAAAATGATCTGTAGCATGAGAAGCACTTCACGAGTTCCCAATAGACAATGATCACAAACATGAAAGCAGAAATAAAATAAAGGGAAATATATGGCACTCACAGCTTTAATACTGTTGTTTGTCATGTAGCATATTAGTAATTGTTGAATTTTCAAATAAACAAACAACAATAGATATGAATAAATAACATTCTGATTGCATTTCTTAACAGAGACAAGAATGCTGCACCTGTGGAGAACAGACTGGGAGGTCTGGTCAGGTCATGAGTGGGAGGCAGGGCTGCTCCCATGGGGCCGAGTTGGCCCAGTCCCCCAGCACCAGGGAAGCGGGCCAGCAGGTCACTACGGAAGTCCAGCTTGTTCGGATCAGCCTGCATCAGCTTAAAAAAATAAAATGGGTAGGACAGTCAACGTGGTGCATAATGGGGTCACAACACTTCTGATCTGACGACTTCTGTTTATCTACTCAATCGCTGGAACCTGCCAGTGTAGCAGTTAAAATACACACTTACCTTTACTTTCTTCTGATGGCTTAGGATCATCCAGGCCACGTATACATGCATAGCGCACCATTTTCCTGGTTTCTGCACAGCACAAAAATCAGAAGGGTTCAGTATGTTATTCCATGAATCTTGCATATATAAAGCCTTTGCACACAGAGTCAGAGTCAGTCCTGTAGTCTAGGCTCTACGTCAGGTTAGAGATTTGCAGCTGAAGATAAGGTTACTAACTAGGCTTCAGTACAAGTTTGGGAACACATATGAAAAAAAAGAGTCAGTGAAAGATGCGTAAGTAGGAATACAAGAAAAGAACAATCACACACATTGTACACAGCATCATGTGTAGGTCTGAAATATCTAACTGGGTGTGCAAGGGCGGAGAATAGACCAGTAGCAGTCAAGATTACAAGTGAGATTAGTGCAAAGAGTGAGCGAAGCAGTGAGACAGTAAAACAGGCTGAAGGTTTTAAGGAGCCAAGGGATTCAGAAACATCTGTTTTTGCTTACATTACTGATTTTCAACGATGTCCCAAATGGATCAGTTAGCTACAAGAGAACAGAAGTGTAAAACCACTTTTAATCAACATATCTCACTCTTTATCAGGAATAGTTTTGCACTCTTTACTGCACTGACTAGGCCCATGTTGCAGCACATCCTAGCCTAAACTGGTTATGCAGATTAGTGTACTTATGAGCAAACAAATAAGGTGATGATGCAAACTTTACCAAATCTAAGTAAGCACATTGTCCTTACCCTGGGGTCTTTGGGCTGCAGGTGGTGAGGCACAACCCCAAGTCGTGCTGTTATATCGGGACCGGTTCCCTGAGGGACAAGAGGCTGTCACACACAGCACAACACATGAGCCAAAGCCTACTGATCTACAAGCCTACAGCTGATGAGTATCTGGCATTATTCTTTCTTTTGGGATTTTTACTGTAACTGATGCAGGTACAGCTGAGCTAAGAGATTCTGAGAACAGCTTTGCAAAAGCAGAGTAATTATGAGGACTTGTAGCACCCCTGCTGTTCGAGGATCAGTGCTCCTTGTTAAATTACCCTCCAAGCTTGCAACATTGTGTGGGAAGCCCTAATTGTTATCAAACACACTTCAAATTTTCATCATTAGTCCTCGAGTGTGGGAGCTCAAATGAACAGTAACTCTGACCAATTTGAAGACAAAAAGCACACCAGGTACTGTGAGATATCTCCTGACAAAATGACATCTAGTCGGTGCCCAGGAATAAAATATACAAAGACACAAGCAGAGTTTTCTCTCACCTTTGGCTGAAAAGCTCCTTGTAAGGAGCTGAAAGGCCCAGTGGGAGGAATCACAGGCTGAATGCTCGGCACTGAGGGCGGCGGATATTGTGGGAAGAACTGACACACAGACACACGCAGCTTAGTGTCGATTCAATCACTATCACTTCCTTACATTTTATATGCAGTTATTGTTTCAGAGATTTTGGACCTAAAATCTATTCTCAGACTTGTCACTAATATATCACCACCTACAGAATCAATAAGATTACACAAGATACTCACATGGTTTCGGTACAGCCCGTCCATTTTGCCAGGAAACTTATCAAACTGCAACACAAAAGCAGGGGGTTAAAACAAAAAGCTGAATATGATCCACATTCCCGCCACACTGGAATTCCAAGTACGACACAGATGTTCAGCGCAGCAGCAGAGAGAGTCTCACCAGAGGCTGCGCCGTGGCTGTGGGATGCAGGAAGGGCGTGAAATGTTGGTGCGTGTGCGTGTGTTGGTGCTGGTGGTTGTGCTGATGGAACTGGAAGGCCAGCTGCGGGATGCTCGGCTGGTTCTGAGACGTGCGGCCTGATGAGCCCGGTGCAGAGCTCGATGCTGATGGACCACCGGGAGTCGAGCGGCCTGCTGCTGCCGCGTTGTTTTCAGCCCCTGGGACGCTGCGTCGGCCCTCGCGCTCTGGTGGAAACAACAAATTCAAGAGTTGAGCCAATAATTCTAAGTGAATAGTGGAGGGATGTCAGGATAATGGACATTTTGGGGATATATTGAAAACGAACACTGATTACACCACATCTAAAATATGCCAAACTTTACACATTGTCTGATTTTAACACCTGCTAGAGCTAAATACAGATGCGTACAGAAGTGCTACATATTCTCACTTACCACAGTGCTAATCAAGCATGCAGCTTCTGCTTTATATATAGAAAGCAAAACCTGCTGTGTTTACTTGATCAGATCTCAGTTCATCAATACACAACTTCCTCAACAACCCAGACAACCGCGGGAGGAAGTCTGGATTTGGTTTATTTTCGTAACATATCAGTCACCGTGTTTCCATGAACAACCGAAACCGACCATCAGATCGCACCAGCAGTGAAAAGTGGCATTTCTGTCGTGTGTACCTGCTGCTGCTGAGTGGGCAGGGCCTTGTAACAGAGGTGGAGGTGGAGGCAGGCCAGGTGAGGACGTGAACGGGGCCCCAGAACTGGCTCGGGACGGGGGTCGGAGGGGCCCTGAGGTTCCTGAGCCCCTCATGTAGGACAGAGACACACTGGTGGAAGGAGTCGGGGGGCGCATGGAGGATGAGGAAGACGCAACAGATGAAGCAGATGATGGAGGCTTGACTGGGGTGCTGCTCCTGAGAGGAAACAGAGCAGATGGTGAATCCAGATTGCCATTTGTAGAACATAAAATAATGCATGTCAGCAAGACTCAAAACACAAACATCACCAGACCTGTTGTTGATGTTGTAGATGGAGTGAGATCGTCCAGACAAAGTGAGGAACGGCTTGGGTTTGGAGAGCGGAGGGCTGCCGTTGTGGTGGCTGCTGTTGCCGTTGTGCCGGGGGACCGTGCCTGAGGCTGAGACTGGGGAGTGGGAAGGCAGGCATGGAAAGGGGACAGTAGAGGTAGAAGAAACAGGCTCTGGGAAGTGCGGCTCCAGGCTTTTCTCCTGACTTCGCTCCAGGCCGGATACTCGCGGGGTCACCATTAGCCGCGAGACCCCGCCACAACGGGCCGGTAGAGGCGGGCAGCTTTTGCCCATGGATGTGCCCATGTTTGAAGGGGCAGGATCCACGACTGGGGAAAAAGACATCGTTCAGCATTTTGCCTTTTCTACATCTAACACAGTAGAGTGACAGCTGTGACAGAGTTCTTAGGGTAAAAGGTCTCCCCACACATTTTAAGCAATCTGGTGGGTTATGTTGAGGACAATCCTGACGTCACTAGGCAGATTCCATCAGCCAGATGTGACACACAAACATTACCATTTCTTCATCACTGCTATTAAATAATACATGCATTAAGTCACAGTAAACGGCTGTTTCTTGCTGCACAGCAATCTCTGGCCTCAGGCTATCCTACATAAAAATAATCCCCATGGCTTCCACACAGTGAGGCATCCCGATTTTTACATTCCAGGCTTTAAAAAAACAATAACTCATACTTATATCATTAATTAATCAATAATCAGCAAGCATTTTTTAATATCTTTAAAGATCTATTTTAAGGAAAGTGAAATCAGAGACATCATATGAATAGCTGTGTGGATCTGAAAAGACCCTTCCAAGGTTTTCATGTCACAGTGTGATAAAGGACATGTTTTTGTCATTTTCTAAAGCCATGAAAAATGTAAGTCATTACAAACTAAACCCAATTCAAAATGAATCAAAACAAGTGCCTTTCATTCCGTATCATGCCTCCGTAAGCCACTGTGTGGGGTGAATGCCTCTGTATTGTGTCGTTTTAATATCTGCAGATTTAAATCAGTGCCACTACGTCCCTTGAATCCAAGCGTAACAATAACTGAATGAAAACAATCCTGCCTATTTAACTAATTTTCAGTCAAGATCTAAATATAGCCACATGAGAGATCATTGACAGACACATCACTTCATCGCTTCCTGAATGTGAAGCAGCAGAAAAAATAATAATAAATCACAGTGGAGTGACTGTATTAAATTTCTCAAACCTTTTCTAGTGCTCACTGTGAACACTGGATCCATGTCGTTATCTGAGGCCTATACAGGAAAATAAAACAGACATCATTAGAACTCAACAAAAGTCAACAGACATTTTCGTAATCATATCAAAATATAGAAGGGATTTTGTTAGGAGCTCTAAATTATCAAAATTCAGAAAGAATTTAAGTTTATTTTGTTGCGTTTCCCTTCCTGCGGAAACTATGACGAGCATTGCAAACTGCGTTGTGTCACATAATTGCTCCTTAATATGAAAAACCCGCAATAAATATCAATAGGAGTACATGTAAACAGTACACACCTTGTCTCCTGTATCACTCTCTGTGTCACACTGAAAGAGGATGGGGGAAAAAACATTCAGATTTGCATCTATTAAGAGTATTAATGTATGTACACTAAATATTAGAAAAGAAACTTACAATGTAACCAGTCTCCAAAGGGTGCCCCTAGAAAAAACGAATATATATATATATTAGCATCAATGGGACTCAGTTCATATTTTATTTCACGCAATGTCGCTTCATTTAAAAAAGCAACCTTGAATGATGGGTGCTGTTAGAATTTATGCAACAGCAGGAGCCTGAACCAGTTTTACAAGCTCATTTTCAATAGCAGGATATACAGGTCATTAGCACGGCAGAAATGTAAACACAGTTGTTTGATTAGGAATTGGCTCAGCATCCAGCATGACAAGTTGACAGTATATTCAATTACAACATTACAGCCTTGCAGGGTCATAACTTTAAGGTTCACCTCGATCTTTCTCCTCTTATTTCTACTCTTGTTCCAACAGCTGCTGGGGTAGCTGTGAGGGGCCACTTCCTCCGGCTCCGACATCGGCCCGCCGCCGTTCTCCTCCGGGCCTCTCTTCCCCTTGTTCCTCCTTCCCAGCATATCAGTGCGTTGACTGGGCTTCAGAGAGCAGTCCATCTGATTATGAAGGGGGAGGAAAAAGCACCGTTTAAATATCTATTAAAAAGCATAAAATTTGTGCGCCTGAGGCAAAAGACCATCGGCAAGCTGCAGGCTGATTAAGGCCCTGACAAGTCTAATTTCTGCACAGTTTCTACTGGGAGTGATCGCAAAAATAGAAAGAATGATGTAATGTAATACAGCCTGCATGAGACTACTACTTCAGCTGTTTGTGCGTGGACTCAATTATATGGTGTGTTTTTAGACTGTATTTTGTGGCTGCTTTGTATTTTTACCACTTTAATATATAGATAGACTATATCAGAAGCAACGCACAGCCTATAAATTACTCATGAGTTTAATCACCACCTTCCCAAGAGAAATTCCCTATAATACAGAGATTCCCATCTTTCTTATTGTTTATCTCATCTACGCCAGGGGTCAGAAGACAAATGAAAGGAATTGCGAGACGATTCACATGTGACGAAAGAGGAAGAAAAAGCATCTCTGCTTCGTCGGATCCTCTTTTTTTTTTTCTATCATCTTTCTCTAGTGAAGTAATGGAAAATATTAGCTCTCAAGGTACGGACAGCTTATTACAATGGCATAATTAAAAAAAACAAGGGAAAAGAAAATCTTAATTTCATAAAACTGCTTAAAGTAACAACTCTGTCATAAGGGGTCATGAGAACCAGTTTGTTGGCTTTACAGTGTCACAAACTTAAAAAAAAAAAAAGGGAACCACTGACGTCAATAAAGTAGTTCTTCAAACTACAGCTGTGAATCATGAAATTTTAGATGACAAGTAACTACCATACAAACAATTGTGATTAACGATTTCTCTTTTACTATTCATTTTGTGCCTCTTTTTAGTTTTACATCAGTGGTTATCAATGCCTAGACCGCCACCTTTTCGCTGGAAATCTGTGAAATCTACAATTTATTCGGCTCTTTTTTTCCCATTTGTTTTAAAACCACAATGTGCCAACAATGATGTTGTGTAGTTTGGCTTTACACTGAATTCATGACACCAGTGTCATTAGAAGTTGAAATTCACATCAATTATTAGAAATTAAGCTCCCTGGAATTGACAGTTTGTGCCATTGCACCTTAGCAGAAGCAATGGGCACAAACGCAGTGGAAATAGTGACTGAAACGTGGTATTTCCACAGTTTCATCTCGCTGCTTTCTATAGGTGTATGGAACGATTCTAACGGTTATGCAAAGTGATTGCAGTCTGCCCAAATAGTTGTGATCAGGCAATTATTTAGTGATTGTGACAGGCCTACTTTAAACCCCAAGAGAGTCAAGGGTATTGTTTGTATTGACATTCTTAGATGACATTACTGATGCACAAAATCAGTGCATTACAACAAGATAACATCTGGAAATTACAAGGTGCTGCTGACACACCCTTAAAAATGACACGTTTTGAATATTCTGTTTGGTAGACAAGTTTAAAAGTTATTTTGTGTCATTTATCATGTGAAAATATCTTATCTACTTAAATTTTGAATTAAAATAGATAATATTCAACATGAGGTGCAGGTAAATTGGCACAAACCAAGGTCAACATAGCTTGTCAATCCAACTGAGGGAACTGTGTCTTTTACAGAACAACCGCAGGCAATTTGTATCGTAAACTAATTCAGTTGGGAAATGAAACATTTGCCAAAGGAACTTACCATGTTCCACCAGTACACAAAAGTAAATTTGAGCTGGTCTGTTTACTTTTTTGGTTTTTTTCTATTGGCAGTTTCAGTTTCATGCAGTGGCCAACCATCTTGAAATTCTGCGGTTCATTTGACTGTAAAATTGTGTCACCAAGGAGAACGGTGGAACTGTATGTTTGTGTGTGTAAATGGAGAGTTTTACAAAATAACCTATTGACAAATTAAAGCAGATTCACCCTGAACCACCCTAAATTAACCAATATTTAAGATCATCTTGTAGCAGAGTCAAAATCATGTCAGTGATTATATTAGCGCTGCAATGACTAATCAATTAACTGTCATTTATTTAAATAATCATCAACTATTTTGATAATAGATTAACTGGTGTGCGAATTTTTAAGTCACAAAGCCAAAATTCTTTGATTAAATGTTATTATTTTCTCGTGTTGTTCCTCCTGTAACTGAATATCTTTGGACAAAACAAGACGTGAGGAAGTCATCTTGAGCTTTGGAAAACACTGGTAGCTTTCACCATTCTGACACCACGCAACTATTCCATTAATTGGGGAAATAATCAACGGAAAATGAAAATTAGAATTAGTGGAAATTCTGATGTTTGTTTATATAAGCATGATGTATTAAAGCTCTAAATGCATTGTGGGAACTTCCCTAATTTTAGACCCCCGTCACATGTCCTGACAGACAGACAACTGATTTAAGCAAGGTATTAATTTAAAGTATTTAAGTGAAGAGCCTGATCCAAGGACTTTGACAACCCCAGCTCAGCCGCAGGGTGGTACACATTGATCCCCCCTTCTTTTTTTTTTTCTTTTCTCCCCATATGGAATCATCTTTTTTCTATCTTTTTCTAAAAAATCCATTTGGCAGCTCATCAACACTTCTCAGAATTAGAACATGAATAATTGAGGCCTTTCCAGAACCCATCAGAGGGATGCCTTGGGGTTTGGGGTTTGGCCTGAGTGGATTGTTTTTCTCCAAGCAAGGAATGGTGTCAGAGTTGAGGAGTTCAATGTGCAGCCTTTCGCACCTTTTGGCTGCAGGGAAAGAAGGCATGAGTTGAGGTGATGGAGGGGAGCAAAAAGGACAAGGATTAAAACAGCCATCAAAGCCCTACTGCTCCACACACGTCGATCAATTCAAATAAATTAGAGGCAAGGTTTGTGCCAACTGCCTGCCACGCCACATTAAAGGGGAATCAATCACTGTGATTAAACTAATGTGGGAAATAGATGCAGTTTGATGAATGACAGCTGCTGGTGGGTGTAAAAGACAACGCCACATCTAGACATTTACCTCCAGTGCCTCCAAGCTGATAAAGCTCGCAATAGCGAAGCCGTCAATGATGTCTTCCTCGCAGGACACCGACTCCCTCTTCCTCCGACGTGGAGGCCTGTGTCTCCCAAATCCGGGCCGGCATTCTCTCCCACCGGGACCCAGGACACTGTTTGTCCCACAAGCCTCCCGATCGGAGCCCGAGGACAGGGATGTGGCCTGCTCCTCGGCCAGGTCCACTCGCCTCCTCCGCCGCTCCCTGTCGCGCTGTGAACGGGACCGTCGGCTCTGCCTGAATCCAGTGCTTCGGCTCGGGCCCTCCATGTTCACCTCCTTTTGTAACTCCAGTGAGACCAAAGGCACTTTATTCAAGTCCAGGTCCGGCGGAAGGCACCGAACCGCAAATAAAACACCACCACACAGGCCCTCGCAGGGAGCCCCTGTTAAAATGGCGTTAATGGAACCAGTGGCTATTATTTACCGTCCTCTGACAACAGTCTATTGGCATCAGTGCCTTTCTTTCGGCGAAATTTGAGTGTCATTTCAATTAATCTAGATACACAAACTCAGATCCGCACGGGAATTTGAAACATCCACGACAAAACACAAATGTCAGGACATCGCTGATTGTGTCTCTCAGACGGCTAACATTAGCTAGCTAGCTAGCGAGAAATCCAACCGATAACCACATAAGTTATAAACAAAAAAGACACAAATCTAGTCGCGTTACAGACAAAGCAGGATAAATCGAGCGGATTACAAAATGAAAATCACGTCAGTGTTGGCATTGCTCAACACAACGAAATTAGGAATTTCCTTAAATTTCTGCACACGCTGACAAATTTATTTGCCTGTTAGCAAAATGTTAGCAAGTTAGCAAGGCCAATAACCCAGATAACAGACATTAACACACCGGTGGCCGTGACATCTTTTCATATTATTGTTAAATTTGACATATTAATGTTGACAGCTGCTGTGAATTACGCCTAAATTAAGGAGTATAACGAGTTGTCTGGTTGACTTTACTGCTAGCTAAGGTTAGGTCAGTGTTGACTCCAGCCAATTAGCTCATTCGGTTAGCATGTACAACTCAATACATTACAATATATTCAGCCAACGAGCTAAGAATAAAACTATATTCTTAAAATTTGTGTGCAAACACCGACAAGCCGGGTAGTTGACCGTGCAGCTAACTATTATCCCGAAGCCTGGAGAGCGAATTTTCCGGCTGTCGAGATGTTGATGGCCGATAGTAATGGTTGAATTCGCATCACATCAAAAGAAAGACGTAACGTTAGCACCCCGGCTAGCTGCTAGCCGATCCAGCTGTTAGCCAGCTTACCAACAATCTCTCTATTTTTTTAATTTTTTAAAGGAAGCAGAAAGAATACGGAAGATCTTTTTTTTCACTACGAATCACAGAATAATAATATCTCGCGTCTTCACACGCAACTCTTCTTTCGTTCCACCTCCATCATAAAGAAAAAAACCGAGGCCCAAATATCAAAGCCTCGGTGTCGATTTCCATAAACGAGGGTGTCGGCCAAGCCCCCGTTGGGCTGGGCAGCTCCTGGATGCAGCCTGTGTAATCCAATGTTTGGGAGAAGTTGGACCGCTCGCCGACGTCTCCGGTTGGTTTTTCTCGCTAAATCCAGTGTGCAGATATACAGAGAGAGAAAGCGAACGGCGCCGCTGCTGCGCTTTCACAAGTTTCCACTGAATTGGAAATTTATCGTGAAAATCAGGGAGACACAACCCTTGTCAGCCGTGCAGTGCATTGTGTGCGCCACTCTTCTTCCTCAGTCAGCAGGCTGGCAGCTCCGCAGCTCTGCTTGTGCGTACCGCCACCGTGTGGACACGTCCTGCACGTCCACATATCGATGTTATTCTAAAAGCCATCATAAAAACAAATGTATACAAGGCCCTGTGCTGTGACTGAAGCTTAATGAAATGAGCACGAGTGCTTTTTTGCAATATTACTTTTATTTATTATAGATTTTCTACATATTGCACACAGTATAGAAAATGTGCAACACTGCACAAAATGTGAAATGTATGCACGCTGTATATATTTTTGAAAATATAGATATTCTACCTTTTTTGCACCCTGCATAGTTTCTATACTTCATATTTTGCACATTACAAATATTTTTATTTCTTTGCTCAGAAAGGTTTTATGCTCAGTGTGAGATGTGAGTTCTTGACTGTGATTGTTGCTGCTATGACAAAATAATAAAGTCTATCCTTCTATTTATTTCACTAAATGACCCAAAGTATGTGGACACTTCCCCTTTTTTCACCTTTGTTCTTAGGATTCCCATTAACACCAGTCTTGCCTATTGTTTTTGGGCTTCCCTCAGCACAATTATGCAGAGCATTTTTTCAATAAATAAAAATAAATATTACCATGAAATAGATAAATATGACCCTGAAATAAATCCTGTTTTGTACATTTTCTACAATTCTACAATTTCATTTTGCAGACGCTTTTATCCAAAGTGACATACATTTGAGAGTAGATACAACACAAGCAAGGATCTAATTATGCACTAAGGTAACCCCAAATCATCATACTGCCACCTCCGTGCTTCACTGTCAGGAGGACACATTCACTGTGGTCGTCTTGACCAGGTTCACATCAACATGCTGGACCCCGTTTGAGAAAAACTAACTGACCCTGAGCAAAGAATGTGCTCCCTCCCACTATTCATCAGGCTTATTTTAATGTATGTTAACAAACTTTATTCCTGCAGTTTTGTGCCTGAAGTGTGTTTATCTTGGACGCAATCCATAGCAGTTGACATTATGATTGTGAGCTGTCCTGTACACTGTCTGAGCTGTCACAGAAACCAGGATTTGTCCTGATAAGGCCTGGTGCCACTTTTTGGAGATCATGAAAGTAATGAGCTGTCCAAGGTATCATTTTAGAAGAATCATCACTGCAGCTCTGATTAGTACCACTAATCAGAGCTGCCCATTCTATATCTTCTGATTACTGCTGCAACTGTGTTTTCACAGATTTTTCGTTGGTCATTGATCTTCCGTATCCTTTTCCATCTCTGTATAGTCTTTAGATCATTTTTTCACATACTCTGGAAAATCTTTTCCATGTGGAGCCATGATGCCGACATGCAGATAGACAGAGCACGAGTCCAAAACTAAGAAAGTATAAACACATTCATGCGATTAGGCTGATTGGAAATCACAGTGTCTATTTTGAGGCCAGTACTTTCAACGTAGTCTTCCTAAAGTATTTGTTTTTGATTGTACATATGATGAAAGACTGCGCTTCTCAGTTTAGAAATAATGCAATTATTGAGCAGGAATGCAATTTGAAATTATTTAACATTGAAATGATTTTGCACAGGGTTGTATCCTGCATCCCATAGGAATACCCATGAAGGACATAAAGACGAGGAGCAAAATTGTCACCTTGCAAAATGGCATTGATGCCGTACACAGTCACTATTCCTCAGATAGTCACAGAAATCAAATTTTCCTCATTCAAATTTACATATATAAATTTATCTTGTCTGTCCTGCATGTACATTTCTGGCCTGGGGTTATTTTCATGCACAAACATTCAAAAAATAAGAAGTAGTTTTCTGTGTTTGGTGTGAGTAGCCTGCACAGAGCCCTGACTTCAACCCCATCCAACACCATTTGGGATAAAAACTGGAACATCAGCTGTGATTCTCACATTATCACCCAACATCAAGGCTGAATCTCACAAATTCTCTTGAGGCTAAATGGAAAAAGAAAAAAATCGCTGCAGCAAAGGACAAACGATCATGTCTCCACAAACCTTTGTTATATATAACAGTATAGAATGCAAGGCCTGAATAAAACGAAGGCTTTCATAGTGCTGCCACACATGCTGGGAGATTCAGCCATGGCTTAAGTAATGTTGGTAGATATAGAACTGATGTGTGATTATTTAATCAATACTATATCTGTCGTCCACTTGGAAAGAGTGGATGCGCTGACTAATGTAGGTTCAGTTTTAGGACGGGAAATGGAGCTGCTATTACTCAGTCCAGTGGTTTTATAATGGTGGAGATGAAGGTTAATTATGTTGTAGTTTGTCTTACTTTGCAAGTGTGTTTTTTCTCCCATCCGTCTCTGGTTTTATGGGCTGTTATTCCTGTAGGCCTTTTCTTTTCTTGTTTTTAATACGCCTGTGATTTGTCACAAGCCGATAATGTGCGGGCGTGTCAAGCCCTTTAAACCATCACATGTGATGTTGAGCAACACAAATAAAACTGACCTGATCTGACTTTTGCACCAGAGATCTGCACAGTCTTTTTTTCCACAGCAGCCATTTTGCCAAGTCACAGCGGCGCAGGTGTGTTCGTGACGGCTGCATTCCACTCAGGGGAGGTGCATGCTGGTTCATTGTCACAGTTTACTGCGGCGCCAAGTGAACTTGTGTAATCGTGAATGTTCTGAATTCCATCTGCAGTCACAACTCAAAATGTCGGCAACAAGAGAGTCACAGATATGACTTACTGATCTGAAGTTTAAAGTTTAGTAGAATTCATTTTTCTGATTACAATTATTTAAGTTGAGTAAATGACTCAAAATCAGTTGTGAATACACCTGCCCATATCAATCAGTGAGTTGAGACATTAAAGTTTCAAAATTATGGCAGTCTTCTTAAATTCAACATTTGATCTCGTGACTGTGGCTCTAAATATAAGAAGTGATATACGGCTACTTTTATAAACATACATGCATTTGACTTTAGAAGGGCCAAGAAACCTGGAATGGACCACAAATGTCATTGTTCTAATATATTTTCTTCTGCCTACATGATGATTCACGCCATTTTAAACCTATTTTCACAGTGTTAAGGAGCATAGTTCTGGTGGAGAAGCCATAACTCTCTTAAATACTGCCTATATCTGTAAAATCCAACAATATGGACTCTAAAAATACTCAAATGAGCTTTAAAAAAATCAACCATATCCTTTGAAGGATTACACTGAAATATTCAATTACATACTTCAACATGTGGTTCTGTTCACCACGGGCAAAGAGATCAGGAGGAGACAGGTGATATCCATCCTTCCATTATCTATACATCGCTTAAGCCTCACTAGGGTCACGGGGGGCTGGAGCCTATCCCAGCTGACTTAGGGCGAAGGCAGAGGACACCCTGGACAGGTAACCAGTCTATCACAGGGCTACACTTAGAGACAGACAACCAAGCACACTCACATTCACACCTACGGACAATTTAGAATCACCGATTAACCTCAACGTGTTTTTGGACTGTGTGGGAGGAAGCCAGAGAACCCGGAGAGAACCCATGCTGCTCAGGAAGAACATGCAAACTCCACGCAGAAAGATCCCAGGTGTCCTCACCGGGATGTGAACCAGCGACCTTCTTGCTGCGAGGCAACGATGCTAACCAGACAGGTGATATGTCCTTCTCAATATTCAGAAAATGTGCATTTTGCAAATCCACTCTAAAATCATTAATAAATGAATCAAAAGCCTCAGACAGGAGTGGGTTGTTTTTCTTAAGTGCTAGATCTTTTTTTTTTTTTACCTTCAAAATATGAAATATGAGCTCCAACAACCACTGAATCAATTGTAAAAAAAAAATACATTTGAATCCATATATGTTGCATTTTATTTTGAATTGCCACCTGGAGCCTGCATTTTATGCATTCCTTTACATAAATAAAGACATTTCTACTGTAAATTGATGCAGAAATGACACAAACTGGTGCACAAAGATTCACCAGAAAGCAGAAGGCCCCTCAATGTAATGTGTCCCCTTCAATATTCAAATGAAATCTATGCTGTTCTTCTTCATGTTATGGCTAATCCTCAGTTCTCTTGAGTCTTTGGTGAAGCAGATATCTTTGGTGTCATCATCTGGCCGGCCTCCTGGAGTGCAGCAAAGAGTGCAGCAGGATGCCTGTAGCCACAGAGACATTCAGGGACTCGATGCCGGGAGTCAGATCTCTACCAGCAGGGATGGTGAGGAGAGTTTGGCACAGAGACAGCAGCTCCTGGGACAGTCCTTCCCCTTCACCTCCCATCAGCAACAGCGTGGGTTTGGTCATCTGAAAGTCAGAACACTTGGTGACAGGAACCCGGGACTTGTCCTCTGCTTCAGTCCCCACTGTTCCAACCACCTGCCAGCCCTGCGCCGCCTTCAACTTCAACATATCTCCAAGGTTTTCATACCCGTACACCTCGATTACCTCCATGACACCAGAGCTGGCCTTGCTGACCACCGGAGACAGTGGGCAGCTGTGGCCAACAATGCTGGCGACTCTGTCCACACCCAGGAAGTAAGCAGAGCGAAGGATGGCACCGAGGTTCATCGGGTCCTGAATTCTCTCCAGGACGAGCCACAGAGGAAGGCCAGAGTCTTTTCTTTCGAGTGCAGAGTCCTCAGTGAGATAACGCAGAGGACTGGCCTGCAGACACACCCCTTGATGCACTCCTCCAGCAGACATCTTGTCCAGATCCCTCTTGCTGACCCGATGAATTTGCACTCCTCTCAGATGAGCCTCCTCACACACGCTTACCACAGATGCCCTGCGAGAGGCCTCACCTTCTTTTACAAACAGCTTCCAGGCCTTCCGTCTGCCCTGAGTGAGCGCCAGCAGGCAGGGAGCAACGCCAAAAACTATCTCAGATTCCTCAGCTTTGGAGTCCGGCGCTGACTTCTGTCTCCACTGCCTCTCCCTGTCTGCAGGGAAATCTTCCAGACACAGCTTCCTGAGTTCAGATGACACTCTGTTGTCATCTCCCCTCTGCTGATTCCACTTCTGCAACATCTCATTTTTCAGGGCTTTGTTCTGAGCAGCCCTCTTACGGCCCTGCAGCCCTTCTACAGGCTTGTGTTGGACATTGAGGCGTCTCCTGGCTGCAGGGTGGACGCTTCTGTCCTCTGGGTAACGCAGGGTAGGTGAGAAATGATAAGATGCAACCTGAGAGCAAACTCCTAAGACTGATGCAGGTGTACGCAATCTCCAAACAAGTAGCAGCTTGTGCTGATGTGCAAAACTGAAAACCCACATCTTAATAAAGGTGGAAGTATGTCCACTGCACAAAGAATGTCCTAGAGAAGGTCAGCTCAGCGGCCTGAGGAGTCCTTTAATCCTTAAAAGACGAGTCCATACATTTCACTGACAGTCTGTTATTAAGAGTTAGGTCCTAATAGTTAGTGTTACCTTTGTTCAAGCATCCTACTGTCCTCCATGCAGACATGTTTGTGGACTTAACGTGAACTACGCACATGTGCTACTCAGTTGCGTCAAGCTGACCACAGTGTGAGCGAATGTACAGTCCTACCTCCTACAAAATAAAAGCCTAACGTTTGCTACTTCTTTTGGAAAGACAAAATAAGCAAAAGAAAAAGACACGTCGTCCTTTTTGAAACAATACTTTATCCAAAACAAGATAGGCACACATAGTGAGCAGAATGGCCTACTAGTAACACCTTTGAACATCATATAGTTCAGTACTTTGACCTCTGGCAATGCCAACAAAAACAGGACATTCGAGGTATCATAAAATGGTAGCAGTTTTATTAGATTACATTAGACAGCACAGGTGTACTTAATAAGGTAGTCAATGAGTGTAAACATAATCTTCAAATATTTGGATAAGACAGGATGATGTAAATGAGTAAAATAATGAAACATTAATATGAGCAGTTGTTTATAAATAAGTGAATCAACTAAAAAAAGAGCAGCTGAAATTAAATAAAGATGAAATTAAAAACCTGAGTTGATCTAGAATCTGAATTTGATTTAAAGAATAGTTGTTCAGTAGGTTATTGCAGATGCACAGTGACTAAAAACAACCGGCACCTGCAGTATTATCCAATCAGATGAGCGTGTAATGAGGTAATGTAAGGGGAGAAAACAGTCAGGGCCTCATAAATAAATAAAACCCAAAGTTTATCACACCTTTAAGGGCTGTCCAATAGCATACAACCCACAGTGCTGAGAATTATGATTATCACATGTAATAAATCTTAATGCAGAGTGATAGTGTCCAAAGATGTCAGGGTTACTGCTGATTAATGCATGTATAAAACGTCACCACAATGCAGTACTGATAGAATGGTAGAAGATTTTTTCCACAGTGTAGCGATGCAGATTTATACAGAACACTGTGCAATGACAACAAGACGTGATAAGAACATTCCTTAAAATAGAAGATGTGTGTTTGCGTACATCTATATGCAAAATTTTATTATACTTATTATATATTAGGCTTGTTCTTTAAAAAAACAAATTTCGTACCACAAACATGTGAATGTGAACTGGCATAACAAATAAAGTTCCCTGAATATACATGTTTACATTTGCCAGTGTGTGTATTGCTATTAGAGATGAAATGTAATGCTTAAGATTTATTCATATTTCTATTTTAAATCTCCATTTATATCTGATCAAGTTGATTCTTGTTTAGCACAAATTGTAACTGAGCAAAGCAGTGTTGAAGACAGCAATATAGACAATATCCACACTGCAGTACAAACATATAAGATTCAAGAGGTTTTATATATGTGTGTGTGTGTGTGTGTGTGTGTTTATAAATGTTAAATGTATATTTATATATTTTATGCAATAATCTAAAAATCTGAATACTTCTTCGACTACAGTCAGTAATAAAAAGTCAGATTTATGAATGAGACTTTATTGTGGTTTCGGTCTTTTTATTTCCTGTCTTGTTATGTTGGTAGTTTGACAGCAGTGACGTAACGGTAAAACTGACGTCTGTTGTCGCGTACGCGATGACGTCACTTCCTGGAAGTGAAACTATCGCAACACGGAAGTGTCGGAAAGAAAACAAATAATCGTTTAAATTAGTGTCGAAGTGAAGTCGGAGAAGACGCCCTGAGCACCGTTTACCGTCTGAATAACCTTCTTCTTACCGACGAGCCCGGTTCACGGTGAGACCGACTCTCTGTAGGCCCAGTTTGAGGCCGCTGGCTTCAGTCCCAGCTGCTGCTTCCAGCTACTTTAATGAAAGCAGTGGAGACAGATCTGGGTGGACAGCCGAGCTAAACACGGCTGAAATTAGACTTTAGGCCTCCGATCATAAAACTAACTGCTGAGTAGTATAGTGAAGGAAACACGGGGTTTACTGACATGGTTGAAACTGTGTTAGAAACTGATTTATATGCGGACAAACTGTCAGTATTTTGTACTTTACGGTGTAAATGTTGTTACTCTGGTGGACTAAAAAGTTCAGGTGGAAAAACCCCAAGATTTCACAACTACTTGCATGACTAGAGCTGTTTGATTAGCTGAACAATAATAATGTTGGTAGTTTGTTTATCTTGTTAGCATGTGTTCAAATTAAAAAAAAAAAAAGAAAAAAAAAAAAAAAAAAGAAAAAAAAATACACACACTCTGGGGTCACACCCGAGAAAAGCCGCACACTGTGACACACAGCGCCACAAAAAGAACAAGTCCAAATAAAAAAAAAAAAAAAAAGAGGAATTAAATGTCTTGTTTAGTCCAACCAACTGTAGAGCTGCAATGATTAACCCATACATTGATTTCTTGTCAGTGATTATATCAATTGCCAACTACTTAAAGAATCGATTAATCAGTTTAAGTAGTTTTTCAAGAAAAAAAAAAGAAAGACAAAATGCTCTGATTCCAGCTTATTAAATTTGAATATTTTCAGATCCTTGTCTACGTTATTTAATGGAATGTCTTTGTGCTGTGGATGAAACAAGACATGTGAGGATGTCATTTAGTGCTTGTTTTCTCAAATAATCAATTAGTTGTTTGTTTGATAAAATGTCTGAGAACAGACAATTTGCTGTCATAGAGGAGGAGAAAAAACAGAAAATATTTAAAGGTAAGACGCTTAAATCAGAGAATGTTGACTTTTTTTACTTCAAGAAATGACTGAAACCTCTGAATCGATTATCAAAATAGTTGAATAATAGAACAGAATAATTATTTTATTAGTTGACAACTAATCGATTAAGCGTTGCAGCTCTACTGACCAACAGTCCAAAATAAACAGATATTGATCATAATAAACATAATTTTAGCTATTGTGTGTTGTTTTTCTATAAGATGCTATTTTGGACAGCAACTGTGTAGTTTGAGTCCATCTGACATTCTACTTTGGTAATTTTCTACCAGATGGAAATGCTATTTGGTAAAAGAAAGACTCCGGAGGAGATGCTGAGGCAGAATCAGAGGGCGCTCAACCGAGCCATGAGAGAACTGGACCGAGAGCGAATGAAACTGGAGCAGCAGGAGAAGAAGATCATCGCTGACATTAAGAAAATGGCCAAACAGGGACAAATGGTTAGTAGAGCTCATGAGGAGAGATTTAACTTGTAGGAAAGAAAGAGAAACAGCTATAATTTGTATAATGTCAATCTTTGCAGGACGCTGTAAAGATCATGGCCAAGGATTTGGTTCGCACGAGGCGCTACGTCAAGAAGTTCATCATGATGAAAGCCAACATTCAGGCCGTCAGTCTAAAGATCCAGACGCTCAAGTCCAACAACAGCATGGCGCAGGCTATGAAAGGCGTCACCAAAGCCATGGCCACCATGAACAGACAGGTCTGTCACACGATCACTGAAACACACTGTGATACAATAAACTACATGTGTTGATAATCTCTTATTTATTCCTTTCCTGCAGCTTAAACTGCCTCAGATTCAGAAGATCATGATGGAGTTTGAGCGGCAGAGTGAAATCATGGACATGAAAGAGGAGATGATGAACGACGCCATCGACGACGCCATGGGAGATGAGGATGATGAGGAGGAAAGGTAGGGGACCGAAGCAAGCAACAAAACTCTTATTTCTATTTGGTGCAACAACTTTAATGTACCTTTTGAGGTAACTGAAACCCAAAGGAATGAAACACAATTATAATATCTGTCTGTTTCCCAACATCTCCTCCTCCAACCCTGCATCTTGTAGCTTCATCTTTTACTGCCACTCTCATGTTTGAATATGGAGTTCAAACCAGCAGCCTTCTAGCTTAGCTTAAAGCTAGCCCGACTCTGTCCAAATGCAACGAAATCTGCCTTGCAGCACCACTAAAGCTCTCCGATTAACATGTTATATCTTGTTTAATCCCTAGAAAAAACTCTACAAGTGTTCTCGACTATTTATTTAGTTCAGTCAAATTCCTAAGTCACTACTCACCTATGGAAAAAAAATGATCCAAAAATACAGCTGTGCAAGAGTAAACTCAACTGCAAATAGGTGGCCAACAAGGTCCGACACCACAAGAACTCATATTATGTTTGAATGTATTTATTAGTCTGCTCACAGGTTAAAATTGGCATATTTCTGCTGTACACAAGTTCTTTTCTATTTGTTCTACATGCAGGGGATTTAAAACACATTCCTGGTGGCACTGGACGATGCTGTGAGGTTGTCTGAGAGCCTCACATCTATTTTGGGAACTTTCTGTTTTGCCTGTAATTTGAGAGCTAAAGTTTACAAGACCCTGCAATAGATTCTTTGTCCTTGTGAAAAAGTAAGGCAACCTGCTTTGGACTAGATTGGAAAGTCAGAAGACTTTAAGTAGAGGAACAATAAAATGTTCTAACTAGCTTCATGTTGTCTCTGCTGGTTGCCTCACAGTGACAAAGGCTACCTGGACTCAGTGGTCAGTAAGAGGAGGAAAAATGGTAGATTTAGCATTTAAAAAAGTCTTCAGATGCGTCTTTTCCTCTGTGCGTTCACGTAACTGTGAAATCTCAGTTGTAAATGTACCAATGTTCGGTATCAGATGTGGTTAGTTTCTTTAAAATACATATTTGTCACACTGGTGGGAGAATACCAGACGTGTTTTACCAAGCAATACTTGTTTTGCACAAAAGAAAGTATACATCAGAAGTTAATATCAAGAATTTTTTCTTTTACATTATTTTTTCCGCATACTTTGCCTTTATTAGATCATTGAAGTCAAAAATCAGACAGAAAAACTGGTGTGAGAGAGGTACAACATGCAACACAGGCCCTTGGCTGGATTCAAACCAGAAATGTTCTCGCTAAGTTGCAGTAAATGTTTGTGTTTTGGTTCAGTGCTGAACAAAACAGGTAATTTAAAATAAGGCCTGTGTTACAAACAGAGGTTGGATGACAAGGCAGGGAGGGAAAAACAAGACACTGTGGAGGTGAATTATGGAAAGTCACAAGACTTTAAAAAAAAAATTAAATAAAAAATCTGTCCCTCACTTTTTTTAAAGTGCTGCACTCTGCGAAGGTGGTAGCTTTGATTTTCTTCTTTATTCACCCTCCACAATCTCATATAACTAACGCTGTTTAAGTTAGTAATTAATCGTCATTGTGATTGTGTCTTGTGTAGCGACGCCATCGTCTCCCAGGTGCTGGACGAGCTGGGCCTGAATCTGTCCGACGAGCTCTCAAGTAAGAACAACCCACAACTTCAGGCACAAACATTTTACTCTTGAGATATTTCCCTGTAACACCGGATGTCCACTGCATGTTCACTCCAGGTCTTCCGAGCACCGGAGGAAGCCTGTCGGTGGCCGGAGGAAAGAAGGCCGAGCCCCAAGCCGCCCTGGCAGACGCCGACGCCGACCTGGAGCAGCGTCTGAACAACCTCCGGAGAGACTGAACGCGCTGCAGGACGACGGGAGCACTGTGGTGACGGCGCGAATACAGATACAAACATACTCGGATCTCTGTGTCTAGATTCTTTTGAAGGTGTAACCGGCAGAGCACTAAGCTGCCTCGGCAGACGGGCTCAGTTATAAAAGGTGTATGGCTTTCTGTTTGAGGTGTTTTATGTTTTTTTTTTTTTCATTTTATGCGTGTAATATGTATTTTATCAAAGAAAAAGAAGTCATTACCCTTCATAGGTCTAGCAAATTCTTGTCTCAGTTAAGATTTTGCCAAACGACAAATTGAAAGTGAACATTTCTTTCACTGTCTGTGTAAATACTAACTCCTCAAGGCATGATGCTTTCACAAATTAACACTAATTACAAACAGGAACCCAGATGAAAGCTGGTGATATAACAGAGGGTGAAATTTTCTATGGTTGAGGTATAGAAGTGTCAGAGGTTTTTGTACTCGAGGAAGGTTTGGTGTTCTTTGTATCATTTTCATCAAGAAAGTAGACATTATTAGCCCCCCAATTAATGGATTTTGATCATATTTGTGAATGGAACGGAAGATGGTCTACAAGCATCTGTCTAAATTCACTAATAGGATGGTTTATTTGACAGAGAAAGGTATGTTCAGCTGCCGTGGAAAGAGAGAGATCAGCAGAATTTTACACCAAAATGTTAATAAGGAGTCAGTGGTGTTTATTTTTGAGAAACTGTCCTGTTTTTTTTCTTTATTCAATAAACATTTTTTTTCCAGATTTAAATTACTTTGTGTGTGTAGAATATTATTTTAGCAAGTCAACACAGATCTGGCTCTAATTCTTTGAAAACCCGCTTCTTTGTGGTTCGATTTTTTTCAAAATTGAACTTTTAAACTGTGATATCAGCTTTAAAAATAACATTCAGAAAAATTCTTTCTAATCAAGCCAAAAACATACAACACAAGTGGATCCACGTATCATAGACATATTCATTTTTATTCCAAAAAAATGTAACTTTCAAAACTGTCAATTTGTCAACATACAATCATAGAACAATATTGAATGTACTCAACACTTCCGACATTAAATAATAAAAAAATAACAGCCATGTTTTATGTACATTTGTTTCTGAAAGCTATGTACAGGAAAACAAAACAAAAATCAACTTTCCAAAATCTGCCTTCACGTAGCAGTTGGAAGTGTTGAAGCTGCAGAAAGCCGTTGCATCATACGTAGAACAGTTTGAGCGAACGCAGCGAGGAAGAAGAAGAAGTAACACCGGCAGAAAACAAAGACTGCGACCGAGATTACGTCGGAGAGATTAACTGGCAGCATGTTAAAGAGCATACTGGCGCACGTCGCTAGAACTACAGCTAGAAAGCTTATTTATCGTCTAAAACGGCTCCCTTGAACGTCTTGAACTCGAGAGACCAAATGCATACACATAACTTGATTTATATTTACTGGATGTAAGCGTATTGTTAAGATTGGAAACACGAAAATCAAGATCAGAACTGTTATCAGATTATGATGAGGCTGTTCGGGCTGTCGCTGAATACAGCAGCCAAAAATCATGCTTTCAAGAACTATATTTTGTTGTCCAATGAGCAGAGATTATCTCCATTCTGGGGTGAAGCCATGCTATCATCTTCTTATTTTTTAAACAGCTAAATAGAGTCCATGCAACTCACATATAAAAGAAAAGGAACTAATAGAAACAAAACAGGGAACAGATCACTGGGTTTCACGCCAAGTTTACCACCCGTCTAATTTTCCGTGCCTTTAATTTCCATGAAACAAACCCTCGGACGACAACGAACAACCATTTGGTTGCTTAATTTTTTCCCTCCTTACACTGGATTGGCTCAAAAACTGCAAGTACTTTTTCTTTTAGAATATATGAAATCATGCTGGCTCAAAACTCCCAATATCACACTGAACATTGATAAAATCTTATTGAAGTTGTGTGCGAACAACGATATAGGCAATACACAGCACGATACAGTCGGATTTTGACGTTTTTTTTCCACTTAGGCAGGGAGAATGATTGCGGTAAAACTACCCAGAGCAAAAGGATGAAGCTGTATTGCTCAATGATGAACAGTTTAAGCTCTACTTTCAGTCAAAATGGCAAAATAAAGCTGCGTTTCCACCACGGAAAATAGGAACATTTTTGGTGCCTTTTTCACCGCACGAAAATTAGATTCAACGTCAAATTACAAAAATTCGTGGGTTGGGCTTACAAGTGCTGAACATTCATGACTGGTCGAGAACTTGCAGCGTCTCATTTCAGCCGCCCTTTTCTAAAGATCTGTAGCTGTATGTTGTTCATTGTGCTTCGACACATGAACTTGCAGAAGAAAGCGTATGACGGATGGAGCGACAACAATTTACGGTACAGTCGTGCACAAAAATGATATGTAAAAACAGCCGCTGCGTTTTCTATACGTTTGCCTAATTCGCCAAATCTTCCAGGGTATTTAGACCGCGGTGTAAAGGACGCCTTTAACTCCTTGAAAAGAAATTCTACAGACTTAAGGTTCGGGTTACTTTGGGTGGAAACGCAACTCAAGATGAAGTGCTCTCAAGATTAGAGTCCCCAGTTTTTCCTGTTGGACCACTATGCATAAAAAAAGCGACAGGAACTCCACTTGTGTTTTCGCATGGCACGGCTCCAACAAAATGAATCTCAGACATGTTACAGAACATGCATATAACTCTGCGGTAATCGTCGACAGCTGCTAACATGAGGACTGTAATCTTGCAGCTTTAAGTCTCCCTTTCAGAGGTGCACAGAGACCAGAAATATCAAGGACACCCAAAGCCAATATTCTGCAGGAGATCAGCTGGTCTGTGGTGACGTGTTGAGGCTGGAGAGTCATTTGCTCTCCCACAGACTGAAAGCAGCAGCAGTTATACACAGCGACTAATGATTTATCCCTCCCCACCCCCAGACACACAGACAAATGTAGCGTCTGGGGGTGGAGCAGCATCTCTCCGCTGTTTGACGCCGCGTAGGTTTCACTTCCGGCAGGTCCGGTGAGGCGTGTGTTTCTTGGGCACCTCGATGCGGCATCGGCTTCGGTCGTCCAGCCAAGGCAGCTCGAAGTTCCTGGAGGAAAGCAGCGTCCAGACAATTTACTTTCAATTCAGGAGTGAAAACACACAAGAACAACTTCAAGTTCTTCTGGGTAACTGGAGAAAAGCTGAGTCAACGCCACTGACGCTGTTCCATTATCACAATAACACTGACATTTAAATCTCTGTATCTTAACTTGCTGAAGCTCAAGCAACCAGCAAATTATTTTAGTAAAAGAGACAGGGCCCAAGTTGTTACACAATGATTTCATGACTCTAAAAATGGCCTTCACAGTCTCTAGATTCAGGATGTGAGATGTGTCTTAATCCTAGCTCAGGCTACATGATGATTTTAAGGGTTCCCTGTCAGACAAACGTTTGAACTCTGAGACAAAAATCCTGAGTTTAACGCAAAAAGAGTGTTGAAACATAGTCTGTTTGCACTATAAAAGACTGAATTAAGCTGTGCGCTCCAGTCCCCTTTTGTATTCTAACATAAAAAAAACAACCCTGGGAGCTGTCAAAGCGTCTGCAGTATTTTCTGGCACGCTTGAATTTTTCAAAGTGTTTTTTCTAATTCGAGCAGCTGTAGGACAAGACCTGACAGCAGCAGTGAGTGGCAGCCAAAGAAAAGGGAGAGGGGAGTGAGAAAACAACATCGTGGCTGCTTTTCATTATGCCAACATGTCTCCTCGCTTCCCTTGTCTCAGCTCCTCCCGACAAGTATCTCAGAGAGAGATACGAGGAAGAGACGGGGACGGAGGAGCTGAAGAAATCTGTTCACTTTCAAGCAACACCAGTAATTTATGGCTTACTGCATGACCACAAAGGATCAGCGTTCAGACCAACTTTATAAAAGACATGATGTGTAGAATACACCCGTTTCTCTCGCTCTAAGCTCCTCCTTCAACTCTTGTGGTCTCCTTGAAGTGTATTTAAATAACTGGAAAATCCTCCATGTAATGAGGGAACAAATCCCAAATCTCAAAAAAAAAATCTAAAGTCTCTGATTTCAGCTTGTTAAGTAAAAATATTTCTTGTTTCTTTGCAGCTCTCCAACAGTAAATGAAATGTCTTTGGGTTGGGGACAAAACATATTTGAGGAAGTTATCTTGGGCTTTGGGAAACACTGATGGACATTTTTTTAAAAACAATTTTATAGACCAAACAACTAATTGATTACTTGATCGACAATCAAAATAACTGTGATTTTCAGCCCTGTTGGAATGTTCGCCATGCTTTTGATTTGATTTTCTTTCTCGCGTGGGTTTCTACTTCTCTTATGAGCTTGTGCAAATATCAATTTAAGGCATTTGGGAAGAAAAGCAGACTCTCTTCTCTTCTCTGCGCTCAGCTTTTAATTAGAGAATTTACAAAGCCTTGCAGTCTGAGCTTGACACCAAAAAAAAATACTCACTGAAGGAATAGTTATATTAATAATCCTGATTAATAAGCTATTAAAACTGATGATTCCATTACAAGAACCACTGAAGCTGTTCTGTACACCCTTCATGTTAGATTTTACTATAATTTATAACAAACCTGGAAGCAGGAAAAGTGATTTTGACTCTCTTACAGCAGACTGTACCAAAATCAGCAACCTACTTATTTCAGTAAACAGCCATAAATACATACTTTTACCAATAAATGACCCATCTGTTGAATTCTTCCTCTTGCCATTTCATGTGCTTAATGCAGTGCAGAAGCATCAAAATAATTCAACCTGAAATAATTGCACAGTAAATGTGACAGAACCAGAAAAAACACCTCTAACTTACTGTTGTGTGAGTTTGGGCAGCGGCCGGCCAAATGCAACCACAGGCAAGAAGGGCGTGATCACTATAGTTTCAACTGGAAGAAATAAAAGAATGAAGTTAAACATCGCATCTGTGTCACGGCATTATGCTGCACCTCGCTGAATTCAGGCATCCTGATACTGAACAGTGCAGACGTACCATCTTCGGTGTCGGGATAGAAGGACGACAGCTCTGGCTCAGTCTCTTGGACCACTTTCTTTCTGTTCATGCGCTGCTGCAAACGCTGGAACATGCGCTGCTCTCTGATACGCTGGATGTCCCATCTGAAATCCCACACAAGGTTAATTAAAAAGGCGGGAAGAGGAAGGATCTAATGAGGAATTGCAGAGCTTCCCTGAAGAAAGAGCCGGTAAGTCATGCGTTTGCCTTGAAGCCACGACACAAGATGATTCATGTGCGGGAGGGTTTTTCTTGACTCAGAATGAGTCTTTAAGGGGGCGGCTACGCACGACAGTGAGCATGATCCGTCCATGAACAATAAAACCAATAACGTCTGTCTTAACTTCTTTGATGGAAATGTGAACGTTTTGATTAACAAAAATGTCTATGATGCTTAAGGAAATGAAAAAATAGATAGATTTTCTATCAGCATGGACTTAAATCTCTTTGGGAGGATGCCAAAAAGTCCTCTGCACATGAAAAAGCCTGAAATAAATATTTCACTGGGGCTGAGTGGGTATCACACTACCTCACAAATTCAATCAGTCATTCACTAAGCTTGAAAGATGAACCACGGTGTGTGTTTATATCTGTACAAAATTGTAAGCTTTAAAAACTCACCTAACAAGATAAATATTTTACATATAGTAAACATTAAAGGAATCATTTGACCATTTCTGGGTCTATGAATGAGTGTAAGTATTGGTGCATATGTTGGAAGTAACATGAAATTGTCCTACAGATGTGCCAATGATATGTTTTTAAAGGGCATTTATTTTTGATTATACTATGACTAATAATGTTTCAGTGGATACTTACAAGGTGAATTAGCCTGTTACAGACTTTTGCAGGTACACAAAATTATTTATTGTTCAATTTACAGGCTTTTCTCTCCACAAAAAAAACACTTTATTTTTACTACAGTGCAGTTTACTTGCTCTCCTTTTCCACCAAACAGGTTCCAGCACTGGTTCGGAGCCGGTGGCTGACTTAGCACCAGTTCTTTGTGTTTCCACCACCAAAGCACCGGCTCCAGGCTCTCAGAACTGGTGCTTTTCAGGCACCAACTCTTTGTTGGGCCAGAGAAAAGCACTGAGTACGTCAGGGTCTGGAGGTGGGGTTATCGTGACCACCGAGACCGACGAATGGGACACACAAGTGGTGATTTGTATCGTTTTTCGCCAGGACGTCCCTGGTCTGATTGTAGATGTATTGGAATGAATCCAGGGACACACGGACGTTTGGCACACACTGTAAGCCAGTACAATTGTGTCCCACCAGCAACATCACAGTGGTGGAAAATGAAATGAAAAATACTTTATTCATCCCAGAAGGGAAATTCAAAACAGTAGTTTTATAACTTTGGTGTACTGCGGTATTTACGCTTAGAGGGGTATTAGAGGTTAATGGCCTCCTTTGTTTTTGGTGTCTTATTTTTCTGTTCTCATCAAATGTGATTTTATTTTTTTTAATAACCAAATGAATTTCAGTCTAAACTTTACTGCTACAGCTGTTACTGGTTTTGACTGGTTCATTATACAACATTAAAATATCCCTACTTGTGCATGTCTTGGTGACAACTCTCTAATAACCAAAATGAAACAATCACAGGCTGTTGCATTTCTCAGTACAAGTCAGGCTCTGGTAAAACTCAAAAAGGACTTTCTTTTTTTTAAACTAATAATTTAAGTCAGTGTTTGGTACCTTTTCCTCCTCTTTTCATCCAACTCGAGCTTCATGTGACGTTTCAAAAACACTCCGTCGTCCAGCGGCTTGATGGAAGCACAAATTCACATGTGTAATTCACAAGTTAAATGCTTTAATATGTAATGTGAGATAACTCTGAAGGAAGAATTTACGTTTGTCTCACCTCAGGAGGGTTGAAGGAGGGGTCTTCATCCAAGGGCTCTATGTGATTTTCTCTCCAAGAAGGAACTAGGAGGTAGAAGGAATGAAAGAAGAAGTTATTCACAGATAGTGCGTTGCATTTAAAGGATAAAGTGATTAAAGATGGGATATAGGTTAGGCTTACAAACAATCAGCATATCATGTACTACATGAGGAGTCCACTCACTGGCCACCTCTTCCTCCTTTTTAGGGGAAGTCTCACGCAGAGGGGACAGAGGAGGTTGGTTCCAGCAACAGAGATACATCTCTGTGGTAGACATGAAGGGCAGATCTTCCATCTGACAGCTCAGCTCAGGCTCCTCTTTGCATGGGAGCAAAATGTCCTTCTCTGCCCCTGATCGCACAGGAACAGTCTTCTCTGGGGTTTCCTTACTGCGCAGCTCTCTTTGATTGGGAGAGCCTGGCTGAATTTCAGGCTTTTGGGGGCTAAGTTTGGCGCTTTTGCCCCGAGATTTTTGAACTTTTGAATCTCCAAAGCAAGATTTCCTGCGTGAGCAAGAGGAAAAAAAAGAGGTGTGTAAAGTTAAGTGTCTCAATAGGAAAAGAAACTTGAGTTATGAATTCCATTTTGTTTGACTTTTGCATCAGTAACTAAATTGAGCAAACTAGATGACAAGATTTTGATGAACTGCACAAGAATATAATTCATCATTTTGTGCACTTCATTAATGTGGCCTGGTGCTGTGTTTCTGTGTTTTCCGTTACCTTTTTTGACCTTTGCCACCCCGACTAAAGGGCAGTGGAGTGGCTGTGTTGGGCTGTGGACTCTCCTCAATGTCCAGGTCCCACATGTCCTCTTTGTCAGGGGTCCAAGGCTCCAGGGGCTGGAAAAGGCGCTTGTCACGTGGTGGATCTTTCCTTGTAAGCTGCAGGCGGCGCTCCATGCGCTCAATACGTGCAAGCAGCTGCAAAAGACAAGAAAATTAACAGTTAAATTTATGTATAGTCTCGATTTTGTGTCATACCAAAGTAACACATTATATACCACAAAAATATTGAAGAATAAACTTTTACATACTGTCTCTTTGTCTGCTTTGAGCTCATCTATCTCTTTGTCCTTAGACTGCAGCTGTTGTTGCTGTTGTTCAATGAGGTCCAGTTGTAGGAGGAGAATCTGCCGGAGGCAGTTGGCTTGTGTGTGGGGATTGGCAGGGGTCTTCCTGATGTTCCTCCACTTGCCCTCAGAGGAAAGTTCAATGGATGCTGTGCCAAGGACTCCAGGGACGACCCCCTTCGCACTGTCATCAGCACCGGCATCCTTTGGGTTATTGTTCACAGCCATCTGAGGATTATCCATATTGTCAACAGAGAGGGGTTTACCTTTCACCGGGGTTCCCTCACCCCCCATTGGTCTGACAGGGGACAATATCCCCACAGTTTTATTGTCTCCTTGAACTACTTCGGCAACTGTAGCAGCGAGTGCAACTTTGCTTGTCATGTAATTCTGCTCTAAGTCCTTTGATCTGCTTGGGATCTCGCCCCCTTGCACGTCTTGAACATCTATAACAAAGTCGCAGGACTCCCTCTTTACGCTTACAGGACTCACGGTGGCCACGCCGATATGCGTTTTGTCAAAGTCGATGGCGTTAGCGTGCTGCTTGAATCCCGTGTGTGGAAACAGTGTGGATCTCAGAGTCATGGCGAACACAGCCACTTTTCATCCTGCAACGCCTCAGCGATGCAATTTAACCACAGCTACTTCCCATGTGAACTTAGCAGCTGCTGTCCTGCAAATCAAAGAACAAAAAAAGACATTTGTGGTGTGATTGGTGTCTGTACGGCTGAGAGCATGCCGCCTTTGAGCTGGGAGCCAAAAACAAACACTAACAATTAATACTTGGACAAACCAAAGAACACTTTGAGAATAAAGTGTGCATGATCCGGGGCATCCCTTTCCTAAAATTGCTCGCCGGGTCTGAATATTTAAGCTAAGCTACATTAACACTGCAGTACGAACACAATAGCGGGAATTCGGAAACAAAGTAGGCGGTTTAGGAGGAATTTAACTTCTAAGCAGTGCACAGAGGCAGACATTTCAGTGTGAGGGCTTCAAACAAGGACTCGGGAGTGGCTGTGTAGGACACTGGCAGCAGCCATCTCCTCCATTTTGGTTCTCGCGAAATCATGAAAAACAATAACAGCTAGCTAGCTGGCTAACGTTAGCCGGCTAGTTTCACCAACAAAATGCGCGTCCGGAGCGACACAGCTGTAACGACCGTGTCGTAACGGTCACCGCTCACACGGAGCCGTTTTTACTAACATGCATTAATACATTTCGAGCTTACCTCGACTACAATTCAAGTCCACCTGCAAGTGCCTTCATGTTCCCTCCTCAAGACTTGTTTTAAAGCGCCGTCTACTGCGCATGCGTAATTTGTTAGATGGCCATTTCTTGTGTTTTGGAAGGTTCTATTCGAAGGGCGCCAGCAGGGGGCGACAGAGGTTCACAGTACACAACGAAACAATGCATTCACATTAAAAAACAAAGCGATAACATGATATTTTTTACCAGTTTCATGCAGTCTTTATTGATTACTAACATATGCTGGAAACAGACTTGGTAGTTTTATCTAGCGGGTAACTCCAACATTAAACTCCGCTGGAGCCCTCCCCCCGGCATATTTAAAAAATGCACCGGAGGGCAAAGCCGTACAGAGCGGCGCAAAGACCGAGGAGGCGGGGTCTGGTGTGTCTGACGTAAGGGGTCAGAGGTCACAAGGGCGAAACGTGTGCTTCACCTTAAAACGTACCCACAACATATGCCTAAAAAGAAAATGACATTAAATATGTATTTTATAAACAGATGCCAGGAGACCTATCTATTTTTATGGTGGAAGCAAGTCATTGTTATTCAAATTGCACATTTAAATCTGTGCTTTCCAATAGAGAGGTCCTGCTACAAAAGGACAATAAATTCTAATAACTTGTTTAGCTGTAAACTAAATTGTATAATTCATCCCACTCTCACCCAACCGGTCGAGGCAGATGGCTGTCTTTCCCTGAGCCTGGTTCTGTCGGAGGTTTTTTTTTCCCCTCTGGGGGTTTTCGGTTCCTTACCACTGTTGCGGACTGCTTGCGGACTGCTGAAGCTTATAGGGAATCCAGATGTTTTGGATTGTTGGGTGTTTCTGTCTCTGCATTTGTGAAGCGCTATGAGATGACTTGTTGTTGTAAATATGCGCTATACAAATAAAATTGAATTGAATTGAATAGAGAGGTAAGATTGACATAAATAATTTAATTGCTCTTTATGGGTGGCAAGCTGTTGCGTGATGGAAAAAATAACAAAAAGTTACAGGTAGCACATTTATTTCTTTAAAATAACCCTCAATCAAACGTTCTTTATCTTCCAGTATCATAAGTAAACCATTGCCTACGCTCATACAGGCAAAGCACCACGTAGTCATTAGTTTAATGGTCTGTGGTGATTCCTGTAGGCTGTTTGAGGAAGTTCAATCTTTCACTCTATGCAATTAATCCAGTGTTTCTTATCAGTAGTCACCTTTTTATGTGTGTCTCATTAATGACTAAATGTGGTGGAAGTTAAATGTTTTTGCAGCTTTATGTCACACAGCCTCTGAGCAAACTGTATATAAGCTCATTTTCTGAAGGCAGCCCACCGTGGTAAGAAGCTGACAAATTTCTCGCTGCTTGTTTTAAAGACATTTCCACCTAAAGGTGAGTACCTTGACTTGTATTTGTTCTCTTCTCCTTCTAGCTTTTTAGGTTTGCTGTAACATATTAAGAGAGGATCATCATCTCCCGCCGTTTAATGCAGAATTCTTTGTGTTTGTGCTTCAAGGTAAAGATGAAGGCTTTGCTGTTTGAACTTTTGGTCGTCTTCATGCTTGGAGGGCTGATTGCAAACACTCAAGCAGAAGAGATGGGGTTAGTTTCATAAGGCTAGTATATGCTTTGTATTTGCTTGATTTATCTGAATACACTGAACAGTTCATTACATTTAACAGCAACAAAATTATAGATTTTTGCAAGACAAACCTACTAAACCTTGAGGATAATCCACTGAAGCATTTTATATTTGCATGTAAGCTTATTTTATGCATTTATAATAGGAAACATTTGTCTCATTTTGGTGCTGCCGAATAGTCATAAATGTTGAGAGGAGAGGTTGAGAGAGGTGACAGAAATGAGGAGAGAGGTAGATGGGGTTGATGTATAATATCCTCAGTTGAGAACTGAGTCTTAATATCTTAAAATACAAAGTATGTTTCAATAAATAATACATTCATAAATGTGTGTTTGGGAGAAAAGCAAACACAAAAAAGGCACATGAGGTCAAACTATCAATGATATGAAAGCTGCTGCTGCAAAGGAGAATGAAAAACTAGTGTAAAAAAGAAAAAAGTATTCTAACAATTTCCTCATGTATGCACTGCAATTCATGGTGTTTAATAACATCTGGTTTAAATAAATTCCCAAGAATACATTTTAATCATGATGGTGGGTGTAGATGACAGGGTAAAACGGTGCATTAGTACAGCAAGAAACCCCTTAATAATCATATTTAACTCTAAGATTACATCGTATGTAGATTTAAACAGCTACCATGGTTCTTGCTGTGAATCTTTGCAGTTGTGGTATTTGTTGAATTCACTTTCTGACATAGCTTTTGTCTCAGTCCCCTAAAAGTCAAATGATTTTGTCTATTTAATACTTTGCTTAAGGATTACTGTGCTAATCCTGCTAATATAATACAGTGGGAAAAGTGTGGCTCAAATATTTCAGGGATTTAATAATTACTTAAGTTGCTTTCAAGCGCACCATGTTTGTGCTTTTGATTTGTTGTTTTTTTGATTTGCAAAGTGAATATATTTGAATTTATTGCTCGCCACAAAAAACAAGACAGTTGAAGATCTCTTCATTTTTTTCAGTCACTTCAGCAACCAAAAGACTGATCAGTTAATTAAGAAAATGCTACAGACAGTCATTTGTTGCAGCTCCATTTACCTAATTTTTTATTTGTGTTTGTTCAGTCTCAGTGAAGATGAGCAGCACCTGAGGAGAAGATACGCAGAGTCGATCATTGCCAGTGAAATTGGCAAAATCAGGGCTTCTATGGTGCAGAAAAACTTCATCGATTTCTTGCTCAGTCAAAAGGGGAAAAGAAGCAGGTAAGTGCACGAATGAAGCAGCGGATTAGAAGCAACAGATTTACTGACTGCAGGTGGGTTCTGTGCTTACAGCTCTGCTGCTGTGGAGGAAGATCGGGAGGAATGCTGGTACAATGACCTGCTGAAGCTCAGCCTGCATGACAAGCAGAGAAACATCTAGGTGTGTTTTTCATTATTCATAAAGCCTATGAATGACTTAATTAGCTGCCACATATTCAACTTGGTATAAACTAATCCAGAGTTAAACCAATTAGCAGAAAAATGTCCTTTTGATAATGGAATCATAGTTTTTTAGAAACAAAAATGAAAAACAGTCTCTAAAATTTTATCTTTCTTATAAGGCTTTTTTTTTTTTGTATTATAAGACAGTGAATATAATATCTTGATATTCTTAACCACTAGTTAGGCAAAACATCCAATGACACAGCATTATGTAGATAACCCAATTAATTGATTAAATGCTAAAAAATAATAAGACCAGTTTATAACGAACTTCATTTTTGAGTCCTATTGAGGGAAAGTTTTATAGAGTCCTCAATACTTTATTTATTTTCAAACATAAAAAAAAACATGCAGAGCTAAAAAGATTAGTCAACTATGCAATAACTGATCTTTTCAGTCATTTTAATTTAAAAAGTGTTCTGAAATTTACAAAAAAAAAGAGGCAGTTTTAAAGCTCTTCTTTGTTATATATAATAGTCATTATAATCCATGTAGCCTTTGGACTGTTAACCAAGATATCTGGACATACCTTCTCGAGCGCAGGAACAATATAACACACATTTTTGACTATTTTCTCACCAAACAATCAGTCAGTTAATAGAGAATGTGGTTGGATTAATCAATAATCACATCTATTGTTAGCTGCAGTCCTAAATTGATCTGTCTGGCTGCGTTTAATATTAATTCTCACACTTTTTTCAGGTTCCAACCAGGTGCAGGGATGTTGCGAAAAATAAAGTTATCTTCAGCTCCTGACGATATTTCTTCAGTTGTTTTTCTGCTGACACGTTAAAGGTTGTGTAATGTGTGTAACAGTGTATGTTCTTGTATGTGTAGTATCCACCTGTATAACATCAATCATAACATAAATAAATAAAGTGATATTTGCTGAATTAAATGACACAGTAATTTCTTTCTTAGAAATATGTAGCAGTATATACAGGTTTAAAAAAAACAGTAGATCAGTGTTGGAATTAGTCCATTAATTTAAAAAAAATAGTTTCTTTAACGACTGTTATTGACATACAACAGTTCTAATTAATTGTTATTTTCCAGTTTAGTATTTCACACACAAAACATTCTGCACAGTGGAATCTAGAGATGCACAATGTTGAATATTTACCAATATTTGATAGATTCCACTTTGTTTTGGCAGAATGGCAATGTTGATATATGCACATGTATTTTTCCGTCTAATTCCAGAGAACATCAGGTCCCTCCTCATAATTGAAAAATTGTTGAAAAATGCTTTTTAATTGTACACAGTCAACAGGAAAATTACTTCAACATACATGCAAAACATACCTCATTTCATAAAACATTTTCAAACAAAAGTGCAAACTTTCAATTTTTTTTACTTTGGGCTGATGCTGATATTCAACTTTAACATCTTTATCAGCTGACACTGATGACAATGACATCATTGACCATTTCTATTATAACCAGCTGCTTTAATTTAACCAAACTGTCACTATATCAAGTTGTTAAAGTCAGCTCCACTTTGAGCAGGTTATGTAAAAGCCTAAATAATAAAAATAAACAAGCTTTAATGTTGTAATGTAACACTTAGTTTTTGTTCTGCATAGTGTTTTTATGTTTCTCACAGCAAACAATCAATTAAAATGTAAATAATTTGACTTATTGCTAATTTTGGCATAAGAATATTTTACTTAAATTATTAAAGATAGCAGTGTCTTTGAATGTAAAACAGTCCTGCTATAACTAGACTTTTGAAAAAAGAAAACAGTTTTTAGATTTGTCCACAGGGTTGAATACACAGCAAAAACACTATTATTTATTTTTAGTTATATATTATTATTATTATTATGACATGTTAATGACAAGCACTTTTATTTATTTATTAATAGAATTTTATAGAATTTTAACTAGTTTTCTAAAAAGGTGATGCAGCATTTCCTGAGCGCCCTGTCCTGCTATATTCTCCCGGACAGCAGGGGGCGATGTAGGAACAGCTGCCGACATTAACCACACACGAATTTATTTCCTGGTATTCAAAATGGAAGCAATTGCACTAAATTAATGTCAGCTGTCCCAAAATATCTCAAAAACTCTTTACTTTTGAGGCTTTAGTGCATTTACATCATAGTGTACTGCGACTGTAAAAGCTAATATTTCCGAATAACCGCGCGTTGGGGTAAAAATCGCGAGAACTGGTGGACGCCAACCACCTAAACAAGCTAGCTTAGTTAGCATAGCTCAAACATAACGCTAGCTTTGTGTTAGAATTGCACTTACCTCACTTTATTTGGCGAAAATCACACTCAGACTTTAGATTTTTTTCCGAACATTTTTTGACCAGACTTCAGCACAATGCGGAAAGGAGTTGGTACGGGAGCCATCGCCAAAAAGAAGCTGGCAGAGGTAACGTTGCAGTTGTTGTTGTTGTTGTGTATTTGTGTTGTCAAAAGGGCGTCTGTGTTGTCTGTATTGAATCAGAAGTTATTAAAAAGTCGTAAATGTCCATTCTTTATTGCCCTTAGCAGTAGCCTTACTTTACTTCATCAGGTAAAATCAAGGGCGTGGTTAGCATCTTGGAACATTGGAGTTGTTTTTTAAATTGCTGTGAACTGCTGACAAAAATGGGATGAATCATTATGAGAGATTTTTGTAGCAATCTAATGGATGTGAAGCAATTATTGTACTTCATTCATTGTGGGATAAATATTGAGTTCATTTACATGTGCACTGGTGCAAATCTAAACGTCTTATCCTGGTTATCCTTTGTTGGTTTTATGGAGAAAATGAACAGAATTGTACAAAGATGATCAAAAACCTGGTCACAACAATGTCTACAGGAATGTAAAGGTCTAGGGTTTCATGTTAGGATGACGATTTCAATGTGACAAGAAGCACTTTTAAAAAAAAATCTAACCTGTGATTTTGTTTTTTTGTTTAGGCCAAATATAAAGAAAGAGGAAATGTTCTCGCAGAGGACCAGATAATCCAGGTGAGTTTCTCTGTGTTCATGTACGTTAAAGTCTGTCTCATGTGCTTTATTTATGTACTGATTAAGCTGCAGTAAGTAGTTGATTAATTGTTTCAATAATTTTTTCAAGCAAAAATAGTGATTTCTTTTTGCATATTTACAGTCTGTAAACACAAACATTGAATGAAAGCCGTTATTTTTTTTAAACAGAGCTGAAACAAGTGCTCGATCGCCTGTGGCTATTATGATAATATAATAGGGAAATTATGTCATACATTGTCAGATCCCAACTTCTCCATTTGAAAATGTATTGCTTTTCTTTGTCATGTCACTGTAAATTGAAAATCTTTGGGCTTTTGGTTGAACATCTTTGTCATCTTAGGTTTTGTAAAGCTGTGGTGGGCATTTCTTTGACGTTTATTAGACGAAAAGGTCATCAAATCAGAAAAGCATCTGCAAAATTACCACCAGAAACAACTAATAATGAAAATAAATGTTAATTTGCACCTTTATTCTTTACTTTCTCAGTTGCAACACTACACTCAGTGGTTAGTTTACTAAGTGTACTTGGTTAAAACTAATGCAGTCAACTCAAGACATTTGACTGCCTTTATTTTTCCAAGATAGATGTAGAAATGTGATTTTAGCTATGATGAAAATATTTACTTTGGAGACAATGACAGCCGTTTGTAGGACAAACAACAAGGAAGTTTTTTTAAATGTAAATAATCAGTTGAGTATTCCCTGTACTTTCTCTGCGTTTCTGCCAGATGTCGAAGCAGCTGGAGACCTTCAAGTCCCACCTGGAGGAGTTTGCAAGCAAACATAAACAAGAGATCCGCAAGAACCCACAGTTCAGGGTTCAGTTTCAGGAAATGTGTGCCACCATTGGCGTGGACCCACTTGCCTGTGAGACACATTTAGTATATAATCAGCTAAAACAAACGTAACCTAGGAGGGTTATAGTGAGGTTTAACAGTCAATGAAAACCGTTTTTTGTTTGTTTTTTTCCACAGCTGGCAAAGGTTTCTGGTCTGAGATGCTTGGTGTCGGTGATTTCTACTACGAACTTGGTGTACAGATCATTGAAGTGTGCCTCGCCCTGAAACACAGAAATGGAGGTTTGTAGTTTGTCCATAAAAGCAGAGTCATGGTCATTGTACCTGACTGCAACAAACTGTTAAAACCATCCCTTGGATCTCAACTCGCTCTGTAATATTTTGGCATTGATTTTTCAGTGCACATTGTGGACAATAAATTACAATGAATGAGTCATGACTAACAGCATGATGTAGATATTACAATTACAAATGTTTCTGGGTGTGAAATCACTAAAACCAACTCACAATTTGTGTTTTGTTTCAGGGCTCATTACTCTGGATGAACTCCATCAGAGAGTACTGAAGGGACGGGGTAAATACGCTCAAGAAGTGAGCCAGTAAGTGTCTCTAATCCAGTATGTTGTGTCTTATAGCAACATCATACCTACATTTAGTATTTTGATCATTTAAATCACATATATCAAGTGTAAATTGTATGATTGTTACCTGAAAATGTACTTTCCAGAGACGACTTGGTGAGAGCGATAAAGAAACTGAAGGTGATGGGAAATGGTTTCGGGATGATTCCTGTTGGCGGCTCTTACTTGGTCCAGTCAGTCCCAGCAGAGCTCAACATGGATCATACTGTAGTTCTACAGCTGGCCGAGGTAAGATGGCGCGGTTTGTTTTACACCAAATTTAAGACGTGTTGCTTCATTAGCTATGGATTCTGTTGTCAAATGTGTTCTGAATGTGCTTTTAGTTCATTTTGAGGTCCTTTTATTTATTTTGGTCGTGCAGTGTTCATCTTTCAGAATAATGTTGGCAGTTTCACATTTACATTTCATGTCTACATAAATCCCTGAGTTACTCCTCTGTCAGCAAACTGTTGACACTCTTAGACGATGACATTAACACTTCTAACACATGGGTCCTGTCTAGGTCAAATGTCACTGTGTTTATGTCGACGAAATGGCAATGTTGCAGATTTTCTGTCTGAGCAGTCTTTTTATTCCAAAAAGAGAGTTCATGGCTCTTTTCTGCAAACTGATGTGTCCTTGTTTGTTTGTTTGTTTGTTTGTTTGTAGAAAAAGGGATATGTTACAGTGAGTGAGATCAAGGAAAGTCTGAAATGGCAGAAGGAACGAGCTTGTCACGTCCTGGTAAGTGCACATTTCTGGAATCCGTATGATAGCAGCCAGGGTGTCTAAAAGTCTTAAAACATGCTCAAAAAATGGAACCGTAGATATATATTAAATAATAAAAGATCTTAAATACTTTCACTTTCCTGCATTAGGCATGAAGTTAGTTGTCAATTGTTTTTGTATCAGTTTGAGGGCTGTTCGGAGACGTTTTACACCTATGAAGTTGTTGAAACAGCAGGTGGTATTTTGTTTGGAGTGTCAGTCAGTGCTGAACAAAGCTCAGGTCTTGCTGTGACTTATAGTAGATAGGAAGGTCTGTGTCCCCTACAAATGTGTCATGTAGTCTAAATTGTCTTGTAGCGGGCGTGCCAAAGCTCTTCTGTGCAGAAAAAAAACCTGTCAAAAGATAGTGTTACTGCTTTTCTTTGCTATATATGACAATAAATGTAATGTCTTTTGGTTTTGAACAACTATCTTTTCACAATATTTTGTGGATTCAACGCTTAAGGGATCAGCAAGCTAGTAGCTGCCTTAGAATTATTGATAGGATAGTGCTGAGAAGTCCTGAAAAATGCTGTGTAATAAATATGTCTGGGCCACGACATCCTTTTTTGTCACTGTTTCATACTTTGGGTGACCTGAGATATATAAGCTGTCATGTATCGGTCTGCACAGCTGTGACAACAAAGCCAATTTACAAGTTATTAATTTGAAAAAACATAAAGGAATTTCAATTAACAATGGCATGTGTAGTCAGGATCAGCAGTGTGAGTGAGTGCATGCAAAAATAGTGAGTGAAACAACAAACCAAATGGGTGTCACAGGGTTAAACGTTTAACTATTCTGCGTGTCTCACTTTTCCAGGATCACCTGCTGAAAGAAGGTTTGGCCTGGTTGGACTCTCAGGCAGCTGGAGAAGCTCAGTACTGGCTGCCGGCACTCTTCTCCGAGCTCAGCTCCCGCGACGTCACGCCGGAAGAGGCCAATCAGATGACGCCTTAAGAGGTGACGACGGGCCTCGGCGGCGTCAGAGACATGTTGGTAAACAAAATGTGCCTGGGAAGGGAAGGCTCATGTGATGGAGCTGGCTGGTTCTGTGGAGCTGGCAGGCGGAGCGAACTCCCTCTGAGATCATTTTTTGGACACGAGGAGGGAAAACGCTCCAATGACTTACATTATTGCGGAGTCACTGACAGCAGCTTCCATCAGGCTGCAGGAGAAGTTCAGTGTCATCTTGGTGGTGTTGCACTTTATGGGTGATTGGGGATAATTGTCAATGTACAAAACATGTACTTACTATCATTTTCATGTATAAACATTTTATGAAAAGCCAATGTCCCTTGTGGTGTTTTTATTATTCATTTAAATGCAATTAATTATTCACATAAATCCACTTGGTACATTCCGCAGCCGACATTCATTTTACAATAATCACAGGTTGGTTAAATAAACTTGACAGTCTGCCTGGTTATAGTATTTCAGAACTTCCTCTGAGAGATGCTAAATGCAGAGCTACACTGTAAATGAGAAATACTGGTTAATATGTTTAAATGGTGTCACTCTTATTTTAAATGATCGCTTCACCCCCTTTGAGGACCATATTACTGCTTTTGCATGTTTTAAACCTACTTGCGACAAATCATGTTTACGTTATGGCTGACTGTTTTCCAAAGTGTGCCTTAGTTTCTAGTCGGGGTTGACCGATTATTGATTTGGCCGATTATTGGAGCTGATATTTAGCATTTTCTGTTGATTCCAATAACCTACATTATTTTATTTTTTTAAAAAATGCATGACTTTAGCTCTGATGCAACCACTTCTCTCAACCTGATTGGTGCATTTCACCAATAATAACTGATAAACACTGAAGAAAAATTTTTAAAAATCATCAACAATATAAAACATAAGAAACAAAGGCATTTCAAGTTCCAGCTATGTGTTGGAGTTTGTGTTATTCTGAATGTTGACACTCCATTTTAATTTCACTATTTTTGTATGTCAGGGTCAAAGTTTATCGCACGAAAATCCAGATTGATAACTTTGTTTACTTATTTATTAATCCAATCGTTGCTAATTTAAATGAGATTTGTGCCTCTTTTTTTTTAAATAAAGGAAAAAGTGAGCTCTACTCACCGATACATTAGTTTGCTACCTACCGGAAACAAACCTCCACTCCACTCTTAACTTGGCAAAACACGTTTCTTCCAAACAAACCTGATGTTGGAAGAGTTGATTGAGATTATGATATTCAGTAATACAGCATTGTTAACACACACAGTGGACGGCAGAACAAGAAGTACATGTGTGCAATGGATTATTACCTCTGATTAGATGGTAAACAGAAAAAAATGATCGCTTGGCTGGACGTCTGCCAGTTATAGGCTTGCTTTGTCAAACTACAGCTGCTTTGACAACTTCTTAAATATATCAATAAAGGCTTTTTGTACTGGGGGGTATCATAGAAAAAAACAAAAATCACCTGACACCTAACACACATTGCAGACCTTTCAAAACAATCTTAAATTTACTACCCTGCAGTGATAAGATAACTTTTGACCAAAATAAATGAGGACATGATGTTCACTGTGATGGATTAAATGACGCCGTTAGGTTTCAAGTCTCCGCAAGCTCGTATAATAAGACGCTTGGAGCTAAAGCGCTTTGGAAAGCAGTCAACAATAAGTGTGCGATTTGCTGTAACGGTGTAAAATGGACCTTTGACGCATCTTGTATTCGGAGCACGCCGCCGCCCTCACAGCTCGTGACCGTAGACGTGGTCCTCGAACACCGACTGCTCCATGGTGTCGCAGATCATCGTGCAGAAGGGACACACTCGGTGACTCTGCTCGTGCTGCTCGAGTTCGCCTTGGGTGATGCCGGGGAAGCTCTCCTGGCAGTGACGACACACCAGAGCCGGCTGGAGGACGGGAATAGAAGAAGCAGTAACAAAATAGGGAGCGGATTATGTTTTAAGTCCGCCACAAAAATAAACAGTAAACAGCCGAGTGGCCACGTGACGCGAGATGTTATTCTCATCAGTGCGTTCTGGAGGCGCGAGATGCCTTTTGGAATTTAAACCCGAGTTTGTTTGAGTAGTTGTTATGTGATATTTACTGTTAACTTTGCACTCGGTGGCCACTTCCCTCAGGGTATCTTCAGGTCTAGAAAGTCCTGATTATACTGTATAAATACTTTTTCTAGCCTGATGTAAGCTGTAATGTTGCTTTTTAAAGTACTTGATGTGATTTTTTGGGGGGGAAATTCTGCACTACTACTATTATTTCTAACCTTTATTATTCTCATAGACCATAAATACTACATTTTTAATCCGGCCATCCATTTTCTATCAAATTTCTAATGTTTATCCAGGTCAAAGCCTTGTTTAATGAATAATTAATGATATTCTTGGGCTATACAGATGAAGATGCTCTCAAAATTGGGATAGAAATGTCAGATTAATAATTCCTACTTTGTATTCACAGATACCTTTTATAATTTGGTGCTGATGTTGGATAGTGAGACAGTTATTCAGTACATCTTTCAAACACTAAACTGCCTCCCACCTAAACTTTTGATGTCATGCATTCAAAATAGTCAGGAAAAAAAAGCTCCAAATGCCCTATTTGAGCAGTTTTCTATCCATTGTACTGAGATGTGGTGACTTTGAGGTGACTGGACTTAACTGTCATGTTGAGCAAAGTTTGAGGTGACGTGTCCTTTTTTCCCCCCATTACATCACTTTTATGAGTCTGTGCGCTAAAAATATCCCCCTTGACAGTTTCACCGACAAAAGCAGCTGGATTCATGTCCCCCAGATTCTCTGATTTTCAGAAATCTAAATCGGACCTTTTCCCAGTACTGTCCAGGTTTGTTGAATCTGTAACCTCGGTATCTTGATCTTCACTGACAGGATGACACCTGGATGGCCGTTTATTGACATTTTGAATCTGTGTGTTTATTCCCCTTTGACTTTTCTAAGCAACAAGATATTTTCCACTCTCAGAAGTGCTGCACAACTGAATGTTTACTGGACTTTATCAAGACTATTATTGTCAAAAGAACCCCAACAACTAAACCTCTTCACCATGTCAGCATACTGGGGCTTATTGGCCTGTTAGATATTTACATTAGCATCAGTCGACACAACGACTTGACAGATCAGAGTATAAAACTGAAACAGATGACAGGCGACAGTTCACGTGTTTTTGATAGGAGAGATGGGACAGGTGAAGTTGTGGCCTCTTTAATAAATGAATGCTAATCATTTAACTTACCTCCTCCTCTTCCTCTTCTTGTTGTTGTTGTGGCACTGCCATAGCAACGGCAAAAAAGGGAAATCAGTTAGCACCAGATAATTATACACTTTCTTATTCTTTGTTTAAACTAAGGCTGCAGCTAAAGATGATTTTATTATTATATAAAGTTGATTATATAGCTCAAGTTATGCTTTAAATTTAACTCCAAATGCTGAATGGTAAAAACTAAGATTAAACTGACTATTAGTTTGGTTTCTAAAACGTAGTAGGACCAGGTGATATGAATAAGAACTTCTTGCTAAGGTATCCTGGTTTGTACTTTGCGCACAATAAAATTTGCTGTGACCTATAAAATGCAACAATAAACAGCGGACAACTGATTAAATGTCTTCAGTAGGTTTTAGTGCTTCAATGCATAGCTTTTGTGCTGGAAATGTGATTGTAGCTGCTGTAACAAAGGGTCAATTAAAAATCTGTCTATCCAGCATGTGTTTGTCAGAGATGTCAGTGGTAGGAGAGTCCAGACTTTGTGGAAAATCTATTGACAGACAGTCAATAAACAGCATGGATGTGAATCCAGCAAGTTAAACAGCAAATGAATCACTTTCCAACAATAACCCTGAAGAACTTCTTTGCAGAAATGCCTTAAGTAAAACCTACAGTTGTCCTCAAATGTATTCATAGCCTCCCATTAAAGAAGGAAAAAAACAGCTGTCACTCTAATAAGTTGAAATTGACAAAAGTAATAATAAATAAAAATGTAATGAAATCATGACATTGCTTTTGAATTGTGGTTCAACAGAAATATATTTTAAAAATTATGGGACCTGTAAACTAATATTTTGTTGAACAATCCTTTGAGCCAATCACTGCATCAAGTGTTTCCTGTAACTCTCAATCAGACTTCTGCACCTGTCGACAGGTGTTTAGATTTTGGCCCACTGCTCATCAGCAAAGTGCTCTAATTTGTCCGGGACAGTTTTTTTTTTATTTTTTTTTTATTATTATTCTTTTCAAACACAATTCAAAAGCAATGTCTTATTTCACTAAATTACAATTTAGCAAATTTTTATTTATTATTACTTTTTTCAATTTGTAGTTATTTGAGTGACTTTTGGGAATTTTGCCTTTTCTTTAATGGAAGGGTCTGAACACATTTGAGGACGACCGTACAGCTGTATTTACAGTGTGGCAAAAAACGATGATGGATAACAAATGTATATTGTTTCACAGTGTCAAATCTAACATCTTGTCTTGTCTGTGATTGCTGAGATCAGGATTAACTCAGGTAAATTGATTATTTCTGGAAAGAGACGGTTGTCTTTCTTAAAATTCATTTCTTTGAGAATCTAAAATCTATTCATCTGCACTGTCTTGGAGCTGCAGCAGACATCTCAAAAAAAATCAGGTAAGACACAAGGCGATGCTATTTTGTGATTTCAGTGAACTTAGTCTTTGTTTTTTTCTGCTAACTGCTAAAAGTAATCCCCTCTGTTTGCATGTGAGTGTTTCTACTTGATGCTGCCTCTCACCCATTTGCTCATACAGCTGCTCGGTCTGTTGAGGCATCTCCTGCTGGTCACGAGCTGCTGAGGCGTCTCCGGCTGGCAAAGTGCTGTGAGGCCGCATGTACGTCGAGTCGCCAGAAGGTGCGTGGAGGTCAGTGTAAGCTCTGCGCAGCCCATTGATATCGTCTCTGAGTTTCTGACGGAATAAACGCAGTTGAGGCTTGTAAAATCACAAATGTGACTCAGAACATTTGCCGAGTGAGTTTGTGAACACGTACCTGGTTTTCTCTTTCCAGCTCTTCCTTCTCCATTTTGACAAGACTGATCCCTTGTTCCTTCTCTTCGATGACGATGTCCTTATCTGTCATCACTTCAGCCATCTCGTTGAGTTGCAGCTGAAATATTTTGACGACAAACAAGCTACGGTTTCAGTCTCAACACACGCACAGAAAGTAAAACACTATTTGGCCAAAAATATGTGGATGCTTGAATGTTACGTATGACTGTTTGGCATCTTATTTCAAAACCTGGAAGTCTGGTTTCAGACTTCCCACTAGATGACGAACATGCTGTGGGGATTTCCTCCTATTCAGCTACAGGAACATTAATTACTGACGTCCTTAATAAGGTCTGAGCTTACGTAAGTGTTCCAGTTGATCTCAAATGTGTGTGCTGTAGCTAAGATCAGGAATCTGCGCAAACTAGTTTTTTTGGGCGGCTTTTCTTTTACGTCACATCCCAGATCAATCTCTGGGTACGTCAATGATGGAGAATTGTTGGCCTGCACCTTATTATCATTCTGCTATAGAGGGAAAAAAACACGCTGACTTGTTTGTATTCCTTTAAACCAATCACAAATGTCTTTTGGCAGAGCTCAGCCCAGGATGCAGTGATTGTGTCCCTGCAAAATAGTGCACAGGGGTCATTTTTTGGTGGGCCATTATCATGATAAATGAAAATTCACCAAAAGAACCACACAGGCCCGACTTATCGCATGATTTTTCATCCAAACTTGCATTTAGTGACATGCAGATTGTGGAAAGGGAGGACAAGGGCATGTGAAATGTGTGAACTTATTCTAACTTATTACATGCACTTGTGACTTGGCATGTTCCACTTATCTTTTCACTGTGAACCACTTTATAATTCTGTTTCAAAACTTGCTTTTTGCTTGTGCACAGTGTCATTGTCAAGTAAAAGGAGAAAAGAACCGTCCCCAAACTTTTGCCACAAACTTAGTAGTAAACTGTTGTCATTTCACGCTGAAGTATTAATGTTGGATAGCTAACTTGATGGGTGCTTGTCCACTACTTCCAAACTACTCTTTGGATCCTTGCGTTCACCTCAAGTTTGCCACGTTTTCGCTGTTCCTGCTCGACTGCCGGGATCAGATTGTTCAGCTGCTCCTTCACTTCTTGCAGTTCTTTCTCCAGGAACTCAGCTCGTCTGTTGTTGTTCTTCGACTCCTCCTTCTCAGCCTCCAGCTTCCCCTGAGCATCCTGTAGCTGCCTGACAAGAGTCTGACAGCGCACCTGAAGAGGACGCATCATTAGGCTGTGCTGAAATGTTATTTTTAACCTCCATTTAAAAAAAAAAAATTGTTCCCACCTTCAGCTCGTCGTCTGGAGAGTTCTGCAGCGAGTCCTGCTGCGACAGCCTCCTGCACAGCTCCTGGTTCTCCCGCTTCACCTCGTCCATGTTCTGCGTGAGGCTTTGGAACCTTTGCAGCTCTGCAGCGAGCTTGTCCTTCTCTTTCTCGCTGCTCTGAAGGTCGACCTGGCGGAGGTAAAGCGCACATTTTGATCTGCTCTCAAATACTCCACTCCTGACTGGATTACTTGTCAGATCAGTGCAACAGTCAGAGTATTTTATGTGCTTCTAATGGTATGCATTTCATTTCTGACGACATATAACGCGTGATGTTCCTCGGCTTCACTGGCAGAGTAGTTATGGTCTGAATGTTTGCTCATTTTATCTGCTTCCAAAGGTTACTGCCAACAAATCCCATGAAAAGATCAAAGGCTGACACATCTTATTCCTTTGTGCCACAGTATTCCAGTTTGGTTCATTTTGACACTGTCCTGTGAACTCACAATGTACTAAAAAGTTAATTTACTTACTTTACAGGAGCAAATGTGGCTGGTTTAGGTGGCCCTTGACGCCAAATACCATCTTTAAACTAGAAGGGCACTTGAAGAGTACATTCTCCACCAAGGCCAATGTCCAATCTTGCCATTAAAAAAAAAAAATTTACTCTAAATCTACACGAGAATTTTTTGGTTTCTTTCTGTATCCATGCTCCACCTACTTAGCAAGTTTAATGACATTCAGCGGTCATTTTTGTGTTATCTTGCTGAAATCTTGCCACAGTTCTCGCTTTGACAGCAACTAAACCTTTAAACATTTGTTTTGGTACTAAAAAAAGGTCTTGCCCCTAAAAAAATAAATCATACACAGGCATTTTAAAAAGCAGAGATTTCAGTTTAAAAAGATTTTGACATATTTATTCACTGTTTGACCATGAACTTGTATCTTACTTCATTTTAACTTTTTTTTTTTCAAAATGTCCATATTTTGTGATCACAGTTGTTTTCTTAATGTCAGTTTTTTCTACACTGATCTATTTTCAGTTTTCATCTCTCTGTCACTGCTTTGACATGGAAAGGAGGCACCGAATGGATATACAAGTAATAATCGAAAACAAGTTTGCATAACAGAAAGGGAATGTCACTCTTCCTGCTCTACTGTCCACCTGCAGACTATACAAATGACGGACAAAGTCTCCGAGTCTGAAAAGGGAAGCCAATGCAATAGCACCCTTAAACCTGCAGTCGTTCTAACAGCCAGCAGGGGGAGACTCCTCTGGTTGCAAAATGAAGTCTGATCGTATTAAAAACTACAAAAAATGACCTTACTTCTTTATGGAATAGTTAGTGTAGTAAACATTTTCTTGGAGGGTTTATGGCCTCTATCGCTAGTTTTAGGTCTTCTTTCATACAGCACGATGTTCAGTTTGTAAATCATGGACCCACATAGAGTAAAACAGATGATAAAACAGTCTGACAATGTTTTTAAAAAGCTGGATCAGATGTAAGAGGAGGCGAGTATTTCTGTGACTGGTGCAAGCTGTGTTGAGTGCCAAAATGTAGACATTTTTGTCCTGATATTTTCGGCAAAGAATTGGTTAAAAGCTCTGGAAAAAGCTAGTGAGGACACATTTGAGTTTAAATTCTTTGGTCTCAGAAATCCTTAACATAAAAGTCGTATTTACTCCCTATGCAACAAGCCATGTGGCGTATTCTTGCAGCATTGTGGTGCATTTTGAGAGACGGGGTTAAATGATGTTATTCACTCTTCATGTGCATAAAGTTGAGGTTTAGTCTACTTTATAAAAAATCAGGGCCGTCTAGCGCGACTCTCTATCTTCAGAAACTCCTGAAAAACCTTTATGGTGACAGTTTTTCTCTAAAATGAAGACAGATTCAGCAGCTGCTTATTCCTCACCTCAAATGTGTTCATATTTTGTAAACTGCTTTTGTCATAGAAGAAAAAGTTTTCAAAGGAGTTTCCATGTTAGTTTGTAGCTTGTAAATGCAGAAGGAAACAGGCTATGAGTGAAGCCTGTCAGCCAGTGTTTGTGAAATTGAAGAAGGGTGTAGCCTGGATTGATTTCATGTGAGTCATCTGTTGTGACACTCACTGGTTGAATATCCATCAAGCATCCAATCCTGGAGAGCAATGTGAGCCCTCGCATCCAAAAACACTTGTATGGACACAAACTGTAAGTGCACTTACGGACATAAATACTCACCAGAGCAGCAAATGTGTATAAATTCACCACTGAAAATAGTCCCCAACAATCCTCATGAGATCATCAGTGGGCCTGTGTCTTAACATTTTAATGTCCCTTTGTTGTTTCACTTTTCATGGGATTTACTTAAAGCAAGAAGTACATAGAACAAATCCAGTTCTGGCAATAAAATCCTCAGTTGAAAGTGAATTTACCTGCAGAAGCTGGTTGCTGTCTTTTGTTTTGAAAAGGTCCCGTTCTTCTTCTCTGAGTTTGGCGCTCAGCCTGAAACACAAGGCAAGAAAACGTCACACAACAAGTCCTGAAAGCAGCCACAAACTAGACAGAAACCAAAAGTAAAGTGCAGCTTTGACTCACTTGGAAATCTCCTCACTTTGGACTTCGATCTTCTCCTTCAGCTCCTTGCGCTCCTCTTTCAGCTGGTTGATCTTCATCACAGCTCGATCGTATTTGTCCTGCAGAGATGCACAAGCGCTGACGAGTTCAGAAGGAGTTTGATGTAAGATTTGGAGCCTTTATTAGTGACATAAAATCACTGTACCTCATTTGTCCTGGATGCGCTGCCTGAATTCATGCTCTGGGTCGTCTGCTCAGTGACGCTCTGCTGCTGCATCTGCATCTGGTTCGCCAGCTGGATCACCATCTCCTCCTAGCAGCAACACCAAAGTTACATTTTCACCCCGATAATGTAGCTCTGAGTTTAGATTTTACTACATGTGAACTGAGAACAAACCTTCAAATGCTTGTTTTCTTCCTGCTGCAGCTCTAAAGTGCTTCTTAGGTTTATGTTTTGCTCTTTGATTTGATCCAACTCTTTGAGCAGGTCAGCCTTTTCTTTCTCTCTCTGATCATTCTGCTCCTGTACAAATCAATCCCACCGGGTCAAATTATCACAGTTTAACTCCCGTTTAGTCATTTCCATCTATTGCACAATGACCAGATTTCTTCATTAGATAAACAGACCTTGAGGTTGGTGGCTTCTTGCTGCTCCTTCTGCAGGGCACTTTTTAAGGTTTCATGTTGAGCTTTTATCAGATCCAGCTCTTTCTGCAGTTCGGCTTTCTCACGGACGCTCTGTTCGACCTGTTCCTGAGTTCAAACAAAAAACACAGAGTCAATAAAAAGCTTTATTTACTTTGCAGAGACTGAGAATTGCTTACTGGAGGAGATGCACGTTCAAATGTTTTACTGAAAATACACTCAAAGCACCAAAAGTGAAAGTATGCACGAGTCAGGAAGGCCATTTTCAGATTAATTTGCATTATATGAGCAGATTCTTTGTATTATTTTGTGCATGCATTGTGAAGTTTCTCCTGGAGATCATACATTTATCTTTAATTTTACTGTGTTAAAGAGGAATTTCTGTCTCCATGTGACAGACGATAAAGTTTAGACATTAAAACTAAACTATACCGCTGCTCTTTGAACAGTTGTGTCCATTTCCTAATGAATCTATAATCTGACTGTTAACTTTCTTCTGTATTTAATCGCCAGTATTTCCACAGAGACCCCGCTGTTTGCGCTACACGTGTCATTTCAATACCTGTGTTGTGATGACCAGCAGGTCGTCATCCGGGCTGCTCTCCATGCTTTGCTCCGCTGGATTCCTGAAGCAGAAAGGAGTGCTGGCTCCGCGCACCTGACCGCCGCCGTCGACGTAGCAGAACTGGTAAAACTCGACCTCGTCTTTGGGCAGGTAGTATTCTGACGGCACAGGGCAGAGCACACATAAGAGATTACAACACAACAGGGCTAAAGCCAGAGATAAAATGACGGAAAATGTGATAAAGGTCTGTCATAATTTGTTTAAAAAAATCTTTTATGTGACTGACCAACTGGCTAAAAATCAAAGAAACAATAAAAAAAAAAACCTGAACATTATGCAAGCAAACATCAGAGTTTTTAAATTTGTTATTTATAAATTGAATGAAAATTGCTGCTGATTAATTTTCTGTAAATTAATTGAGTCTAATAATAATAATCATCATAATAATCATAATAATAATAATAAAATGTCCTAAAAACACTGCTTTCAGGTACAAAAAGTATTTAAAATAATGTAATTTATGCAAATCGTGTGATTTTAAGATAAGCTAGAATAACTGTTTTAATGCTGAAGGAAATTCTTTTGCCAGATATTCATCAAAAAACTAAATTACATAACACAAGAAATGCAATGCCAAGAAGGAAAGCAACAGATATAAGTGTGATACATTACTGAAAAAAAAACAAGTTAACTAAAATAAGTCTAGAATAGAAAAGGTAAGTAGTAATACTGGCACATCACTGAGGTAGTGAAGTAATTCCAAACATGATAAAGAAATATTGCACATTAATCTATAATATTACACATTTTAGCAAAGACTTGCAGGAAAATCCTCAGCTTGCAATAATCACTAATCAATTTGTTCATTAATTAGTTGTTTATTGTAAGTGGTTGAGCTTTCCATTTTCTGCTGCTTGTCTGGGTTTTTAATGATTAATTAATAATAGACATTATTGCTAATTAAGCTGCAGCTAATGAGTGACTATTTTAATTATCTATCAGCTGTTTACCCTCAAATGAGTTAACAATGACATGTTTAGCAAAATAAATGTATAAATGAATAATTAATGTCAGCAAACTTGACGAAAATACAATATGACAGTTTCATTCAGTTTTCAGGGTTTTTTTTCCCACCATTGAAGAATTTCTGCCGGCCTGAAAAGAGGTTTTTAAGCAAAATCAATCATGATAAAATAAGAAAATTGAGAATAAAATTTATGTGTACACTTTTTTCAATCAGTTATCTTAATTGTGGTTTTATTTACTCAAGCATAAAACAACATTTTTGTTTATCAAATGGTCATAAACAACAGGAAAATGCAGATTATTGCCTGTATGTAGACCAATCTCACTGTAGGGTTAGGGTTTGTTTTTGTGTTTTTAACCTGTATCTTTTATACTTCGTGGGCTAAAATCATGAAACAGATATTAAATTCTATTAAATGTGACATTAAATTGAACTGTCTGATCTGTAAAGAAGGCCTGTCCTGTTTTTTTTTAAATATAATGTGTGAGTCAGAACCTCCTGAGGAGCCCAAGATCAATACAGAGGGTCACAAGGGGTGAAAAAAACTTCTATTACACAGCTTCATGTTCAGTTTTTCCAGCTTTCTCGCACTGTTTACATGTGAAACACTCTTTAGGGCCTTAACTCAAACTACATTCAGACTACAACACGTGACAGCAGATCAGGAGGAGACAGAGCTTCATTGTTGGGGGACACAGTTTGAGAAAAAACTGTGAAAAGTTCAGCTCCACACAAAACAAAATCAGCTTGTTTAACTTCACCTGTCTTTGCAGATCCGTGTTGTAGCAGCTCAGATTAAAGGATAAATTATGTTAAGGCTGTTTGCAAATGAGACATCAAGGTGAGTGAACATTACAAACATGACCGAGCACTTTCCCTTCTGTAATACTGAAACTGATCCTTACCCTTGAAGAGAACTTGTCTGGTCAAAGATTGTTGTTCTGCATCTGCACTGGTTTCCACCCAGACAAAGGTATGATAATCCTTTGTTGAGCTCCACCCCACCTGCGTAAAAAAGTTAGAAAAACTTAGAGAGGCACTGTTTCAATCACACTTAAGAAATAACATTTTTTTTAAAAAGCTGGTTTGAGGTTGTTTCCCCACCTTAAAGATGCCCACCCAGTCCCTGGGGCTGGGCTTGAAGGCAGTGGTGAGGGTGTAGCAGCAGGTGATGGGGGCTGAAGGCAGATATGACGGAGGGATGTCGGTGAACAGCACCTGGGAGAAGCTGCGGGCCGACGAGTCCGCTGCTGCTGCTGCCTCCGGAGGACTCTCCATGCTGAGCTGCTGCCAAAAAACACAGAAAGACCGATGATGAAACTACATATCAGAAGTCTGACTGCTGGCAACAGGTGCCAAGAGCTGCCTGAGTTCTGACAGAAAGCAGCGCTGGTGGTTTTTCAGGCTTCCTCCTTCCTCTTGATGTTGTATAATTTGTTTTTACGCACGTACATTCTCGGTCTCTCTTGTTTCCAAACTGCGTGCGCATCAATAACTAACCCCCAAATCAATTCCCGACCACTAACTCTACTCTCTCTTAAAAGTATTCCCGTCTCCTCAAGATGACATTAAATTTGGTATTTAAAAAACTTTTAAAGCAAAGAAACGACACTAAAATGAAGAAACCGAAAGTAAGCTACCCTAAAAGACAGCACCCGATAATGCTTAAATAATGCTTACAGTGAAACACGAAAAAAGTTTTCAGCACAAAATATCCCAATAAACCTAAAACTAGCCAGAAATGTTCGGATAAACATAATAAACTTACATGTTTGCTGTCAGTGGTCGCAGCACCGAGCTTCACTCTGTGCTCCGCTCAGAAGCAGCCCCTGCGTTGCGTTCAAGAGCTGCTCGGAAATTTGAACCTCAAGAGCGTAAATACGACACAAGAAAGTTCGAGATCACATTTAATGTGACTATTTAATATTTCATGAACAAAAGGATTTTAAATTGGCATCTCAATAATCCGAATCAACACTTTATTTTTTAGATTTTTAAAAAACGTTTTGTACGTTGTTTGAAAGGGTTTGTAATTGTATTTCTTTTACAGTTGTTTTTACAGTTATTTTATTTATATGACTGACATTTACAATAAAAAGAAAAGCAAGTGCTAAATGCAGAGACACTGACCTAAAACAAAGCAAATAAATAATTATATATAGAATTATACAACGTGAAATGAATTAGATATAATTAACAACATCCTTGTAGATTCTTTTCAAGCGTATTTAAATTTTTTAACCATTAAAATTTTTTTTTATATGTATTTAAGTTTTCTAGGCACATTTTAGGTTTGCTAACATTACACCAATAAAAAATAAAATAATTGTAATAAATGCAAAGAAACAGAGGTAAAATAAAATAACACCAAAATAAATCAAATATACATAATATACAATTTCCTTATAGTTTGTTTTATTTTCCACACTGTTTAAAAGTGTAAAATTTTTATTTAAGTTTTTTTTTAAATTTCTTGTGAATGTTGTGTGTTAAGTAGTAATATTTTTTTTAAAAATATATATTAATTCAAAGACTTTAAAATTAATATCTTTAGTAGGACCATATCCAAATAATAATTAGGACATAAAATTATAGACAAAATCAGCAGCCCCGTTGTAGTTTCTGATATTTTCTTCACTGTTTAAAAGCTAAAACTTTAAAACTTTTAAGTTTGATTTCTTTTTTGTACTTTTACGTTTTCTATGTGCATTCTCTGTTGAATGACATTTTCAAGTAAATTAAAAAGAAACATTTTATTAAATGCAAAGACAACAAAACAAAAATAAGTACTTAATTGGAGCCAAAGGTAATACAACAAAATAAAAATCTAAAAGCAAATTAAAACACCAATTGACATTAAGTTTCTCAGTGTGTTGAATAATTAAACATGACTTCCGTGTTGCAAGATGAGCTCTGATTTCAGTCAGTTCATATGTCCACAAATAAAAGACATGTTTCTCATGTTTCTAATTATCTCTGAAGGCATCAGAGTTGCGTCTTGATTACGCCTGACGGCTGCATCATGGGAAATGTGGTCCAATCTTCACAACTCACTGTTTCTTCCTGCTTCCTTACAGAGTGACATAATGACACAAGAGGGAGCCAAACTCTTACCAGTTGAGGAAATAATCTGGTTACGTGAGAAGCATATTACTTAATTTAGAGCGCTGTTGTTGAAATGCTGTCAAGTCTAAACTCCAATGTTACGTTGGTTTTATTATTTTATGTCCCTATAAGGCGGCAAACCTGAGGACAAATACATTACAGAAGCCATGTGACATTTTAAGGCCATACGATTTCATTACTTAAAAAACAACAAAACAGATGAACTACCACTGCTGCTGCTACTACTACTGTGAATTCTTCTTCTTCTTGTTATTATTATGATTAATATTATTATTAATGAGAAGCAGAAGACTTCACTGCTGTACAATAACAAACCTCAGTGCAGAATATATTATACTGAATTTTTAGGGTAATTTAGTCAGATTATAATATATATAAATATCCCAAAATCTGCAATGTTAGGTCATATGCTAAGTGCCTTTAAAAATAAATAAATAAATAAGCTTTTTTTTTTTTTTACTGTGATAAATAACAGTTTTATACAGAAAGGCTACAAGAGAAATAATGACTTTCATGTAATACACCTGAACTCGAAGGTGCACCTGTTGCTGCATCTTTTCTCATCGGTGAGCCAGCAGCCAATCAGAGACGAGGAGACTCACACCCCCGGCCTGTGATTGGCTGAGAGCTGAACGTCTCGGCAGAGCGCGTGGACTGGTATGTTCATGTTTACATTTGTCGGTGGCAGCTCGTCTGTACGTCCGGACAGAACCGCCACACGGGAGCGACAGCAGCGGGACGGGAGGCTGCTCGGTCGGTGTTACTCACCGGGAACAAGAGGACGCACTTTCTCTCACGGTAAAGTCACGTTTTCTACCTTTTTTCCTCCTCGTCGTTTAAAGTAAACAGTTTCGGCGCTAGCGGCGGTTAGCGGAAAACCGGGAGAAGTCGGCATTCTGTTACCATAGCAACAGCACAATACATGGAGGCTGCGCGGTTAGTTTTGGTCGTCTTTGCTTCACGTTTACGTTTGATTTTGTAAGACAGTAAACAACTTAAACCTTTAAACTGTGTCATTTATTCAGAATCACTAAGTGCAGATCACTAAAAGTAAGACTTAGAGACGCTTTTGTTTTGCCCAACGATGACTCCAGCACAGTCAAAATAAGAAACCCCTTCTGCCTGATTCTTCTGTTTAATGCTCAATAAATTGTTATGCAAGAATCACAGAAGCACAGTTAACAGTTAATGATCAGAAAGAGAAGGGACAATTGAAAAAGCGGTGCAAAGTTTACACAAATGGATGCAAAATGATTCGAAAGAGCCACAGAAGAACCACAAAGATGCCAAACCAAATACAAAGAGATGCTAAAAGGACCACAAACACATTCGACATGGCCTCAAAGAGAACACAGAAGGTCAACCAAAAAACAAAAGAACCGATATGAGATGTAAAAATTACTGAAGAAAATGATGCAAAATGACAAAAAGTTGAAAACAGACCAGAAAGAGATTAATCAATTGGGAAAGTGATGCAAAATGACCACAAAGAGAAACAAATCAGCCACAAAGACAGTTAAAATGACCACAAAGAAATGCAAACTGACCACGGAAAAGGCAGAACCATCACAAGGTGACTGCAAAGAGAAACAAAAGAGCCCCAGTGGGATGTAAAAATGACAATAAAATGACTCAAAATGACCTTAAACAGATGAAAACAGACCACAAAGAGAGGGAACCAATGAAAAGTAAATTCAATGCTTCTCAAAATGACTAGAAAAACACACAGAAGAACCACAGAGAGATGGGAACCAAATGAAAAGAGGTGCAAACGAAACACAAATAAATGCAAAACAACGACAAAGAGAAACAAAATGACTGAAAAGATGCTTCATGGCTTCAAAGAGACACAAACCCCAGCAGCGATATTTGTAGTCATTTTTTGTCTTTTTAAATCATTGGTTCTTTTTCTTATCTTAGACAAGGTGGTGGCCACAAACGTCTCTCCAAGGGAACTTACTGACCCCAAAACATTTCTGAATAACCAATATTAACAAATTGCAAATCCATAAGACCAAGCTTCTTATTTACAACACATCTTCGTCTAAATTGAACAAGTAAAATTAGGTTGTTGTTGCTTTTGCTATTGAATGCCACCTCTGACACTTGTCTTTGTTCAGTCCAGGTGATTTCTCCTTCCTTCATTTAGTATCAGTCTATATAAATACACCATTTTCACATTAAATTTTAATTCCCCTGCTCATATAACCAACGTAACTCACGCACACACGCAAATTAAATACCTGCTAGCGCAACGTACCGTCATGACTCATCAGTTCAGTTCACATCCAGGCTGGAGGGTTAGCAGGTGATCTTTAATAATAAGACATTGATAAGTGAGCGTTGAAGGGTGTAAGATGTCAGCTAATGATTAATTAATGCTGATTAATTGATTAATCAGGGAATCTGCCTCACCAGATTTATGCTGTTCTTTCACCTCCTTATCACCCAGGACTGTCCAGTCTGACTGATAGCTGCCATGGCAACTCGGAAACATAAGAAAGAGTGTCCTGTTTGTCCACTTTCTATTCTTCTTCAGCCGCTGCTCTGTTTTTAATGTCTTCAACAGAAGGCCACACTTCACCTGTAGGTGTTTTATTTCATCTTGGCAAAGAAGGTAGATGTCGGGGATGTTCACTTACACCACACGGTGCCGCAACGCGTTTCAACACAGATTTAAATTTAACAACGCGAGACGCTGAAAAAGCACTTCTCCTGTTTCAGTGAACAAATATAAGGGATTATCCCTCTCAGCTTGCTCCCTGCTGAGGTCTTCTGCTCATTTTCTCTCCATCATGTCGAGAGGGATCGGGTGTTTGTAGCCACAGTTTTGTAATTGGTCACCAGATCCACTGCTTGAGTGTGTAAGTTAATCTGGAGCCATCCTTGTGATGATACAAATCTTCTCTGTTTTTTTTTTCTTTCTTTTAAGACTCCAGAGGCAGACGGTGCAACGGAGCTGAGTGCGGATCAGTGGTTCGTCAGCTGAGGAGTGTGACAGCATCTTAAAAGGCTCTTGAAGATCTGGGTTTTAAAGAGGCGTAGAGGCAGACGGACGGGGGCGGCATCTTCCAGCAGCACTGTCATCACAGATACAGGCTTAAAGCTGGAGGTGAGTACGTTTCTTGAAGGGTTAAAGAGAGACTTTCCAATCAACAAAGTTACTCAGGTGTCAGTTTAAAAGGTACATTCAGATAAGGCTAAGAGGTTTTAATGTTCCATTTTGCTGTTTTAGAGAGCTTATGATGGTTTGGGTTCCTTTTGCAGCCTGAGAGGTATTTCTTATAATTTCTTCATCCAATTATCTAAATAAATATGGACTTAATACTCCATTTAGTTCAACAGCAGCACAAACTGCAGCCTCTAAACAATCATGTTCAGTCAGCAGCTCTCCAAAGCAGCTTCAACATATTATCTCAAGACAGGAGTCGTTGCAGGACAGCTGCATTTAACTGGATTCATTTTTAGCTACGTCATGTAATGCATTAGACCACTGAAACAAAAGTGAGAGTAATATGGTTAATTGGTAAGCTGCGAGTTAAACATTAGCTGATAGTGAGTCTGACAGTAATAGTATTATAGATCTAACAAAATAATAACTTTATTTGTATAGCACTTTTTAGAAGACAATTCACAAAGTGCTTTACATAAAGAAAAAAAAATAGAGAGTATTTGTATGCTAGTGCCTCCCAAATGTGCAAAAAATGCTATTATTGCTTTTTCACATCATTAAAAAATGTAAATAGTTTGACTTTTTTGACTGTTGTATGACACATTTAGCAGTTTGAAAGCCTCACTTTGGCCTTTGGTGACTTCCACTAAGCATTTAGTGTTATTTTTTGCCCTTAGACAGATTTTTAAAAAAAGTGATAGTCCAGAAGCCCTAACTGTGAGTGTCTACATGAGAAAGCAAATATTGTATACTCATAGCAAGTCATGATGCAATTAAAAAACTTACAGTATGTTTATATATATATATATATATATACATATACATATATGATTTCCCTCCATTGCATTATTGAATTACATTAATGCCACTTGTCAGACATCACTAGTTTAAGAGAGTGTTTAGTGCTGCAGTTTTCTAAATAAGAAATTAGATAATAGTAGGTTGTGGCATGTTACGGTGTAGTGAATGCTGGATGCTACCTGATGACGAGTAAGCATTAGAGTAATTCTTCCTGGACCCAGTCATTGTTTGTTGACGACAGCTAACATAAAGGTGTTATTCATGTCACTCTTGTTGTCACACACTGAGGGAGAGTCTCTGAGAAATCCTTTGCGGGGCTGTAACTGTATCCGGGCTGAGGTCAGTGGGGCGTCTCGGCCCAGTGTAAAGCTCACAGTTCAGGGCCAGGATTATCCAGATCATTGGATCAGAATACGGTTACCTAGCACCGTAACCTCCCACTGCGTACCTGGGATGTCCCTCCTTCATGCCACCATCACCCCCAGTATTCTGTCGCGGTCATTACCAGGGATTAACTTGACCCGTCCTTCACCTGGTAAGACACCAGATAGGATGCAGTGGTGAGCAGCCGAGACGCTGCTATGGCAGTCGCTGCCCACTGGGCTCAGGTCAGAGTGCAGACAGACGTTTACAGAGGAAGACACACAAGTTGAGCCAAACTCATCTGAATTTATTCTTCTAAATTTAGATTTTTAGTCCTGTGAGCATCAAAGCTGGAGAGCAGCGTTCGTTGGATGACCACTTTTCAGTATAAAATATCTCAACAACCATTCAATGGATAGCTATTAAATTTTCATGTGACACCATGGATGAATATTAATAGCTTTGGTGAGGCGTTGGCTTTTTATCGAGCCACCTGGGGGAATTTTAGATCCACTATACCTGCAACATTCCTGTCAGCTTCAGTTGTAGTTTGTTTTTAGTGCTAATAAGCAAATGTTAGTATGCTTTCATGCTAAAACTAAGATGCAACATAATACCTACTAAACACAGCACATCAGCATTGTCACTGTGAACCACAGACTCGAAACAGAACCTGAACAGAAAGTGAAGCCAAAGTAAAAGCACCTTAAACTGAGGTTCTTTCTAAGAACCAGCAGCGGGCGATTCCTCTGGTTGCAAAAATAGGTAGGATTGAATAGAAGTCTATTACAAAAAGATCTGACTTCTCACTTGATTTGTTACCTCAGTAAATATTTTCCTGAAGCGTTTATGGACTCAATCGCTGGTTTCAAATGTCTTCAGTGCAGCACAGTGTTTGATTTATAAATTATGGTCCTATTTTGAGCTGAATAGATGATAAACACGGGTATGTTTGAGGTGTGACTAGCAAGTTGCTGCTGAATGGCAGGTTTTTTCCTGCACAGAGGAATTTCTAATGCATCCCGAAGAGATATTAGACAGTAAAAAAAAGAAAATTCATCAGCACCAAAATGATAAGAACAATTCTTTTTAAAACCAGATTTGGTAATTAAAGTTTTCATTTACTCAAACATAGTAGACATTTTTGTTTATGATCAAGTTCTCAGTCAGATCCACTACTTGCTTTTCATATTGAAAGATGGTGAAAGGATCAAATTGGCGATGGTAAAAACGCCTGACTCGAGGCTTCAGAGCAATCGTCCACAAGCGGTAAGTGGTGGCTACATCCATCTTTTATATAATCTGTGCTGTGAGCAAGTTAGTTTGCAGATTTTGTCTCACTCTCACAAAACCACCAGCATGACTGGAGACTCTCATGTGTATCCCAAAACTATAAAACGTACCAGGAGGCAGGTTTTCAGTCTGCGGTGTGTTTACACTGAATGAAGCTGACTCAAACAAGACAGGAGGCACACAAGAGTTTTAATGCAAACTGTTCATCAACTGGAAAAATATTCAAACAAACTGTTGGTTGTGGTGAAAGATCTTGCATAACAAATGATCTGTTTTAACTAAAAAAATCCTGAAACGTGTCTGTAGGTGAAGTCATAACGAAATCAACATCACACATGTTGTGACCATTAGTACAAAAGGTTAACTATGAATATACTCTGATAACTAGTATGAGCGACATACTGTATAAAATTTCACTTAATCTTGTTGCAGAATCTGCACTTTTCATGATAAAATGGATGCTTCATCACTTCAGTGTGGTCACGTGTTTAAAAATGCTTTTAGCGCCGACAGTCTGCTGATGATGTATGGAAGGTGACTGAGAAGGCAAATGGCGCCGAGATGACCCCCGTTACGCTCAGACAGAAGCTGGATGGAACAGACAAACTGTAAGATTTCAAAATAACTCAACAATCAATAGTTTATTTTAAAAAATTAGAAAAGGATATTACTAAAACCATCACATGGAAAACAAATAGCTGGAGATATTTTAAGTTGTGTCAGTGTATCTTTTACCTCTCTGGCACTACTTTTGATTTCATTATGAAAAGAACTGAAATTTCAAGTAAAATGTGCGATATTGTATAATATTGTAGTAGTTCTGATGGGTGTCTGGATTAATTCCCCGCGCTGCTGTCGTAGTATTACTCACTATTTGTGTCCGTCCTGCCACAATAACTCTTGAATGCCTGTGTGTGACAGCGCGTTGACAGCCAGAGCACTCACCTGATGAGAGGGATGGAAACAGAAACATGAGTCCATGCGCACACTTACAGCATGTACTTTGTTCTGTTTGATTGAATTTCATTGTGCGGCTGTACAGCACGTCCCATTAAAACAGAACCATGTAAATGAGCTGATGAGTGTTGGAAAATGGAATGGGCGTCATTTGTTTGTTTTCTGCTCGTCTGCTTTATTGCATAAGCTTTCTGCAGTGGCTTACAAATCAAATGGGTGCATTTGTCTATGTTTGTGCTCGTCCAGGATGGGTCTACCTATGGACAGCTCAGACAGAAACAATGATGAGCAGCCAGGAGAGGAAGAAGGGAGCCGGAGCCAAACCAAAGCCTGCAGCCGCACGCCGCTGCCCATCAGCAAGAAGAGGAGGAAAAACAAGAAGAGGTACTTTACTGCTGGAGCTCCTCCAGCTGTACTTCTGCACTTATTTCCCATTGCAGGTATATTAACCGCTGAGCACCCTGGCAGTTATGATTCTATAACTCGTCCCGGAGGCTCTCAGATATTTGTTTTCTCACTTATCCTCATCATTTGTGAAAGTCGGACGAGCCGATCGCAGGATGGCGCAGCAAAGCAGATGTCTGTCCCTCTCTCTGTGTCTCTTCTCTTTCAGATGACTGTGGATCAACCTGACCAACTGCAAATATGAAAGTGGTACGTTCGAGCCAAAGACTATTATTAAATCATAAATGTCCATTATCCTGTTGCGGAGTGTGGATATCTACATTAATCTAAATCATTCTAGCTCGACGGGACTGCATTCAGATGCTACATGCAGTTTATTCAATACTTCTTTTAACTCAGATACATTGAGGTATAGAGGCCTCATGTACAATATAGCCGAGGAAGAAAATAAACCAATGATGTGGACGCACAAATAAGAAACTTGAATAGGTAAAGCAATATATCAATTACCTAAAAGTGTGTGGACATCCCTGCTATAGTACTTCTAACATAGTGCTGGGATTCCTCTCAAGGCAGTTCTCAACCTCGAGGCATGTCAGTCTTGGGACGTGATCTGGGGATGAGAATAAATATCTATGTGTCAAAGAAGAGCCACCAAAATCATTCCCTTCATCCAAGTCCTTTACATAAGGGGCTGGAGAAGTGTAGAGGAGACGCTGAGGCCACCGGTGCCAGAGTAGCCCATCACAGAGAGAAGAGAAGAGCTGAACTCTCTGGAAGCAAACAAATCCTTCTCACCAGGCAGTTAGAACTGAAGAAGCCTCTGACTAATTTTGCTTGACCATCTCTGACCTGCTTGAAACTTTTTGTTTTTTTTTATCAAACCATAGAGATTCAAAGTGTCTAAAAATCTTAGACTTATATATCCATTTTGAAACTCCAGAACTCTGTTCTACTCGGATCAGACCATCTGCCAATACTGTTGTTTTTGTGTTACGGCTTGTTATTCCTCCTTGATCAGTTATAAGAGCTAAAACCAAAATAACTTAATTTTTTTGATCAAGCATTTCATGTTATAAAGTATTCTATATGTTTTGTGTTATTGTGATATGCAGCTACATATGGTTCAGAAAACATCACCAGCTGACTTCTACATAAAGCATTTTTGGTAATATGTGCTCATAGATGGGACTTTTTTTTTATCACGATTCAAATTTTTCATCTAATTGTCTCATATTGCAGATTTTGAATCGCTGACATGATGAGAAATAATTGCGAAAATTTCAGGGTTTTTATCTTTAATAGTTGCAATGTGCAAAAAAAATGTGATAGAAGGACATTTTTAAAGAAATCTTGGAACATATTTGACTTTTCAACCAAAAATTCCACAGATATTTTCACAAATATACATATTTTATGTTCTAAAAATTTCAGGCAAATGAGAGATGGTTGAGCAGAAACTGTTTTAAAAATTTGATGATCTGGGTTGAATGTGAGGTGAAACGTCTTCAGGAAGCAAAAACCGAAGTGCAGGTTCCTTCTGCTGAGGCATTTAATTTGTCTGTTCACACTAGCTTTTTAATGATATTAGTCCTCTTATATCCTTTAAAGGGAAATCTCAGTGCTACAGTAAAGTGACATGTTATTATTCTTTTAGCTGTGTAGCGATGACAGTTTATTTTTCATGATAACTTTAATATTTCTACAATATAATCTGCCCTTACAGCTCTGTAAAGAAAGTGTTTTCCCTGTTTGGTGTAGAAGAGCTTGTCTTGCCTGCACAGAGCCTCTGGGATCAATTTAAACACCCACTATGATCCAGATCTTATCACCTAACATGAGTATTGGACCTCAGTACTGCTGTTGTAGCTGAATGGGACTAAATTCCTGCAGCCGGTTCAACAATTGGTGAAAAGTCTGAAAGCAGAAGAGAGCAAGATGTTCTAGCAGGAACACTCATGGCTTTAAATGAGATGATCACCAGTCATATGGATGGAATTTCCAAGTGTCCACATACTTTTGGTCATCTAGTGTATTTTATATGATTTTGATTTGGTCAGGATGTTTATCACAGAGACAATGTTTGGCCAAAAGCAAAAATACATACTTAAAATTGTTAAAACATTTGATAATGATATAGTAAACCATTTCTAACACCAATTATACCAATAAAACCAACATGGAAACATTATACAAACACCAAAATTGGATTAACCCAAATTAAAAGTGAGCTAAAATTAGACATCTTTAATTTCTTTTTAACAAATAGGGCCATAAAAACAGAACTCAGTCTCACCCGGCTGCCTGTGGGAAACATCTGGAACACCTAAAAGCTAATGAATGTTTGATTTGTCTCAGTGCGGCGAGCTGCTCGCAGATACGGACTCCGAGAGGCGATGGAGGGTGAAGACTGGACGCTGTTCTGGACCGACTGCTCCGTGTCTCTGGACCGTGTGAAGGACATGAAGCGTTACCAGGTATCCGACTCAATTTGCCAACGCTCACATTACCGCCGTCATCGGAAAGGACAATTGAAACCGAATTCAATTATACAAATTTAAACGCGTAATTGTATTTGTGCAGGAAAAAATTAGTCGTGGGGGAGTGTCTTTGTGTCATTAACCCTCGGTGCTTGCGAGATTACAGTAGTTGGTTTGTGTGTCTGTCTTTCTGTGTGTTACCAAATAACTTGGGAACGGTTAACTTTCAAGGCCTGAAATTGTAAGGGTAGACAGTAGAGCCCATAACTTAGATCTGTGACTGGTGGATTTTGCTGAAATTGCTCTGTTCACAAGTTATGGAGTGATTTGTACTTTAAAACAGCCGTGCCAAGTTTCTGCTGCTCTGTCAGACATAATCGTCACTGGCAGTGTCTAAGTAAGCTTTGGAAACTACCTACAACATTCACTAAACACATCTACAGTGAAAAGACTTTGCTATCACAAGACTGTCTTTGTTCAGTTTCTGGCAGCTGGCTGCTGTTGACCGCATGCATGTTGCAGAACGTCAAACTTGAGCGTGCGCAGTAGGGAGATATTGCACATGCGAGTGAGAGCAAGGATACGTGGTCACCATTGGGCTCCACAGCGAGGGGCGTGGCACATTTGTTCGGATCTATAGCATGTGAGTTACCACGAGGTTGATTTGTGTACGTGTTGCAGACAGTTCAACTTTGTGTGAAATTTGCTGGTGAATCTGTGAAGCTTAGACTGTACTACACTGACTCTCCGGTTAGGCTGCTCCACCCTTGAAAGGCTGTGTTTTACTGACTCTGACTGTTACACAGCAGGTATAATATAGCTGTAACATTTAACGATAAAAAAAGCATCGTACTAAACTAAAAATATTGCCCAGCAGTAACTACTACAATTAATACTGTGTTTTGGTGTTTGTGATTGTATCAGCTTCAGGGGGTGATGTATTTTTGGAGGGATGCTCATCGTACATCCTACAATACTGTATGCTCGCAGCGCCGAGGGCCAGACCCTGGTACTTTTCATTTCAAACAGGTGTTTTCCCCTCAATGTGCCCATGCATGAAATAATAACAAAAAATAGGTTTTGATAGAGATTAGGATATAATTTTCAGGGCAGGATGTTCATGGATCATAACATTTGTTTTCAGCTCAGGCTTTTAATTTGAAACTAATTGGGTAATTTAGTGCCGTTACTGTTAAGTAGGGTAAAACCAAAGTCCCTCAGTCATCCGCTTGAAAACTAGTGAGGTGGAGAAATGTTTTTGTATAATCAGACGTGCAAAATCTATAATATCAGCAGTGATAGTCTTCTTAAGTCCTGTAAATGAACTTGTCTTTGCAGAAAATCAACCATTTCCCAGGGATGATTGAGATCTGCCGCAAAGATTTACTGGCAAGAAACATGAACCGCATGCTCAAGCTTTTCCCTGAAGACTACAATATCTTCCCCAGAACGTGGTGCCTGCCTGCAGAGTCAGTTTCATTTTTTTATTCATTTAGTCTTTTCCTTTGTTTTGTGTCAGTTCTTTATCCGATTGCCCTTTTGCAGTTACAGTAACTTCCAAGCTTTCACGAGGGCCAAAAAAAGCCAGACATACATCTGCAAGCCCGACACCGGTTGCCAAGGCAAAGGCATCTTCATCACCAGATCCAGTAAAGACATTAAGCCTGGAGAACACATGATCTGCCAGGTTTACATCTCCAGGGTGAGAGAACAAATGTGTCACACGTAGCACCTAAAAAACACACAGTTTCAGGTTTAAACATGTGTTTTTTTATTCCATCTCCAGCCTCTCATTATTGACGGATACAAGTTTGACCTGCGTATCTACGTTCTGGTGACGTCGTGTGACCCGTTGAGCATATTCATGTTCAAGGAGGGACTGGCTCGCTTCTGCACCACTAAATACAATGAACCAACACACGGCAACGTGGTGAGAGGACTTTTATACTCTTCGTACTGTCAGTAATAAGAAACAACACTGAATTGGCCAGTTTAGTCAGCTCTGTTGCCCTGGATGACATGTCCGTGCATTACAATAAACACACACACACTCCCACATACACACCACCCTGCTGCTGTAAACACTCACTAGAGCACCAAATGTGAATTCATCCTCACCTGAAAATAGTCCCCAGCTAATGCACTATTTGTTTTTTGTTTTTTTTAAACCAGAGTGGTCTGCTATTTTAGAATATCGCTAGCCCTTTTTAAAAAAAAAGATTTGTATGTATACAATATGTTTTTGAGCCATTTTTAAAGATTTACATCTTCAGTAGGAACCTCTGGGTGTCAGGTCAAGTGTCAGACAGGGAGCAGAAGTCTGTAATTATTGAGAGACGCACTCGTTTTCATAAGTTCTGTTGATAATTAGAAAAATACAGAAGGACCCCAGACCTTTTCTTTAGATCAGGAATGATTGCGGTAAAATGTCGTAATGAAAGGTCATTTCTGATGATGCTGCAACACTGGTTCAGTGGTAAACTGCCTGCATTGTGGTGATTGCAAAGTACATCACAAAGAACAAAATAGTGAGATATAAATAACAGTAAACACAATATTACACTGATTTTGATAAAAAATAAAACACTGGCATAATGTGCACTCATACAACAATAAGAACTCCTACTGCAGGGCTACAGCTAACAGTAGTTATTGTGATTCTTTTTTGTTTTTGTTGATGCACCAAGAAATTATTTGGTCTGCATAACGTCGGTCAGTTAGGAAAAATGTCCACACAATCACAGACAATCATGAGTTCACAGAGTGTTTTTTTGTTTTTGTTTGTTTTTAAAAAAAAAAAAATGTAATTAATAATCCAAGGACCAAAGATATTTCCTCACATAAGACAAAGAAAATAAGACAATACTCGGATTTTAGAAGCTCGAACCAATTAGGATTTGCCATTTTTTCTAAAGTACTGATTGAATAATTATCCAGTTGTTTAAATTATCACTCAAATTTTCAATCAAATCAATTAATCTTCTTGAAACAATGTGACACTTAGTTTTTAGCCTAAAATTGAAAAAGCTAAGCTCTGTAGACAGGCTTTCCAGAAACCTCACATTCCTGATGTAAATATATTGTAAATTTCTCTTGTGATGGCTTTCATTCCCCGATTTACCATTTATTTGTGTGGACACACGTGTGCCTGATTATAAACATGCAATTCATCTTTACACAGCCACTTTACATTTATTCTAATATTTTTGTGTTTTATTTTTCTATTATTCATTATTTTACTACTGGTCCTGAGAGGGATCACATCTCATTCTGCCCTGTGCACTCTTGTGAAAGTAGGTAGCATTACAAATAAATAAACTTGTCCTTCAGGACGACGTGTGTATGCATCTCACCAACTACTCCATCAACAAGAACAGTGAGAACTTTGTCCGTGACGAGGACACCGGCAGCAAACGGTAAACAAATAATGTAGATGAAGCACGTTGTGTCTTTATTACCAATATTCTTAAAAGCACTGCGTATTTATTGTGTTTTCTGTCACACAGAAAGCTGTCCACCTTCAACAAGTACCTCGAGTCCACCAGCCACAACACAGACAAGATGTGGAACGACATCGAGGACGTGATCATAAAGACTCTGATCTCTGCTCACCCTGTCCTCAAGCACAACTACCACGGGTGCTTCCCTAACCACACCACCGGCAGCGCCTGCTTCGAGATCCTGGGCTTCGACGTGCTGCTGGATCACAAGCTCAGACCCTGGGTGCTGGAGGTGACACTCTTTTCTGGCTTTTGCTTCAACTTTGACACTTTGGTTAGATGTCAGCCACATATATGTAGTATCATTCAACATCAGGTTATTATAGTCTGGAAATCCTTCTTTTTTAAGTATAGCTTTCAGACACATTTTAATCCCTTTAACATTAGAAAAAGCATCATATTTCACAATCTGATCATCATAATTATTCTGCGTCATCTTATTCTAGCTTTTTATTGTAGCTTTGATTCAAACTGAAACCTCCATACCTCTGACAGCCAAATAACATCTAATGGGAGTATTCTACATGTATTGTGCATCTTTATATACACATTTCCCCAAAAAATCAAGCTGACAAATGTCATTTTGTTGGTTATTTGGTATCCACGTTCATTGTCATGTTTCTTCTGGTCTTCGGGCAGGCGGATTTTCATTTTTCTAAAGTTCAGGACAAAGCTTTTTGTTGAGACAGCTTTTAACTTTGAAATACTGCCTAAGCATAGTTTTAAAGCCTTTTTATTAGACTGATGGCCATGATTGACTTCATGATTCATTCATTTTGTTGTAAATGTTTAATTACCTCAGACTTTTTATTTATTTTTAAAATATTACAATTATTATTTTGAAGTCTTTTTTAATGGATTTTGTTACTTGTTAAGTAAACTCTTCTCAGAATTGCACTATCCTGTAAGAAAGGTGCTTTACTGATAAAATTTAATTTCAATATCTATTTTTCTCTGTATATTAGAATAATTGCTAAATTGTGATTTTTTTCTACTTGCAGACAAATCTGTGCTAAATTAATACTTCTCAGTATTTCGATTCATGAACCAATCTGTGCAATGCTGCTGATATAACTAGTACTTATGTGTCCTTTAGTGTTTGCACGACCCCCTTTGCTGCTGTAACCATGCAAATGTCCTCACTGTGGGATTAATGAAAGGTTATTTTATCGATTTGTGATCTTTAGGATCACCGCTAGAGTTTAAATTAAAGGTTTTATGGGTGTGAACGGTATCTAGATGTGCAGCATCAGTTTATAGTAAGATTTAAGGAGCTAAAATGTTTTATTTGATGTTGAAATCAGTCAGCATGTCTGTACATGTGCGCGTTCAGGTGAATCACTCCCCGAGTTTCACCACCGACTCTCAGCTGGACCGCGAGGTGAAGGATGCGCTGCTGTACGACACTCTGGTCCTCATCAACTTGGGCGCCTGCGACCGTCGCAAGATCACCAAAGAGGAACGACGCAGGGTGAAGGACAGGCTGCAGCAGAACCGCCCCAGGGAGGCCAGGTACGCCGACAGAAATGGCGCGTGAAGGTTTACCAAGGTCACGTAGGCGCACGGTTCACACATCGCTGCTTGTTTGTGTGTTTCGCCACCAGTTTGGAGGAGCGGCGTCAGTGCCAGGCAGCCACGGTGGAGCAGATGGAGAAGTACGAGGCCAAACACCCGGGAGGCTTCAAGAGGATCTATCCCAGAGAGGGAGGAGAGAAATACGACAAGTACTTCAAACACAGCAGCTCGCTCTTTCAGGAGACGGCGGGGTCCAAGGCCAGAAAGGAATGTGCCAGGTACCTGCAGCTCACCGGCAGCACTGTCAGGACAGTTCAGCAAAGAGCTAACAGAGGCTGTTAGTGATGCACAGAAAATGTTTCACTGCATGGACCACATGAGGCTGAAACGTTGAAAAAGTCAGTCGTAAAATGGAAAAGAAAAGGAGGGGAGCAGTTCAAAGCAGGAAAAGAGAAATTTGTACATAAATGCATGCACTAATAATAATGATCATCTTTATTTAGATAGCAACTTTCAGAATAAAGTCACACAGAAGAGCAAAATTATCAACCTGTTTACCACCATTTAAAAGGGATTCTTAGAATTACATAGTAAGAAAAGAAATATTCATAAAAAGAACAAAAAGCTCCAACTTGGAGCCAAACTGAAGCTACATAAAACAAAGCTTTAATTGTAACATCTAAACATAACATTATTTAATCATAAAATATAAACCATCAAAAAAACTAAGAAAACAGCAACATGTTTCTCTTCTTGAGTTTTTTTGTCATTAAAAGTTTCTATAATCTAGAAACGACCTGTCATGTTCCAAGAAAAAGAATAAGAAAAAAAATCTGGTTTCAGCTTCTAAAATGTGAGGATTTATTGTCTTTGTCATTAGAAGTAGAATATTTTATACATGTTCATTGTTTGCCAGACAAAAAAAAATGATGTGGGAAATTGAATTACTTAAATAATAATAATAATTGCTTGATCAACCAGTTATTTAGCTGACAACCATAATGATTGGATTTTAACGCCATCAGGAGCTACAGTTTCTGTGCATTCGATACGACAAGTGTTGTAGATAAATAAGATAATAGGTAGCTGCAAAACATCAATTAAATATTACAGACGCAAGTTAAGGTCACGTTTGATACATGACACCACTGGTTTGAAGCCAGTTGTGTTCCAGGATGAAACTAGAAAAACTTGAGAATGAACTTCAGTTTAGTGCATATTAATAGATTCTAATTTTACTAACTGAAGGAAGAGGGACAGACGTCGTTTTAAGTATGTCTTTGCAGCCACAACATGTTGTTTTATGCATATTTTTATATGTCTGAAGGGGATCTCTATGTAGAGCATAAACAGAAAGAAATAGATTCACTCTGCTCTGCACCAGAATTCAAATATGGCTAAAAGAAAGTAACATAAAGGCAGAAGTGGACATGCAGGTGGTTTTATTTAAAATATGTAAGTCTCAGTGTCGGTGAGGAGGATCTTCAATAAATGTATTTATTTTCTACAGGAACAAATTGAATGTCGTAAAACGTCACTTAGTCGTGTCTAATATTACCTATAATGTTGACTAAATTACACACAGTCGTGGGATACATTTCCACTCCTACGCTGATGATACTCAGCTGCATGTGCCTGTAATTCACATAATTATTAAATTAGAAGCCCGTACGTCTGCTGTTGTAAATTCTGATCGAACTGAGTTGCTGATTATTTTCCCACTTCAGACGTCAGTTTAATCACATAACATGAACTCCAGACATCTATATGATTTCTCACACAAAAGAAATCACCAAAACCTCCTGTTTTATCTTCATAACATCGCTAAAATTTGCTGTTTTGTGTCTGCAGTGTACGTCTGTGTTTGTCCAGACTTGATTATTGTCACATTTTGTTTATAGGCCAAAAGTATTTTTTGAAAACAGCTTTATTTTCACAAGTCTCGTGCAGGAATCAGCTTCATTCTGTCCTGTTCTGAGCTAAAGACTCTGCTTTATAAAGGATGTTTTAATAAATTAAAGTCTTATCATCTTGCTTTAGACATAATTTTTAAATATTTTTAGGATGCAGATATCACATGTCGCTTCATGAAAGTGGATATTTTGCAAGTTAAACTGTATTTTTAGTGCTTTAATCACATTTACTCTCTAGGCTTAAGCTTTTGAACTTTTACTTATAAATAAGCTTTTCAATGCATGACATTCCTTTGCAAAGGAGTATTTTCCTCAGTTCACTTATTTATATATTTCTTCCATTACTAGATATTTGTCCTCCAAATAGGTGGGTAAAAGCAACATAAAAGAAGATATTTGATTAATTGTAAGTTAATCAAATCAATAGTTTTTATCTTGGTGAGGTGCTAAAATGTGTATTTATGTTTTTAGGCAACAGCTGCAGGAGCTGCAACTGAAGCAGGAGCTGCGACTGAAGCAGGACCTGCGACTGAAGCAGGAGCAGAAGGAGCGAGAGCAGAGGGGAGGCCGGAGGAGGGAATCTCAGGGGGAGGCAGCGGGGGAGAAAGTCAAACCACGGCGCTCCTCAATACAGCCCCCCATGTCCAACTGTGACCCGCAGCCGGTGAGACCGTTTAACGATGTCATTACAGATGCAGCATCCCCACGCAGCCACGAGAGGGCGCCACAACACGGCCTGCCCTGTGATAAATGCCTCATATTCTGGCTGACCCCTCACAGTCCACATATGCAATTAAAATTAACCAGAATAATATTCCTTTGCGATAATTTTTATCGTATGCCTCTCAGTTTAAATTAAAATATCTTTTATTGTCAAGCCTGAACAAACAAACAGCGTTATCAAGGTTGTTCAGTGACAGTAACTGCTAATGCAATGCCAGTGCGTTGTGCATATACAGTGAGGCAATACCAGCAAATTGAATCAGATGTTCCTGTGCAGCCTCCTTTGGTTCCAGGAGTTGAAGAGGAGGAGCGGCGAGAGGAGGAGGAAGACGCGGAGGAGAAGGAGCGGATCAACTCGCTGCTCCAGAGGAAGAAGCTGCTGGAGGACATGGGGGTGGTGCAGCTGCTGCTGAGCCAAGCCGAGGCAGGAGGAATCGTGCAGGACAACAACCAGCACAGCAAGCAGGCTCCTCAGAGGCAGCAGCAGACCAAGGTAGGCTCTGAATACAGTCCCAGCAACCTGCCCCGCTTGTGTCGAGTTGTTTCCAGTATTTCAAACTTGTTATGTGTTCTTTAATAAATGATAAAACCACTGATATTTTTATTTCAGCTGGATTCTTTGATGCAGTTTTCTCAGAGGACGAAGCAACAACAGCAGCAACAACAACAACAAACCAGCACTCAGACGTCACGGCAGGTACATGTCCAGAAACACAGGATGACGCCACTCCAGTCAAAATAATCCACTATTTTCTTACCAAATCAGATTTAGTTAAAGAAATAAACTCGTAAAGGAAGCTGCACTGCCCCTTTAAAAATAATTTCAAAACGATCACTTCAGAGTCAGTGCTTCTCCGTGATTTTAAAAGAAAATTATGCACAAAAAAAGGAACATTTTGCATTTTTAAATTTATACCAAGAGCTGCAACTACAGATTTTTTTTATTATTATTCTGCTGATTATTTTATCAATTAAATGATTAAGCTGACAGTCTATATGTGTACATGTTAAAAAGATACAGAAAAAATGCTATTTGCAGTTCCTGTGTCCATCCATCGCCAACTTATTATTAAATATGGCAAAAAAAGAAGAAAATTCTCACATATCAGCAGCCTCAAACTGATCAAATCAAAATAGTTGCAGATTAGTTTTGTTTTAATCTTCCAATTAATTAACCGATTAATCATTACAAGTTTTTTTTACTGTATTATGTCTCAAAGAAATGTGTCCCCAAGTGGCAAAGTGCTGCCTGTTGTGGTTCAGTTAGTTGAACAGGGAGAGTTTAATCAAGGTGTCAAAATCTAAACTAATCTAAGTTTAAAGCAGCCCCAAAGATTTGCAGCTGCCTCAGTGTGCAAACAGCGTAAATGATCGTCACAGAGGAATGAATGCTGAATTTATTTTCTTGTTGCCCGTCGTCGTTTCATAACACTCGGGCCGCTCAGTGATCACTTGCATTGCTGGATGATCATCATGACGTGGAATTAAAAGGACACCGTTTCATTGTTGAATCGCAGCAGCTCCAGTCCCACATGACTCAGCAGTGCCTGCTCAGGCCCCCGATGGACCACAGGAGCCTGAACGAGTCGGCCTGCCTGCAGCACGACACCGAGCACCACGGCGGGCCGGGGGAGATCCGATGGAGCATCAGCACCCAGAGGATCCCCTGGCCAGGTAGGCACATGTGCACACAGCTGCAGGCAGGTGACACATGGATGTGACTGTTGAGCCTGAACAGGAACATTACCAGCTCCTTTGGGATTTTCACTGCAATGAATTTGTTGTATGTTTTTCTGTAACTGTTTTGCACTTTCACATTTATTCTGAAGATTATTTTATGGATTAAATTATTAAGATGAAAATCTATAAAATGTTTAAAAAATAGAGGGTTTTTTTTTTTGTTCCTTTTTTGAGCTTTAACAAAAATATTTCCAGCTTCTTTTGTCTCAACTGCACTGTGTTTGTTTTTCTCTAACACACTGGCAGTCCCATCCCTGTAACTAGAGCTGCCTCAGTATTGCCAGCATTACTTTTTACTCTTCAATTCTTATTTAACTTACTCGTTTTATTTCAGTTGTGTATTATATCTTATTGCTTCCTTCTTGGAGGCACTGCAATTCTTACGTTGTGTCATTTCTTTTATTTCTGAGCAATATCTGGCTCAAGAATTTCTTTTTGGGATTAATAAAGTTCTGTTAATATTCTAACAATACATCTAACTGTAGGAGCACATAAATACATTTTTTAATCACAAAAATTGCCTTTTAAGTTTAACCTGTGGGGGGATATAACACTCATTTCTTACCATTTGACATGGAAAACATTAAAATACTTATTTCACGTCATTACTACTGGCAGAAATCATATATACATAATTAAATAACTAATCTGTGCTCCTAATTTGGATTAAATCTTCAGTTATTGTTGCTCTGCTTGCATGGCTTCATTTAAAAACAAGTGAAAGAGGAGAAATGTTTTATATTAATTTTTCAGTTCGATTTCTTTCAGATTTCCTGTTTTCTTTTTGCAGCCGGTGGCTCCCTGGCTGCCAGTCAGGGCAGCAGGAGCAGCTCCCTCGTCGACCCCCGGTCCCATCCGCCCCACGACCCCGCCGCCCTGCAGAGCCTCATCATCGTCGCCTCTCGCACCCCGCTGGTCAGGAGGCCTGGATTCTCTCACGTCGGACGCAGCTCCTCCCGCAGAGCCCCCCAGCACGGTACAGGCCAGTGAGGAGCCGGACCGCCGACTCCTGAAACCTGCCGCCTCCAGACTCTCAGACTGAAGCTGATTTAAAGTGACTTTAGACAAACAGCAGCAGGACGTGAGGAGAGCCGGAGGTAGAGCGGCCTTAAGCTGTGAAAACGAATAAACACCCTGTGCCTATGATGAATGTTTCATGTTTGTAGATAGGTTTTTATATCTGCACACCTGCAGTTTATGCTGCCTGCCACTAAATGACCTCCAGCACTGCAGGAGCAACATTAAGGCTTTTTCAACTTTTTCTACTGACTGTGTGCTCAGATTTATGAAAAGATTTGCTCTGTGGAGGAATCATCTCCAACAAACCTCACCTACAGTGCCAAAAGAAAAGCAGACAGGCTTGAATTCACGTTTCTGGATCTAATTTGCACATTTAATGTGAAAATAAATAAATAAAAAAAATCTAAATATAATAAACTCACTGATTATTGCGTTTTGATCATAAATTGGCTCAATAAAAGCAGATCTGGTTCATGATTGTTAAAGTGTTCTTAATTGTTTATTAAATTCAATTTGAAAATCAGCAAAGTGAAGAATATTAAAAACAAAAACCTGCTGCCTCTTATCTCAAGGAATTTTATTTGTGCAGTAAAGTATTAAAATCATTTTATTTGCACTGATGATCTTTTTTTTTTTTTTTTTAAAGGTGATTTAGTTTCTTGATAAAAGTCTGGATTCTCCAAAAAAAAAAAGAAAAACTTATTTTCCCCCAGTTTTGGCATTTTTTTATTTTTAAATTCGTCCTACTTTTTAAAATGTTTTTCACATCGAAACAAATATTATTTTGTTATTTTTCCTGCATTTTTATTAGTTAATGTTCGAAAAATAACCGCGTTTTTGGTTCCATCTTTAAGTTAAGAGGCCATGAAGTTTTCCAGCGTCTACGCGTTCCTGTTCCTCTGTTTTGGTCGCAGGCTAAAGACAGAAAAAAACAACAACAACCGGAACAACAACAACAAAAAAGAAGAAAATAATAAAATCCATCATTATAAACCATTTGAGCCGAAATTATCCAAAACAGCAGCGGCTGATGAGTCCTGCGAGAAACAGGCCGACGTGTGTATTTATTCGGGATTATTTTTGAAAAGCTCATAAAATAAGTGTGAAATGTGAAGTTATATGTTAGAAATGTCAAATATTAATATTGTTTAATGGGAATTTGGCGCAAAAGAAGGAAAAAGAGCTAAGGTGATTTGTGCGTAAAACCCTGCAGGTTCCTCTGAAACTCCAAGGCCCACAGAAAGAATTATTTATTAATAACTACATTAAAATGTCAGTTCTTTTTTAAAAGTTAAATTTAAGAAGGATTATTGAAGAATACAGGCATTAAACATGGGCCTGAACAGAGGAGGTGGCCCAGTTTTTAAACTTTAACTTCATCGATACAGTTAAAACTTTGATTCCTAATTAATAAAACGTATTTGTTTTTATCTAAAGTTATATTTTAAGTAGAGATTTCACTTCGTTGGATTTTCTTGGGAGTAAAAAAGAGAAAGGAATCAAAGCAGAAGGGGAATGTGTTGTATTCCAGGTATTTATGGTTTTATTGCGTCTATAAATGTCGGAAAACACCAGCGTGGCAACTGAAAAGGGCCATTTTTAAACAAAAGAAAAGCGGAAATCAGCCATAAGAAACAACAATAAAAGGATGAAATTGGTTTGAAAAGAATTCATTCCAGCCCAAACGAAGGAAGTTTCATTTTCTCCTGATATTCCTAACAGGAAAAAATGGCTGTTTCGAGTTTTTTTGTGAGCTTCAAATCCGCCTCAGGACTTTAATCAGCCGAGCACGATTTCCATCTTTGGCCAAATTGATCTGAAGGAACTCCCTCATTTTTAAGAGATCATAATAGTCGTTAATGCAAAAAAATCTTTACGCCTGAATCCATATTGTTTTAGAGAAAAAAGAGAGCCTCAGTCATCCGCGTTGGAGGCTTTGACATCATACGAGTGTTTTTACTGGAACAAAGTGAACGAACGGGTTTAAATTCTACAGTTTTGGAGCCACAATCATCGGATTAAAGTTGCTAAACGAGTGAAGAAGGCATGACTCGAGAACAATAAGAAGCTGTACAAACCAGATGCTGGAACAGAACCAAGTGCGCATCCTGTGCAATGTCTCTCCTCACTTAAGAACACTCTCACAGCCCCACTTGCTCACACTTTCCCCTCTTTCATCCGCCATCAAATTCAAACATTTCAGCCTTTTAGAGGGAATAAAGATGGCGATGGGAAAGCGCGTCTAAAGCACAAAAACGGCTGCTGTTTATGAAAATTTACAACTTTGCCATGGAAGTTTACGACTCGCCAGGCTCGGGGATTGGTCGCTGGCGGTCATGTGGACAGCAGGAATGGGAACTTATTTCCCATGAGGTTATATTGCAGCTGCTGTTTTCCACCGCTTCATTCACTTAACAGTAGTAACACAACCTTTTTCTTGGCTCTTTGTATATGCAATACGCGTGTGGAGTGTTGTTGTGAGGAGCTGGCCGCTGCGTACGTGCGTAATTTTTCCCTCCTCCAAAAAAAAAAAAAAAAAAAAAAAATGCGCGACGCCACTGTGCGCCATGTTAATGTGGCTGCACTTGTGTGGCTTTATGTTCGTGAAAATGAGGGATGACCACACTCCTGGATGGTGGGATTACTTTGATGAAATCACTTAAAGAAGAATTTTGAGGGGGAAAAAGACTGACAGGCGGCGAGAGGAGCTTCAAGCGGAGTGGCAGCCACACTGGAAATGATGGATTATCAACAAAGGTAAGGGCACCATGTTTCTAATATGCCAGCGATTAACTGAGCACAAGTGCGCTGCTGCTGCTGCTGCTGCTGCTCTGTTGTGGCTGAACTGTCACTGTAGGCCTGATGTTTAGATTACTGTAAATGGGGAAAATCTGTCTTTGAATAGCCAGCAATTACCCAGTCTTTAAGCATCTTATTTTATTCCTCGTGCGCTGTTGGTGCTATTCACAACCAGTTGCTGCTCTCTTTCTGTTTAACCCCTGAGATGCTGCGGCGCCTGCAAAACACCAAAACATCTCACGCAGAAATGAGTGAAAATAGATGAAAAGATGCGAGTTTTGAGGCCTCTGTTGGAGATGTTCTCTAAGCAGGCGGCTGCAGGCCAGACAGACAGACAGGCTTGACTTTGATGATGATGGTGATGATGATGATGGTCCTGCAGGGGCCTGTGCCACCACTGAGGCGTGTTTTTATTCAAAATCTGCTAAATCTACCCACCTCCACTCTCCTGCAAGGTTTGATTCTTTTTAATGCTATTTTATGTTATTTATTTGTGCACTGTGGTCTGGAAAAATCGTGCCAAAAAGCCCCTTTATGTTGATTTTGCGCATCGCTGTCGCCCCGTCGCGCCTTTTCGCCTCCTTTTTATCCACATTTTACGCAATATTCCACAAATACGTACTCTCGTGCTTCCTATTTCTGTTTTCGCAACAACCGTGGAGTCAGAAATCACCACGTTATGCTGCTTTATTTATTTATTTTCTATTTCTGGCGCCTCTGCGGCGTTTTTCCGTGTCTGGTTTTGGTCCTGCAGTTTTATTGGGCCATAATCTGACATAAAAAGACGGGATTGTGTTTCTAGTCGTGTTTTCAAAGGTGCTGCAGCTGTAATCGGGCTGCACAAGTTGCGGCCTGGTTGAAAGGAGTCCTTATTCAAGCTAAAAATTTAGAATTTTGATTTATTTTTTTTAAATTAAAATGTTTTCGAAGTAGATATTGTGCAAACGAAAAAAAAAATGTGGCGACGGCAGTGCAGCGGCTCTTACGCAAAAGCAACGACGAAAACGGGATTATTCGTTTTTTTATGAGAGGATATGCAGCAAATATTCCTAAAATTTCGGTTTAATTAATTAAAAATCAGTAAAACCGTTTTAGATTAACAGTATTTTAATAATACAGCACATTTGTGTCATTCATTTTGTTTTTTTCTATGTATTATGGCAACTTTTCCAAAGACGAACGCTAATTCAAATTGGAAAAATTCGTCCAAGTGCATTGAAAATGATCATAAAATTAAACAAAAACACTTGATCTAACAAATGTCACCTTTTTCTGCACAAAAATCCTGCAATGTTGTGCTATTATCTATATACTATCAATATGGTAAGAGCTTTGACTGCAGAATTAGACACTAAATTTGATTGTTTTTAATTATTACAATCAATAATTGCTGCCTAATTGAATCACAGTGAACATAATAATAATAACACTGATATCTACTAATAGTAAAATCAATTGATCTTAATCTTAGTTTATCCCAAACGTAGATATTAGTGGATGAATAAATCAGGATCAAGATGGCAACGTGGCAAACACCTGAGTATTATTCCACCTTTTACCTTCATACTCACCTTTTTCCCTTTTTCTTTGAGACTGAAATTATTGTCCACTTGATCACGGCGTGTTAAGGTGATGATGATGAGGGTGATGATGATGATGTGTGTGGAAGCGCGCGTGTCCTCCCCTGCTGCTCCCTGCGCGCCTTCGTGGACTTGAGTCAGAGTTGGTGATGGATCAGGAATCAGGATGAGCTCACACCTTTGGAGAATGAAACATTTGCATTATTGACGCAGTGTTTTCTGCAGCCATTTGGATCAGTTTGGTGCTTTTTTTGTAGGGGATTTCTGGCACGTGTGGTTAGAACAGAGGAGTTTTATTGTGTGTTTGGGTTATTTAATAAGATGGAGGTGAAGGTTAGAGGCAGAGGAAGGCGCAGAGAAGGTGATGCTCGGCTGTAGTTTGTGCGTAAAAGCAAAGTGTTTGGCGTTTCATTGCTGTATTTTTGCTTTTTGCACTGTGTGTGTGAGAGAAAGGGAGAGTTTGTGTGTGTGTGCTTCGTGCGTTATTCCATTGCATTTGCATCTAACAAAATGATGCTGCTTCACATACAGCTCATATATGCTACTTTGTTTTTTTTTTTTCTTTTCTGGTTTTATATATATGTATTTCTGTGAGTCGTAGCATCTCTGAGAGTGTGTGCGTGAGCGTGCGTAAAGACCGACAGGCTCGAGCGCTTCATTTCGATTCACCGGGGACTCCTGCGCGCAACAAGAGCCCCCCATGGGTGCAATAGTGCAAGCACAGACGGCGGTGATTGGCCAGAGGTTGATCAGATGGTACACTTCCCCTCTGTATTCAGTGGCACCTCACAACCCCCCCTTTCAGCAAAAACCAAATCTCCGATAAAGTAATGGCAAAAGCACTTGGACTATAAAAGACAACAAATCATATTCCTCCGGAGTATATACACCCCGTTGTCCACCCAATGAGTTCCTATTTTGTTAACTCAACTTTTCCCGTGTCTCTGCCGGGAGGACAGGACTCTCTCCTGGGTCAGATACCGCTATATTCCTCGGGATACACCGATCCGTTAAGACACTACTCCAACGCGGCCACATATGGAGCAGCCGCCAACATGCAGGAGAAGGTTTACCCGGCGTCCTACTACCAGCAGACGGGCGCAGCGGCCGCGGCTATCTACGGCCGGGCCGGCGGCGGTGCGCCCTGCGACTACAACCCGGTCGGGACTTTCTACAAGGACGCGGAGGGTTCGTGCGCTTTCTCGAGTCGCGACGACCAGCCGCTGTTTGTCACTCAGGAGCATCAGCAGCGCAAAGCGGAGTGCCCGGAGCAAAGTGTCAGCATGAGCAGCAGCATCGACGACAAGTCCTCCACTCTGATCTACCCGTGGATGCAGAGGATGAACGCCTGCTCCGCCGGTGAGTACAAAAGTGCACGTTTGGCTGTGTTGTTGTCAGCTGCCCGGAGGTGGAAGAGCGCATGAAGTGAAGCAACCCTGCGCCTCACAGACGCTCAAGCAGAGTCAGAGTCAGGCTACCTGTCAGCGTCTAATATTTAATCAGCTTACAAACAAAAAAAACTGCATCAAATAATCACAGGAGCCTTTGTGATTACACTGATTGCGCACAGATCTCCGTGCGCCTTCAGGGCTTTGGATACCAACATCATCATCACATACAGACACGACCGCACACGCACACACAGCAGTGCACGTACACACTGGGCCTACATCACCCCGAGCTCCAACTTAAAGCTCTGAGCCCGTGTCACATGGCCCTTTTTTCGTATTTTTACGCACTCTTAAATATCGCACAAACACTTGCAGCTTTGAACAAGCGTCAAAAATATTAATAGCAAAATCAAAATAACAAAAAAAAACAACACAATGCGTAGTGTACCTCTGACTACACCATCCTATTGTGTGTTACAGAACAATATATAGATGACAAATATACCACATGGCTGCATTAATGACATTTTTACATGTAAACTCACTATATGGTGCGTAATTGGCACAATTGGCACAATTAAGGGATAATATTGGGGGAAAAAACAGAATATATATTTTAACAAAGAATATAAGCTATTGCCTGAGATGTATCTGTATCGATAAGAAGATGTTAACATATTAAATATCTGTATGATAACAGTGCAGTTAATGATTTGCTATTTTATACAAACAAAATGGTATTTTTTTAAATGTTAAAAACACTTTTTTTTCGTATTTTGTCAGATGCATCACTGCAGATTCAAAGTGCAGTTTAACACAGAGCTTCCTCCTGCACTCTCCAATATTCAATTTAATCATTAACTAATGAATTATTTTTTTTATTGCAGGCCCATTTGGCAACAGTGGCCGCAGGGGCCGACAGACCTACACTCGCTACCAGACTCTGGAGCTGGAGAAGGAGTTCCACTTTAACCGCTACCTGACCAGGAGGCGCCGGATAGAGATCTCCCACGCCCTGTGCCTGACGGAGAGACAGATCAAAATCTGGTTTCAGAACCGCAGGATGAAGTGGAAAAAGGAGAACAAACTCCTGAATCCCTCAAAGACACCCGAGGAGGAAGAACAGGCAGAGAAGAAGAGCTAAAAAATAAAAAAAAAAAAAAAAATAAAAAATAAAAAAGGACACTGAAACAAAGGCATGTGTGTGTGTTTGTGTGCACACCCTCCAAAATAAAACGATGTATTATTTCTTTGTAGATATCAAGTGCTGCAAAACACATGTTAGAAACTGTGTAGAGTGACTTTATTTCAGTATCTGCACGGTAACAAATGTCCGCATTAGGTTAAAATCAGGTCCTCCTCTGTTTGTCCTTGTGCTCGTGTCTTAATTTAGAGGACTATGCAAAAAACAAAAACAAAAATACAAAAAAATAAATCCGCCAAAATGTAAATAGCTTTTAGTGTTTTAGTTTTCGACAATGTTGTTACCTCATTATGTTTTTGTTTTTTTTAATTCTTATTATTTTATTTGATCCTCGTGACAATAAAAGAGGCTCCCTTTGTCCTTTACCTGTACATCTTGTGGTGTAGTTGCTCTGTAATAGTCTAGAGGCTTGTTGTTTACAGCTGTGCCATCATTTGTACAGATCAGAAATGTTACATGTTATTTATTGTTGTTCACCTGTGTTCTATGCACATCTGGATATTGTGTGCAATATTTTGTTTAGGAAATTGTACATAGAAATAAAGGCTTTTTGATGTATATTGGAAAATCTCATGGCGTCATTCCTCCACGAGAAAATGATCATTTCTATTATTCTAACTATTATTAATAATATTAAAGGGGGTTTGTGCTGCTTTAAGAGTCACAATAAGTCTATAAATTCACCTAAAACTGGTGTAAAGATTAAAATCATTTCAGTTTTGACACACTGCATGTTAAAGTGACAAGAGTGCGGCTGATAAGTCTCTGTTATGTGCTACCTGAGCCTTTTGTGGCCTATATTATCAGTGTGTTACATAAATGATGGATGATTCTGGGGCCTGACAGCGCGTCCCGGCGCAGCGCTCCCACCGCTGTCCGCAAGATGGCGCTCTCTGCCTGCGCGCTTCTCGGGGCGCAGCGGGGAGGCACCATTGACTGGAGCCTAACGACCATTATTTCGTCATCATTTGTAACCATGGAGCATGAATTACCTCTTGAAGTCATCAGTGAGGATTTACGACTGGTCAACAAAGGCACGTGATTCCCGAACGCTCTCCCATATTTGGCCGCATACCTGGCAAAGTACAGTAGGGCTTCATTGCTTATAATTCATGATTGCATCCATAAATCGTGCAAGCACACAGGATTATAGCGACAAAGATCTACAAATCGAGGCTTTAAAAATCCAAGCAAATGAGCTCTTACTTTGTAAACTCGTTCTCAGGGCGCTATCCAAATGGCTCCGACTATCAGTTACTAAATTATGGGACTAACGGCGCTGTGAGCGGCTCCTTCAGAGACCCTGGCACCATGCACTCCGGGTCTTTCGGCTACAACTACAATGGCATGGACCTAACCGTGAACCGCACCACCACCGGCGGCCACTTCGGGGCCGTGAGAGAGGATGCCCGGGGATTCGCGCCGGACGCCCGGTACAGACAGACGCCCAACTGCTCGCTCGCGTCTCCAGAGCCGGTGCCGCCGTCGTGCGCCACGGCCAGCCGGGAGCCGCTGGAACTAAAAAGCCCCTCTCCTCCCTCTGACCGGAGCGCGACCTCGGGCGGCAACAGCCTCAACAAAAGCAACAACGCTCATTTCACGGAGATAGAGGACGCCACCGTCGCCTCCGAGACCGAGGAAGGCGCACACAGCAGCGGCGGCTCCAGCACGGCACCTCGGGCGCAGCAGCAGCAGCAGCAGCAGCAGCAGCAGCAGCACCAGGAACCCAACGCCACCTCCTCCACTCCCACATCAAATGATTGCCAAACGCCACAAATATTCCCCTGGATGCGGAAACTGCACATAAGCCATGGTATATTTACACATCTAATAATATTTTGTTTTGAAGGATGTCACGCTGACGGTGTGCCATAAATCTGTCAAGTGTTGCATGAGTGAGCAGGCTGGTGTGGATGACTGGAAAAAACGGGCAGTATTTGTTAAGTGTTTATGGGATTGTTTGCAGCCGGTGGGGTCCGGGTTAACTGCCGCTGGAGCAGGATGCTTTAGTGAAATGTGGATTCAAATGTGGCACAAAAAGCACGCAGAGGCTGGCTGCGGGTTGAGAGCAGTGAGAGATAAGAAAAGGCACCGTGTGATCTGAGTGTTGTTCTGTGTCATGTTGGTTTTGCATGCTTCCTTCCCTGCATCATTCCATGCTGTGACCCCCTCTGTCCATCATAGTAAAGCCCCCCCACACCCCCTTTAAAAAATACAGAGAAAAGCAGTGAAATTCCTCCCTCTGTTGTTGGTTGTGCAGTGCAGTTTGCTAATTTTTTCTGGATTTTCTGTAAAATTGTAGATATGACTGGACCTGATGGGAAAAGGGCCCGAACTGCGTACACCCGCTACCAGACGCTAGAGCTGGAGAAAGAGTTTCACTTCAATAGGTACCTAACCAGACGGCGGAGGATAGAGATAGCCCACGCCCTGTGTCTTTCCGAAAGACAGATCAAAATCTGGTTTCAGAACCGCAGGATGAAGTGGAAGAAGGACAATAAACTGAAAAGCATGAGTCTTGTAACAGGAGGCAGCGCCTTCCACAACTGAATAACTTTTGTTTTTTTCTGTTGTTGTTGCTGTTGTGGGGTGGGGAGAGAGTAAAAAAAAGAATAATAAATCTAAAAAAGAAAAAAAGAAAGAAAAAAAAGAAAGAAATCCATGAGTACTGTAAAGCTATTGAAAGCGCAGCACCTTCCAGCATGCTATTGTGATAGAAAAAGAAGTATTCTGTGGTCTTCAAAATGCCATTTTTAGTTCCCTGTTGTTGTACTATGATAGCTGTAGATGTTGGAAAAATAAGATGTAAATATTACTGGGGGTATTTGTCCATGCTCTTTGCTCTCTCTTTCTCCTCCTCTGTCTCTCTTTCTTGAAGGTGTTTCAACTTGAGCTCTTTATTGTAACTTCTTGACGGTCTAACAGGAGTAAAAAAAAAAAAAAAAAAGAAAAAAAATTCATTGTACAGTTCAGAAAAAAACAAGAAAAAAAAAGTTTCCAAACCATATGCTGCTCTTCATTGAATGTAATGTATTCCGGGGGCCATTCAAAAAGCGCTTTAGTGTAACTTTTAACTGCTATTTTTGATGGTTAACTTGTGGCCAAGATCCATAAAAACTTTCATAAACAAGCCAATGTGTAGCTCTAGGATATTTTGTGCATCTATTATTATTATTATTATTATTATTGTTTAGGACTAATTATGAGCAATGCAAATGTATTCAACCTGTCAATGTGATAAATTTTTAGTGCAAAGGGTTATTCTGTGGATAGGCAGTGATGTAAGCTTTTTTCGCCAATAAGCTTTTTGTATTTGTAAGTGAACTCATAGCGCTTGAAAATAAAAAAAAAGTTTCTCCCAAATTGCTTTGAACGTGTCTCGACTGTATTATCAATTAGAGCAAATTCAGATTTGAAAAAAAACGACAGGAGGTTTTTACGCACGCTTTTACGCACAGACTTGGAGCTCCGGATAAACTTCTCTGACCCGAATTAAACTTATTAATGATTAACCTAGAAGACTTGTTAAAATGTCACACGAACAAGAAGATTTTAGGCCACTTTTTTGACGCATTATTCTTTTTTTTTTCTTTTTGCCAAGACAAGAGTGAAAGAAGACTTTTAAAAACTTACCTCTTCTGACCTCTCCAAAGCGAGACGCGCGTTTGCCATGTGGGAAATACGCTGCTGATAAAATCCCCCCTAAAAAAGAGAAAAAGAGTATAGCTTTGGCTTTACAGGTATATAGGCAAGGCTGGAAGTTGGTAAAAAATCCCCCCTTACCAAAGATTGTATAGGCCTATATTACTTACAGACTGTGAAAAGTCACGTGAGGTCCATAAAGTTGGTTTTATGGTTTTGGGGAGTAGACAATGTACTATATAATTCACAACCTTGAATGAAAGTGACGGCTTAACTGCATGGATGGGACTGGAAAAGGCTGGACTGGGGGGAAAGAAGTGGTGTCCAGTCATATTTAGTTAGTTTAAGCTGCTGGGAAAACTTGGAATAATTGTTTCAATTAAAAACATGTGGCTGCTATTTTTGTCTTTTTAAATTAAAGCTTAAATTGTGTGTTTTATTTGTGGCTGTTGCGCGTAAAATTCAGTTTTAAAAAATGCTGTTTACACTCTTAGCATTTGACACCAAAGCTAGATTTCTTAACACTCGTGTTATGTACACTTTCAAATAAAAAAAATCTTTAAACTTTTTTCTGTTTAAAAGCAGCTTTACAGGCTTTTATTTGCTGCTCAGTGTGCGCACATACTGAGAGTTTCTAGGATTTATTTAAATAAAAAGGGGGGAAGAAATCTAAAGTGCGTCATTTTTTCAAACACAAAATGTTCTGGAGGAAATAATAAAAGAAAGAGAAAAAAAAGAATCTCTTTAAAGGCTAATAAGAGGCTTTTATGGAGCTGCCATGAAACGAACTTGAGCGAGCTCCTGGAGTGATTTATCCGGATCTGTCAAGTCACCGAGCGGCCAAAGGTGAAGTCTCGGACAACTGCGAGCTGGGAGCTGCTGGACACACAGGCTTCAGTGATTTTACATAAAGAAATCTCAGCCTATAGTGGCCCACGGTGCATTGTCTGCCGGCCACTAATAATAACAATAATAATAAAAAGATAATGATATTATGTGCAGGAAACTAAAGGCTGCATGAGACTTTCTACAATATTTTCAAAGTCTCCTCAAAACTCATTTCAGGTGGAAAAGTTAAAAGCAGTGGTGGGCTATATGGGTCCCAGACATTTTCCGCATATTCATAACTATTAAGTGGCAATTTAACCAGCGTAATGAGTATTGCATATTGATAGGGGTAATCTGTACCCGGATCTCATGCATAATTCATGGCGGCGGGGATCATCGCTGGGTCAGTAGACGATGTAGACTGCAGCCGTGGATGCGTCAGGAGGAGGCTGCCAGACTTTGCACTGTCACCATCGACAGTGAAAAAACTCCGAGTTTTTGCACATCAGAGGATAGATTTCGATGCTTTTATTTCGCGCTTATTTACAATTTTGTGATCTGCAGCTTTGGGTGCAAATCCCTGCGTGCGAGATGCGTAAATTTACGCAAATTGAGCTCCACTTTTTGTTTGCAAGAACACTGATTGTCCGGTTTGAATATGTGCATAGAAGAAATGGAGCAATCTGAAGCATCACAATCACTATTTTCAACCGCATGTGTGTTGTATTGTCAGAATAATGTCAATAAAAGTGTCACATCAGAGCTAATATTTAAACTAAACAACAAAAACGCGTTTGTTTTACATTTAAATATGTAGAAATAACCTTTTAAAATCCCCACCTCTCACATGACATTAAACGCAGCCTCGTTAATTTCGTAACAATGATGAATTTCATGAAACAAATGTCACCTTGAACGTTTTTTGGGGTGCCGTCATGGATGCTGAACATCTGGCAGGCTGTGTGAGTTCACTCCACCGCTTGGTGGAGGAGGCTGTGCTGCAGCTGCTCCGCCAGCAGAGGACGCCTCAGACCGGCAGGGCTGATGATGGATGGCTTTTCTTTTCCCTTTCTACCCCCAGCTCAGGCTCTTATCATCCGGGGCTTGTATCCTCAGAGAGCGGAACAGAGAGAATCAGAGTTTGTTTGTCAGTTTTGGTTTGTGGCGGTTGAGTGGGAGAATTAAAGCTTTAATCCTGGATACTTTAAGCTGAGAGTTAGGAGGCAGGAGCTGGGTTTATTCTTGTGCAAACCACTTCCAGGGCAGATAATTCCACTCTCTTTGCACGTTAATACTCTGTTTGAAACACCAGTGGAGGGAAACTTTGCTATTTCCTATAAAATGTGCCCAAACCTCTCAGACTGTTTCATCTAAACAACCTTTTGATGCCTAAAAGAGGTTCAAATATCAATATTCAACAGAGAAAAAAACGCTCATTTGTGCAGCAGAACTTCTCCTCTACTATTAATCATCTCATGCTCGACCCCTCACACTTCTCTTGGGCCCCTTTAGAGGGGCACGACCCTTAGGTTGGGAAGCACTCCATGAAACTAACTGCAAACTTTGACAATGCATTTATACTAACATTCAAGAAAATTCATGTGTTTCTAGGATTTTTAAGGCAGAATTTGTACTTTAATGATTTTTTTGTGGTATTTTCACTTTAAATTTGTAACCAAATGATTTGATTTCAAAGTTAAATTTAACTTAAATCTAGTAAATGACAGACTGTGTGTCCAGAATGTGACATCGCTGCTCTAAATGCTTCTAATGTGCATCAATTATAAGTTAAGTTAACTTAACATGGTCATAACTTATTATATCAACTATTACAGAAAGATTTGTCCTCTGCAGAAATACTGCACGAAATTTCCATTTGGTTGTGTTTTTGAAAAATGGTTTTATCGATGGCTAATAATGAATCTAACATTTCTTCTTCTTCTTCTTCTAATTATTATTATTATTTATTGCTTTACTGATACGTTGTAAAACTTATATAATAATAACTTTCAGTCGGCCGGTTGCAGAAACTCCTTTTTGATGTGAGGAGTAACTTTTAGAAAAGTGCTGCAAACCATCTGGACACAAAATCAGTTCATTAAAAACTTATTAACATTTCTAACTCTGGACATGATGTATTAAGTCCTTTATTAGTGACTTATAACTGCACACTTTAAGTATCAAACGTCTTTATTAATCACTTACTAATAATTATATCTTCAGATTTAGGGATTAAAACCTTTTCCTGAAGACATATTAACATTTATAACTGTGAACTTTGTGATTTAAACTCTTTATTAGTGACTTATTTAGGTTTATCACTACATATCGGGTGATTTAAACCAATTATTAATGACTTAATAACATTTATAGCTGCACAACTGATGTATTTAATCCTCTATTAATGACTTTTTACCACATGTAACTGCAGATTTGTTGATTTAAACTCCTTGTTAATGACTTTTTAATATTTTTAACTCCACACTTTACACATTAAACTCTTTTTAAAATTATTTATTACCATTTATAGCTGCCGAGTTGACACATTCTAGCTATTTATAACGACCTGGTGAATAAAACTTTATTAATAATTTAGCAACATTTATAACAGCAAAAATTACATATTTAACTACTTTTAATGATTTAATTACATTCACAGTTACATATTTGACAATCAAAACCCTTTTTAATGACTCAATATAATGTACACCTGCAAGCTGGACGTATTAATCCTTCATTAATGACTTTTACCAACATATAACTGCAGATTTGATGACTAAAGCCTCACTTATGACTCGTCAACCTTTATAGCTACAGACTCAATGACTGAAACGCTTTATTAATTACTTATTAACATGTATAACTGTGGAATTGACGTAATAAATCCTTAAATAATGATGCTTTACTAAATATAACTGCAGATTTGGTGACTGAAACTCTTTATTAATGACTTATATGAACATTTATATCTGTGTAGTTGATGTATTAATAACAACTATTATCATTTATAGCTTGAGACTTGGTGATTAAAACTCTTTGTTAATAAACATGAGTTGATGTATCAATCCATCAAATCTTTT